CGCACTGACTGCCCCTGATCAGGGTCGGGTCTGGTTCAGAGTTTAGAGGAAGTATGTGCCGTGCATGAGAATAGAAAGCAGTGATGAAATAAATTTCTTTGCAAAACACACGTGCATGCAATTAGAGGGTAAAAAGGGAAGGTTTCATATTTGAATGAATAGTCAAACATGTCTCCTAATTAACCACATGCGTCAAATTTTGAAAAGAATTTGGCGGACCATTTGTTTTGTTGACATTGTAGATTGTTCAAATGTTTGTGCATAATATGTGATTTCTTTTTTTGTTTAACCAACTAGAATTTTTAGTTTTATTTAGTTTCTTGAATACAAGCCGCATAGTCTAAACTATAAGGGTTAGGGGTTTCTCATACATATACTACTAAAGTGTCATGTGTTCGAATTTGAAACCACTGGTCTGCAAACCAAACCCCCTTTTTACTGGACTAGACCCGTTGGCTTAATTTACTTGATGTCTACATTAGAATGCCATCCACAATAGGTTGGGTTTTCAAAAATTTACACACTTTGTACCCAATTATTATATAATATACTTCATTGGGCTGCTTCTTTTGGTTGATTTATTGTTTCACTTCCAGGGTAACCGTACCCAAAAGAGGATATATCATACAAGAAATTAGTGACTTCTTGGATAATTATTCAAAACGATTTGCCTTCATGTACAGTATTCTATAAAAGGAATGTACAGCTACTACGAGAAGAAAAAGTCTAGCAAAAGAAACATCTTCAAGGAAAGCTTATTACAAGAAGAAAAATAGCATTAAAACCAACGGAAAGGATGGGTAAAGAAAAAGTCATTTCTGCATGTTTATCTTTAGGGTAAACAGAAAGAAAATTGCTATGAGAATTGTATGTGGAACAGTGGAAGGCATTACTTTGACAATAGATATGTAAGGATGAGTTTGGCAATTACGTTCTTTTTCCCTCGTGCAGATGTGCATGCAGTAAGACATTTTGCTTAGTCTTTTCTTTCAGCGGTTATGATGTTATTTTTCTTCCAATAACCCTTGTCTATTCTCTTCTTCATGGAGGATTTTTTTTTCAATACTCTTTTGACTTTTTCAAGAGAGACAATACATTTATGAAAAATAAGGACCTCAAGATCATTCCAAATAAGATAAACTATGCTAGTGCAGATTTTGAAGAACAAAGCATATTTCAAAAATAATTTGAAAATCTCATTTTTGAAACCTCACACCTCACTCATCTCACCATTTGTAGAGGAGAAGAAGAAGTCGACTCTCTTTCTCTCTCTCAAACATGGTGAATGAATGAGTGAAGAGGATTTCAAATATCAAAGCAGATTTTAAAACCGATTTTTCAAAATCTCATAATGAAAACCCGAACTTAACAGAGAAGGAAGAAACACAGAGAAGAAAGGCTTTCAAAATTCTCTCTATTTGTCAAAATGACAGCTACAGTGTTGAAGCCTCCCTTTTTAACCGAAAAGAAGTCAGCCCCAAATTCCCCCAGCTGGCAGTCACTCATTGGCTTCATAATAAGAATAAAAAAATCATCAGGAAAGAAGACCTATAGCTAGTAACACGTGAGAAATTAAATAAAATAGCGGAGGTGAATGACTAGTCATTACATTGATTTGATATGTCCTAATATATATGCAATGCATGATTTACCTTTAAAGATCTTGATTGCATCGTGCCACTATTGATCTCAGCCACAATAATCATCTTCAACTAGACTATCCTAGTCTAATTAACCTTGAGCTTGATGAATTATATGTGCAATTACAAAGTTATCAAGGGAAGCAAAAAATCCTTAGCTAAATATAACCTAACAAGTGTGCTGAAAGTTTTGGGTGCCTTTTCATCCCATCGTTGTAATCCACATATGTGTTACCGAACCGAACATTATATCTAGAATTCTATTCAAAGTTTTTAGGAATGACCACGAAAAGTATCCCTTCACTTTGACACCATTCCTAAAAAGAATTCTAGACTATAGGAAGGCTAGACTATATATATCCTTAATTAATTTGTTAACAAGCACTTACTCGATTGCACTTTGAACATAATAGAGGTGACGATTGTAGTGGTCAATTCTATGGGTATCATTAAGGGCATCCACAAGTGATAATTTGGGATCATTGAACTCATCCACACCTACAATAAAATCCATTGTTATGCAGTTTTAAATTTAGACTTGTAGCAGTAATGTGAGTTTTACATCAAATATATGTGAAACATTGATGATGCAATTATTCAATAGTATAAATAATTACCATTCTCATAACATAATTGAGTGGATCATTATACTTTTCCTTTGTGTAGAGTAAAAGATCTTGAATTCCTCTTGGATAAATATTTAGCTGGCCTGATGCACCATGTACCCCAATTGAAGGTATTGATACTGTTAGGATTTAAATTTGTATTTCGAAAACCATTGATCATCTGAATTATAAGGGGTTAATCTAGTGATTTTATGTGTACATTTGGACCAATGGGGACCACATTACGCTCAGCTGCCATAACACATATGAATATCAGAATCTAATTAGTCTATGGAACTTAAATTTCTTGAATTAAGTTCTCAATTTGTATTCACATGAAAGATTAACGCCAACATCTAATTTGTAGATTGCGTATACAGAGTTATTTTGAGGTGAATCGCTAGCATAGTAACCAACATAGTAATTTAGTCCAAGAAAGTCAAATAAACCAATTAGCGACCTAGATTTTTCTTTAGTGAATTTTGGTAATTTTCTTCCAACAAGTACTGGTCAATGACTCCGCAAACCTTACAAAGCAAGAACATTTCAAGCATTAACTTGGTATTATCTGGCATATTACTCTCCAATAACTGGCAAATATTAAATTCATAAGTAACTTCTTAATATACTTACCATTCAAACATGAAATTCAAAGACCGTATCGCAGCATTTTTATTTTGTATTACTTCCGAAAGGGGCACAAACCAATGTGACACCAATGTTAACCCTATATATAACTCCTCTTTGAGATGCTTGCACAACAATATAAAGTTTAGTTGATTTAGAGCCACAAAATGGTAAAATACTCCCCACCCTATTGTATCTTCGTACTACTTACTCACATAGATATTTATTCTTGTAGAATTTTATGACAACTGCATGAGCAAAGAGTAGGTGATGTGTCACCAAATATGCTCTGGCTGGCATGTTGCATGGCCTTTATATAGAGGAAGTACGGCTGCGCATGAGAATAGTAAGCAATGATGAAATAAATTTCTTTGTAAACCATACGTGCATGCAATTAGAAGGGTACAAAGGGAAAGTTTCATATTTCAATGAATAGTCAAACATGGAATAGTAGCCGCTAATTCCTAATTAACCACATGCGTCAAATTTTGAAAAGAATTTGACGGACCATTTGTTTTGTTGACATTGTAAACCCAAAATATTTGTGCATAATATGTGATTTCTTTTTTGTTCAACGAACTAAAATTTTTAGTTTTATTAAGTTTCTTGAATACAAGCCGCATAGTCTAAACTACAAGGATTGGGGGTTTTTTTACACACACACACACACACACACACGTTATTAAGATGTCATGAATTCGAATCTGAGACTACTGGTCTGCAATTCAAAACCTTTTTTAATCGAGCTAGACCTGATGGGTTAATTTTACTTGAAGTCTACATCAGAATGCCATCTACAATTGGTTGGGTTTTCAAAAATTTAAACACTTTGTACCCAATTATTATATAATGCTACTTTTTGTTGATTTATTGTTTCTCTTCCAGCGTAACTGTACCCAAAAGAGGATATATCATACAAGAAATTAGTGACTTATTGGATAATTATTCAAAACGATTTGCCTTCATGTACAGTATTCTATAAAAGGAATGTACAGCTATTACGAGAAGAAAAAGTCTAGCAAAAGAAACATCTTCAAGGAAAGCTTTATTACAAGAAGAAAAATAGCATTAAAACCAACGGAAAGGAAGGGTAAAGAAAAAGTCATTTCTGCACATTTATCTTTAAGGATGAGTTTGACAATAGATATGCTTACTATTTGGATCAGATTGGATCGGAGTAACACGAATGGGAGCAAGCATGTGTCGCTCCAAGAATTCCATAATTGAAGAGTTTATTAACCATATGAAATCAAAGAATGAAAATGAAGCAAACTCAACCGCTATGTTTCTTCCCATAATAAGCTTTCGTTCAAGGCATTTTTTTTAATGACTCGGCTGTGAATATAATTTATTTCTTGAAACAGAGTGATATTTTGAAGAGCAAAGAAGAACGTGGAGAATTAATGATAATTTTCATATGCTACTGCTTGAACAAGTCTATGGCTAGCGTAATTGCTAAACTCATCCTTACATATTTCTTGTCAAACTTATGCCTTCACTGTTCCACACAATTCTCATAGCAACTTTCTTTTCATCCTCTTCCAAAATAACCTCAAGATCGTTTTGACCTTTTAAATGAGATCATTGCTGGACATGAAGGACAATTTAATGTAATTATTTGGGTAGAAAATTTGAAAGTTTTGAAAGTTTTGATTCTTGACAATGGTCAAACTTTTGAATATATTTTTCTAACTAGATTTATTTATTTATAAATATGCCACTAATTCCTTATTACGATATATCCTTTTTGTAGGTACAATTACGCCGAAGGAAGTGAAAGAATAAATCAACCCAAAGGAAGTGCCTGAAGCTCAAGTATATTGGGTACATACGTAGAGTTTTAATTGTGTGTCAAATTTGTTTCCACAGTTTGACCCATTGGTTATAAGAGACTAAATCAGACTTAGCGGCTCTACTCACACAAAAACTCATTCAAATATGAAAGCTTTCATTTCCCTTTGTACCATGACATTCTACGTAGTTGCCCCCTCAAACCCATTCAATGCCCATCTGTGTTTTGTTCTCATTTGCAGCACGTACTTCCTCCTCTATATAAAGGCCATGAAGCATGCCAGCCAGAGCCAACTTATACTTATCAAGATTATTACCAACAAAAAAACCTCAAGTTATGGCAATGCAATTACGATCTTTTCTCTTAGGCGCGCTGCTACTAATTGGCTTTGCATTGACAAATAGCAAAGCAGATATTAGATCTCCACCCACGCATTTTGACACTGCTTCTCTCAATAGGAGCAGTTTTCCAGAAGGGTTCATATTTGGCGTAGGTTCTGGATCTTACCAAGTAAGTCCTTCCTTCTTCTAGGCTTTAATTTAATTTCTCTTATGATTGGTTAGGGTATTCTTTCAAATTCAAACCAGGCATCGATCCTTGCAAGAATATTGACATCTTCTTCATTGCGTCTCTTGTGTATTTCAGTATGAAGGTGCTGCAAACGAAGGTGGTAGAGGACCAAGCATTTGGGATACCTTCACCCACAAATATCCAGGTCTGTCCAATCAAATCATGAATTAGTTAAAATAACAAAATGGTATTACTTTTACTCTTATGCTCTAAATATTTAATTAAATTTTCATGATTTATTGCAGAAAAGATTAATGATAGCAGTAACGGAGATATCGCTGTTGATCAATATCACCGCTATAAGGTTCATGACCCAATGTGCACATATTAAATTTTGAAGCATGAAGAAAACTCTGGATATTGAAGATAACCTCCCCATAATGTTTAGCTCTTTCTCATAAAATCTTTTTTTTATTATGCAATGTAGGAAGATGTGGGGATTATGAAGAATATGGGGTGGGATGCTTATAGATTCTCTATCTCATGGTCAAGATTATTACCAAGTAAGTTCATCCACATCCTCACATTTGGTTGTCACCAATCGTCATATTTCTGCCTTCATGTTGATTTTAGCTTAAGTAATGTGTCCAAGTTGTCTACCGAATAATATAAAAAAGATTTTTGTTTCAATTAAAATAATTAATTGAAATAACTGAAGCAAAAATATTATTTTTTTTCAAAGATAAATTAAATAGAAGTCGAACTTCAAGTTTCGACATATAGTCCAACTTTTTTAAAGTTCAGTTTAAATTGTATCGGTGCACTTATTTCGTTATGTTCTGGTTTTGTTTTAATCATTAGATGGAAAGTTAAGTGGAGGAGTGAACAAGGAAGGAATCAAATATTACAACAATCTCATCAATGAGCTCTTACGCAATGGTGAGTCATCCCACCTCACATGATCAATAATTTATAAAATTGCAGTTTCATGCACTCATAAAAAATAAAAAAAAGCTCGTTTTATCAAACTTATAACTCGCTTTTATTGATCATGCCATTTATAGGTCTAACGCCATTTGTGACACTCTTTCATTGGGATCTTCCCCAAACTTTAGAAGATGAATATGGTGGTTTCCTAAGCCCTCATATCATGTAAGTGAAGAAATTAGTCCTCTGAATCGTATTAATAATTCAATTAATAAATACAATTATGACATTGACATTCTTAAATGTGTATATACAGCAATCATTTTCAAGATTACGCAGAACTTTGTTATAAGGAATTTGGTGATCGAGTAAAGCATTGGAGCACATTGAATGAGCCATATACCTTTAGTAACTTTGGTTATGCACTCGGGTCTCATGCGCCGGGACGATGCTCTACTTGGCAACAACTAAACTGCACCGGGGGAGATTCATCTACTGAACCATATTTGGTAACACACCACCTGCTCCTTGCACATGCAGCTGCCGTAAAATTGTACAAAAATAAATATCAGGTACAATTCAACAGTTTTTTTGTTTGTCATAATATTGGATTCTAAGTTGTAACAAGAGAGCGACTACTTTACTTCTTTGTGACTCTAAAACAAACAAACTAAATGTTCTTGTGCAGGCCTCTCAAAATGGAGTGATAGGGATAACACTGGTGTCACATTGGTTTGAGCCCCTATCAGAAGAAAAGAAAATAAGAATGCTGCATTACGAGCTTTGGATTTTATGTTCGGATGGCAAGTGTATTTTGAATTTACTTATGAATATATAATATTTACTACTTACTAGCAAGCAATGTATATTATAATGTCAAGTTAATGCTTGAAATTTTTACATTCTTGTAGGTTTGTTGAGCCATTGACAAGTGGTGACTATCCTCAAAGCATGCGATCTCTTGTCGGAAGCCGGTTACCAAAATTCACGAAAGAACAATCCAAGTTGCTAATTGGTTCATTTGATTTTCTTGGACTAAATTACTATGCTGGTTACTATGCAAGCGATGCACCTCAAAATAACTCTGTATACGCAAGCTACACAACAGATGCTGGCATTAATCTTTCATGTGAGTAAAAATTCAGAATTTAATTCATGCACTTTAAGTTTATGGACTAATTAGATTCTGATATTCATATGTGTTGTGGCAGCTGAGCGTAACGGGGTCCCTATCGGTTCAAAGGTACACATCAAATTACTAGATTATACCTTTAGGATTTTGACCATTAATCGTTTTGCACTTACAAACGTGACTCTTAAAAATCTAAATATCTTCAAATTTGGGTGCAGGGTGCTTCGGAATGGCTAAATGTTTATCCGCAAGGAATTCAAGATCTTTTACTCTACACAAAGAAAAAGTATCACAATCCAGTCATTTACATTACTGAAAATGGTAATTATTTCCAGCCTTAAGTAATTGCATGATCAATGTTTCACATACCTTTGGTGTAACACACACAAGTAGTACAAAGTCTCTAAATTTAAAATGTATTATATTGTAGGTGTGGATGAGTTCAATGATCCGAAATTATCACTTGCTGAAGCCCTTAATGATACCCATAGAATTGACTACTACAATCGCCACCTTCATTATGTTCAAAGTTCTATTGAGTAAGTGTATTAACAAATTCATTTAGAATATATATATATATATATATATGTATGTATATGGTCTAGTTTTAGATTTTGAGTTATTGATTCATATTATTGACATAAATATATTTAATTTCTTTTAGCAATGGTGTCAAAGTGAAGGGATTCTTTCCATGGACGTTGCTAGACAACTTTGAATGGAGTTCGGGATATAGTGTTCGATTTGGTATTACCTATGTGGATTACAACGATAGGCTTAAAAGGCACCCAAAACTCTCGGCGCACTGGTTCAAAAGTTTCCTTAAGCCGTATTGAAAACTTCAGATCATATTCGTCATTCAATATTTGTATTTAATTCAATAATGTGAATTTTATATATGTACAATAATTTTAGAGATTCCAAATTTATGTACATACAAAATTTGAATTCCAAAGTTGTGTACATACAATAATTTCAATTTTATTCCTTTTATAAGATTAAATTTCCATTAAACCCTCGTGTAAAATTAAACATTTATTTTTAGTCCTTTTGATGATTGTCAACATACACATAATTATTAAACCCATTTGTTTGTAGTTCTTTGGCTGATTGTTCCTAATTTTCATCTCTATTTGTTTAAATTCCATTGTACTTTGACCATTATACCACAGTGTCAAAAAAAAAATTGAAATTTAGTGGATTGTTTACAGGCTACAGTACAGTCATGATGTATGGCTTGAGTCACGAGCGTGTATGCGCAAACTGATCACTAATCGGACTTGAGGCTCAACCCTAATGACCCAAACTGTCTACTTGTTAGAATCTCATAAAACATAATCCTAACAAAAAAAATAATCAATCACATTGGAAATTATCTAATTATTTAGTCATTGGTCAAATTGTAAACTTTAACATAGAGAAGTTTCTATTCTCTGTGTTTTACCATGCTTAGATGGGTTAGAGATCATCATAAAGGTTGCCCCTTTTTTTGGTCAATCTGGTAATATCATTAAACCAAGGCAAGGAACACGCTAGTTACAAAAGCACAAGTCTAAAAGACAAAGCAGCAATTAAAAACCAGAAGCCTAGACCAACGAAAACTGAAATAAACTAGAGTCACGATGTGAAAGCAGGCAGAAGGCCACAATACTTCAGAGTATTCATCTTATAATTGACAAAGACGCAAATATCTTAAGTGATTCGAGTCCACACAAATCTTTTGCAGACAATAGTGAATTTGTGCCTTAAACAAAAAGAAACAAAGAAGTCGAACACTTGGATTACTGCAGAGGCTCACAAAAATTTATCTTCCTTTAACATTTAAAATTTTCACATTAACAAAATAAATTTCTTCAACATATGCATGTCAAAATTAAGAATAGCCCTGATTCCATATAAAATTCTAGGAGATTAAAAAAATATTAAAAAATAATTTTGGAAGGTAAGTTTCAAATTTGGAGGAAAGAACGCGAAGAAGTGATGAAATTGGTACTTAGGTGACGAGGGGTAAATTTAAATGCTATTCAGACAGACAAAGCAATATTCACACACTTTCAAAACTTGACCAAAGATAATTATGTCTAGTCAACAACTAGTCATGAAAGCCATAACCAAGAACACACACACAGAGCATAACTATATGTACCTGCAAGCGTAGAAGATTACTAGTGATAACCTAGGCACTCAGAAGGACCCGTCAATCTAGGCATCCCCTGTGCTAGTAACTACTATGGTAAAAGTGTGTGAAAAAATATCATAATCAAATAAACAGCAAATGGCAAATAATGATGACTAGTCAACCGCAAGAACACAAACCCAGAAACGCATAACATCAAGCGATGACTATTCAACTATCAAGAACTCATACCCAAAAAATAACAGATCTGTAAACTAGAAATTGTTCACCCAGAAACCCACCACTGGGAAAAATTGGGGATCATCAACCGACCAAGAAATCCACTAAGAAAAGAAGATTCTTACAAAGAAACACAAGCAAGCTCAAGAAATCCTAGATCTATTTAGCAAGATGAGTTATACCTCCTTTGTGCAATCTTCTTCTCCAACTTAACAATACTAGCAGCTTAGTCCTTCATGGCAATGGCAGCTCCTTCTTCAGTTCTTTCATCCCATGGCACCAGCTAGCCAGCTCAAACTCGAACAGAAACCAAAAATTTCGATTCAAGGAGAAAATGACCAATTTCTTCAAGAAACCGTACTCTTGAAGACACCAATCTTGAATCTGACCTAGATGTATATGAGAATGTGTTTGTTCTAGCTAGATGTAGATTTCATATTTCAAAAGAAGTATTCGAAAAATCAATTTAGAAAACTCATAGATGAAAATTGTGGTTTTCTCTTGAGGAAGAAGAGAGAGCAAAAGGATGGAAGAAACCTTTTCAAAACCTTACCTCAAAAGTAAAGGCTACCAAATGAGGAATCATTTGGCTTTTACCCCAAAATTCCTAGGTCATAATAGTACACATGGCAGCTGAGAACATTCGTAGAATAAGACAAAAAAGTTTGGTAGGATTCAGCTAGAAACCAGTAAGCTAGAAAACTTAATGATGCAAAAGATAACTAGTCATACGAAAACAAGATGACTAGTCATAATCTTAAGAAATCTAATGAATGCAATGCACAAATTACCTTTGCCAATATGATTGATCTTCGATAAGATAGCAGCCAGACAAGAACACTTAGAGAAACTATTCTTAAACTAAACTTGAGCTTGGGTAATTACAATGTATGTCCTACTACAATATTGTCAAAGGAAGCCAAAAGAAAAACTTAAAAAGCATAAACTCAACAAGTGATAATAATTTTCAGATGTGCTTGCGTAAGTAGAAAAAGTCAAACAAATTAGGGAAAATATTAAGTTCTGCTCATATATTTATTCTTCTTCAATATGGAGGTATTTATAAAGAAGTACAATCCTAAATAAAATAGGAAATAAACCCAAATTACAATAGAAGTACAACCAGATCTTCATGCACCCTGAAGACCTAGCCCACACCTCCTTCATCATGGATCGTGGTCTATACTACTATAAGGTGATGCCCTTCAGGCTCAAGAATGCTGGGGCTACTTATCAGCGCCTGGTGAACAGCCTCTTCGCCCCACTGATTGGCAACACCATGGAGGTTTATCTTGATGACATGCTAGTCAAGAGTTGCACTGCTGACCAGCATATCCCTAACCTCTCTGCCATGTTCACCATCTTGAAGGAGTATAGAATGAGGCTCAACCCTACCAAGTGTGCCTTCGGGGTGGCTTCAAGCAAATTCCTTGGCTTCATGATCAGCTAGAGAGGTATTAGACCAATTCAGAAAAGATCCAGGTCATCTTAGACATGACGATACCTAAGACGGTCAAGGACATTTAGAGCTTTACCGAGCGTGTCGCAGCCCTAACCAGATTCATCTCCAAGGCTACTGATCTATGAGCCCCATTCTTCAAAGCACTTAAGAGTAGCAAACGAAGCATTACCTGGACTACTGAGTGTAACAAGGCCTTTAGCGAGCTCAAGGAGTATATAAGCCGGGCCCCTTTATTGTCAACCCCTGAGCCTGAAGACATCCCAGAAGTTCTCTGGTCCTGCCGCACTACCTTCTGTACCTCAACAGGAGAAACACCGTTCTCTCTTTCCTTTGGTACTGAAGTCGTGGCATCAGTAGAGATTGGCCAGCCCACATACCGAACCTCCACTTATGAGGCCGAAGCCAATGACAAGCAGTTAGCCCTGAACCTCGACTTCATTGACGAGCTTCGTGACCAATCCAGTATGCACAACGTCGCGTACAAACAGCGCATCGCTAAGTACTACGACTCCCGAGTCAAACTCCGTGCTTTCAAACTTGGGGACTGGGTCATGCACAAGGTTTTCTTGGCCACCAAGAATCCTGTTGAAGGTACCTTAGGCCCTACATGGGAAGGTCCTTATGAGGTTACTAAAGACTGCAGACCCGGCACGTATCAGCTTCGCGATCCCAAAGGCAAGACCTTGCCACATCCTTGGAATGCTGATCATCTCAAGTACTTCTATAAGTAAACATACCTAAACCCTAGGACATTATGTTTTCTTATACTTTGGTTTTGAGCCATGACTCTGTACCTTCTGCCTTTCGGCACCTACTTAATGAAATGCCTAACTCTGGCTGCTTCTCATTAATCACATGATTATCATTTTGCTAGCACAACTGATATCAAATGACAACACAAGTCTAATATCATAGCAAATCAAAATAACCTTGCCCCAGGCAAGGCAAAATGTTCATACAAAACAGAAATAAACATCAAGTGTTTCAAATAAATAACTACAGTACATAAAGAAAGCAACGCCTTCAAGACTCGGTAGAAAGGGCATCCGTAGTAGCTGGCTCTGGCTCTGGCTCGGTGCTAGGACTAGGTGAAGGATGCTCGCCACTCGTATCAAAGTTAATCTCCATCGAAGGGTTGAACCTCGCCAACCTCTGCTCCCAACGCAGCTGCATAGCCACCATCTGATCTATAATGTAACTCCGCAACTCCTCTGAACCCTGAAACGACTCGATTGCTTCTGCTCGGGCAGCAACTATCTTTTTAGCCTTTTTCTGCTCTACTTCAGCCCGGGCAGCAGCTACCTCCTCTGCCCTCAACCGCTTAAGCTCCTCCACCTCCTCGGCCAGCCCCGCCTTCTGCAATAGCAGGGCGTTCTTCTCCTGGATGGCCTCCTGCGCCTCCGCTATCGTGTCCTTAGCCATCTCATTGTGCCTCTTCAACCTCTGGATCTCCTTATCTGCCTTAGCCATGTTCATGTACATCTCGCCATAGGCCTGCAACACAAGGCATCATCAATCAAAGCCAAACTAGAATGATAAGAACAAATTCATAACGCAAGACAACTTACATAGGCATGGGTAAGAAACGTCTTATGGGCCCAATCTGCATAGGAAGTGGTCGGTGTCCTCGCCAAAACCTCAGGGTCATACTTCATGCATTCCAGGAAGACGTTCACCAAGAAAACCTCCTGCCGATGCATGGCTAGGTTTATCTCCTTCTTCTGCAGACACAACTTGGAGAAGTCCATCTTCTCCACCCCCTTAGCATAAACGTCCTCCATACCAAAGGGGAGCTTCGGCGACGCCTGCAGGTCAAAGGAATGAAGCATCGGCCCTGTTCCCATCACACTCCGGTGAGCTTCATCCAGCGCTCTCTTCTTTCCCAGCACATCGGCAACCATGCTTCATCATCATCTCTATGACACTTCCCAGCCGCTTGCCTGGCAACCCCTTCCCAGCCATCTGCGCCCGAGACTCCTTAAGCCGTTTCTGCATCTCGGCATCATCCAGATCCACAGCCACCTTCATACTTCCCTTTATGATACCTGCCACTCCACATCAAAAGTTAAGTTAGTCACAACTACAAAAAGGAAATCGAAAGGCAAACAACAAAGGTGACCCAAGTACTTACTCCCTTGCAAAAGGCCGGACTCAAGCAAATTCTTTTGGGTGACTAAGTTTTTACACTTACGCTCGGTCTCTGACAACAGTGACCTCACCCTATCTACCTTGTCTTCTTGCTCCTTGAAGATCGGCCCCCACTTCACTAAACCTGCACCAAAGGTTAGATACTACTCAGCCATTTACACTTGCACAAGCAAAAAATGGAGAACCAAGAATCAAAGCAAATAACCACACTACAAAACAATAATCAGTCTTAAATGATGAGGCCAAGAACCTATAAACTGGAAGTGGGTAGGAATGTGTTTGGAGACGGTCTTCCCTGGTGGACACTCCCAATCACCATAAGTCAGGCACAACCTGTTTCTCCAAGACTTCTGAGTAGAAGGCTTGTGACTAATAAAATAACCCATCTCCTTTACCTTTCGGCAATTGGCCTGTACCCATCCAAAACTTCCCTGCTGCTTGGAGATCGAGTAGAGATACATAAACTGCTCAAATGTCGGCTCCCCCAACCCAGCCAACCACCAAGCAATATAAACCCCATGAGAAAGAAGCCAAAAGTTGGGATTATACTGCCCCAGCGCATACCGCAGCTTTGCCAACATCATCTGCACCCACGGATGCAACGGTAGTCTGAAGCCATGCTAATACATATCCGTAAAAATCATCACTAAACCCTCTGGAGGGTATCTGACCACATCAGCTGCAATGGGTAACCTCAAGCCCACATAAGCTGGAACACTATAATTTGTCCGAAGCTCAGCCAACTTTACTTTTGTAAGAATATTCCGCCTAGCCAAAGGGACACCAACCCGTATGTCTACCCTCTCTAAAGTTGAAGCCATGGCTATACCCACAGACCCTGATGGTGATGCCTGATTGCTCGAGCCCACCTCTGGTGTATGAGGCAAGGCTAGAACCCGATCAACCACAGCCTCCAACACTTTGTAATTCCTCTGCATCTATCTGTACTCAGCCTTCAGAGAATCTATTGATGGCTCACCTATCTCACCATCATGAACTACCATCCTACTTTCTATGATATCTTCTACCAGACCCTCTGTCTGGGAACTCTCCCCTTCAGAACAAACATATTCACTGGGCTTTTCACTCTCAATATCATCCCCACCTAAGGCAGGGGGGTCAGGACTTTCTTTATCAAAACTTTCAGACATCTACAACATGCAGAAACAAGGAAAAAGAACTAATGCACATGCAAGAAGGATCGAAAACACAAGAACACGAAAAGGAGGGCACACCTATATGCTCTTTGATCTATGAACAACATTCAACAAGTTCTTATCAATGTTCAAGGTGTTCATCATATTCATACCAATATTCAAGGTGTTCATCCTAATATTCAACATGTTCATACAAAAAAAGACATTTCAATTCAAAAATTCAAGGGAAATAAGGTCTAACCTTGTTTGCACCACCACCGAATGACGCCGGAAATCACTTTGGCCACAAGCACCACCACCAAAATCTCGCCTGAAATCTCTTTTCTCCTTCTCACTTTCTGGAAATTTCTCTCAAAATTCTCCAAGTGTGAAGCCTTCGTAACCCCAAACTCCTATTTATAAAGTCCCAATGGTACACAAGAAACCCTAGCACCCTTTCAGTTTCCCTCTCAAATCCCTTGTACCTGCACAACTATTTGAATTTCAAATTTCAAATTTTTTTAAAATTTTAAAAAAAATTTAAAATTTAAAAAAAAAGGGAAAAGGGAAATCGAAAAAAACCTTGTCAAACGTCAAGGCCCATGGAAGTGAAAAATGGAGGCCTCACAACTCAATCTTGTCCAAAATACAACTAAACACCGACCTTTGTCCTAGCTCTAAAGGCCTAGCCCAACAGTGAACACAACGGTGCCCTGCCGAAACAACACAGGTTTCCACATGCTAAGGCCCAAACTCATCTTAGCTACCTTGATGAATGGCAGGTATGGGCCAAGGAGAGCCAAGGTCCAACAAAAAAAAATTCCCATAGACACCTATTAAAACAACATGTGTGGGCTTAAAGGGCACTGCCGAACGGCAGGCACCGTGGCAAAGGAACAGGGGGACTCACCAAGATTCTCCTCCTTGCCCAAGCTACGCTGACCTAGCTTCAAGCCCTAACACATCCAAGCCTTGACGAAACTTGTTTGGACCGGCTCCAAGATTGCCAAAAGCCCAATACCTTAAGCCTCTTTCGGAAACAGCAGGATCCTGGGCACCTTGCGAGTCTCCAAGGCCCAGCCCTTTGAAGAAATCCAGTTCCTAACGGCCACAAAGCTCATGACAGTCACAAACTCAAGTCAACAAAACGAACTTTTCCAGCTCGGCCCCAAAACAAAGACTCACACTACGAATTAAAGGCTAGAACCAACAGTGCGCTGCACCCTCCTTTGACAAACAGCCCAGCTCAAGGGTGATCCGTGACTCAGCCACCGTGTCGCTACCTACAAAACATGAGGACTCAGCCAACTTGTAGAAGATCCAACAACAAAAAGCAAAACAACAAAAGTTCTCAATACACCCTTCCCGAACAGCAAGGGTTGAGCGAGGCAAATGAGGGTTCGAAAAGATACTTGCCTCACCAATTGCCGACGATTTCAGCCCGTACTTACCGACTCTGCCCTCACAGCCAAAACTAAACCCGGTGGCCTCCTCACAGAAACATGCTTACCGATTTTCAAATAGCCCAGCCCTAAAACTCTCACGCCACCCTTCGAAGGAGAGTTGCCCAGAGGACAAGGATACTTGCAGACCTGGCAGCTCACCAAAACACCTTCGACCCCTACCGAATGTGCCAACCCCAAGTCACGTGTATTTTTTGAACTTTCTCCCTTTTTCAAATTCTAGCCGGACATTCTCCTTCTAGGACCTACTGAAATCAAAACCATCAATCAAAATTAATTCCGGATTAGCATTGCCGAACGGTAACTCACATGCGAAATTAAAGAGGCATCCACAAACACTTACTTCTAGATAGGCCTAGTCCAGGTTCCAAACCCTCCCTTGTCGAACCTCTCAGGACCCGACACCTGCTACAATTGGGCTGATCCTGCATCAACCGACGAATCGGGCTATGCTTCCAATACTAATGAGTCCGCAACAACGGCACAACGAGTGCCGAACGGCAACACCTCAAGACTTTCTTAATCACCGGATCGAAACCAAGCACCACTCTTGCACGAATGTGCCTAACTCCCGCACGAATGTCCTCTTCAATGGCCCTTGCCGAACGGCAAGGGACGTGCTGAAGCAAACGAGGGCTGTCGCACTGCAGAAAGGAGGAACCACTGTGAGCTAAACAACCCCTGCCGAAACTTTAATGGCTCAAACCTCTGAGTTCCCGCACCTACACAAAAAGCTCGACCCGTGCTCCAGCTTCTGAGACCTAACTCTCACAAGCTCCCTCTCACGATCTCAAAGACGCAGAAGGTAGATGGCTTGAACGAAGGCTGCGGTAGATCTGAAACTAATGGGGACTGGCATAATTTTATTTCCAAAACCCTAGCAACTGATTATGTCTATGAGACTTGCCGAAGCCCAGCTCTTACCAAGGCCCAAACTAATTACTTCACCGTGACTGAATGACGAAACCTAAGATGAAGCAATTTGCGGCCTCGACTTACTCTTGCCGAACGGCAAAAGCCATGCCGAACCTTTTCGGGCCCCCTCTTCCTCATCTAAAACTTCTTTGTCGAAGCCCACTCCAAGGAGGACTAGCTCACAGCCCCTCCTTATCGAACCTACCCAGCCTTTCGGCTATCAAACCAAGGCCCAGCCCAGGCCGTCTCGGTCCCTTGTAGAACAGCAAAGACCATGCTAAAAGAAACCTAGGCCCAATGCTCAAGATTCAAACAAAAAATAAATAAAAAATTTGCCGAACGGCAAGGTCTGCTGAAGCAGGCAAAGGGCTCACCCAATCTTCCCTTCGCCGAAGCCTAACACCTCAAACACAAGGGCCCAGCCCCCAACCTCCCTGCAAAATGCCCAGGTACCCAGCTACCAACAACATTAAAAGCTCACACAGCCACCATACCTTCCAAGTGTTGACGCAACTTCTAGCTTGCCAACTTGGGGGACTAGGGAATGCCCTACGGCTCCCGCTGAAGCTGGAATACTCGGCCACGATTACACAAAAATCTAACAAGTTCCCAACCCAGAAGTTACTTCTTGATCACAAACTTAGGGGACTACTGTTTACACCATAATCAACCAAGCATATCCAGCCTCAAAACAACTAGCACCAAGGCAGCCACGCCTTCTCCCCTGCCGAAGGAAGACCCTCTTCCAAGGTGCCAGACACCTGTCGAAGCTCCCGACTGCCGACTCTCTCAAACTGCTAAACCTAATCTCCATGACACATGTCATCACCACAACGACTTGCACAAAGTCCCACATCGAAATTCTACACAAACCTCCCACTTTCACTTCCCTATAAATAGGGAACAGTACTCTAGTAAAAAGGACAACTACTTTCTTACTTTTACTATTACTCTGCCAACGTTACTACACTTAACTGACTTAAGAATCGGAGAGCCTTCGGCGGGCACCACACTGGTGTCCGAAGCTTAACGATTACTTCTCCTACTTTGTCTTCCGCAGGCTAGCCCCTTACCGAAGATCCACACCTTCTCCACTGCTGAAAGCAAACCTCTTTTCTCTAAGTTGACCCTCTCCGAAAAAGAGCATCAACAGAATAACTTCACAAATTCAAAATAGTTCTAAATAATTATCTCCAAAGTTTTAGAATTTCTATAATTTTGAGCAATTTCTTCCACCATTTTGCACAGACAACTCTCCCACCATGCCCACCACCCAACACCTCCTCCACCGCCTACTTTTTTATTTCTCTCTCTCTCTCTCTCTCTCTCTCTCTCAGAGCAGCCCCTCCCCTATCCCCACTCTCTTATCATCTTTCCCAACCACCATCCCCACTGTATCATCCTAGCCTAGCCACATTTGCATGAAGATTCCTAGAATATTTTCTAAGAAACATTACAAAATAAATATATATATAATTAGAAATTCAATTTCAGTTAAAATCATTATCTGAAATTCGAATCTGTTAAATAGTTATTGTAACTGTTGGATGAAGAGATGTCAGACCTCTATATATTGACAAATCGTCCAAACCATAAAATACACAATTTGGAACAACATTATTATTCTCACATATATGCACAAGGATAGAGGAGAAATACTGTCTAAAGGATACTACAACTTTGCAGGACTCTATCATCTATCCAAGTCAGTACTTTATAATTTATTCTATTGTTATATTGATTTGATTATATATATATATATATATATATATATAAAGCATATTTCGATTTCTTATTATTCTGTTATTTGGTTATAAACTGATTGTTATTCAACATTAATTTCTGACTATATGTGCTCCTCATGTACGTTTTATATGTATGGTTTCAACAACAAGTACTGCTGGGCCTTCCTCTTTACCACTATAGCACTAATTAATTTCATATGAAATTCTAGGAGATACCAAGAAGAAAAAAGATTCTAAAAAGTTCTTCAGTTGTCGAGAGGAGAAGAATGTGAAGATTTTATGATAATCTTGAGATGCTATTGCTTGAACATGTATATAGCCACCGTCAAAGCTTATGCCTTCCACGGACAATTCTCATAGTAATTTTATTTTCTTTCAAAATGGCCTCAAGATAATTTCAAATAAGATAAACATGCAGCAAAGACTTTTTGTTTACTCTTTTTTATTTTCCATGCGTAGGAAATGGTTTTCATTAACCTTAATTCCCATATCGAATAGAATTTATATATACACAAATCATGGCTTGTGGGAACTAAATATTTATGATGGTGCTGTTAAACGACATGAGGAGCATATATGCAGTTGCAACATCCTACAATACAAACAGTTTTTTTTAGCCCAATTCAAGGCAGTTCCTAGTTCATAGATTAGACCATGTAACAGAGTTGATATAGATTAATGTGTTATGGGAGTTCAAACTTGATATCATAGACCTACAAATGGAGGTCCTTTTTCATTGGGCTAGAACTCGTTCACTATTATGGTTTGTACTTTGATTTCTCTCTCATGTTGTACGGAGGTGATGTGGAAATTTTAAATCTTAATAATTCATTTTCGTAGTTACATCTGTTTTTGAATAGGGTGATTTTATTGGCACCTCAAAATTTGCTCTTTGTACCCCATATTCTTTTTACACCCTACTAAATTTTAGTAAAATTTAAAATTACTCACTACACCTCATTTTTCTTCCTAAATTGCCCTCATGAACCCCATTCCTTAACTTACCTGTGCAAACCCCACCGAAATAGTACCTTGTTCAGTGGTAGTCCACTGAATTTGTTCCCATTTTTCAGTGGCTGTCTATCGAATCTATTTCCGTTTTTCAGTGGTAGTTCACCATATATGTTTCAGTTTTTTAGTGACAGTCCACCGAATTTGTTTCCATTTTTCAGTGGTAGTCTACTGAATTCGTTTCTTGTTTTAGTGATCATTTACTGAATTCATGAGTTTGTACTTAATATATTTTTTTAATATGAAAAGGACTCGCAGAGGTCCTACTGAGGCTTCATCATCTCGACCTAATAGATAGCGTCCCACAATCTCAATAAGGAGACATAAAGCGGCAAGGTTAGCCCCTCAAGAGGACCAACCCCATCATAGTCCCCCATACCACTATGAGGATACTACAAAGGTTGAAGATGTAGCTGCTACTCATGATAGTAATGTTGACGTAGAGGTTGAAGATGTAGCTGCTACTCATGATAGTAAAGTTGAGGTAGATGTCGAGCTTACTGAGCCATCTCAAGTAGGTCTCATTGATTTATCTTTACTTACGAGTTTTAAAACTCACATAGCAGCTACAACTTGGAATAACTAGTTAAGTCGTTTTACTGTAACAATAGAAAGCTGAATATAAGTCTAGTTTATGTTAATTTATTTTTTTTTTTTTTTTTTTGTTTTTGTCTTGTAGGAACGTGAAGCACCTTAGGTGCATGTCGAAGACATCTAACCCTTCGTTAGTGTTTGTGCCTAATAAATCACGGTCGTCAGAAGGGACCTCTTCTCGGTCGTGGCACCTGTTCATGGACTGAAACGGCCACGTTTCATCAGACATTTAGCCTTTTCGAAAGCAGAAGAAAATGCGAAGGCAAGATCTTCTCGGCCTCACAACCACGACATTATGGGCCGAGGCCGAGGTCCATGAAAGACCCGGCCAAAGAGATTGTGGTCAAATCGCCACGTGGCCTCAGGGTCCCACGCCCCATTTAATGAAGTAGTGCCTCTGACCGCCACAGCAAAACCACTGGGTGCAATAAGCATTTAATGCACGAGGGCAGAAGGGAAGTGATTGAAGTCAGGATTTGGTAACATGAATCAGAGTGGTTAGGCGCAAACATTCTCACAAAGCATTCTCACAGCTTGAGGTCAGGGCACCAACCACTGGACCAGAGCATTGAATGCGTTCCCACGGCCAAGGGAGTAGAGCCTACGATCAGGGCGGTGGCCGAGATTTATGGGGGTCACACCACCATGCTTCTCAACCCAGACCACCATGCTTCATGATCCCAAATGCCGATTTGACTACCCACTTGACCCGATCAGACTCCACCATGCAGATATTTTTAAGCCATCAGGCAGATCTTTTTTCAGCCTCGATTGGCCTTCCAAGACTCCTCCTATAAATACTGAGCTCAAGACCACGTTCAAAAGGTTCAAACACCAAACCAAAAGCCTCCCACGGAGCAACTTATATTTTCTGCAATGCACTTTCAATACCTTTACATGCTTTCCTAGGAGTAGTGATAGATTGTAAGGAAAATCCATTCATCAATATATCATACGACCCTTGATTTCTCAAGGCGCCGGAGCATCATCCTTGTTACCGCCTCATTCACCCCATATATCATACGACCGTCGCTCTCTGAGCAACGCGCCGGAGCACCCCCAAAATCCACCAACACCACCACTAAACAGCCTTGTAGCTCAGGCCGTGAACCTGACGGCCGAGATAAGTTCCTCTCTCGGCCACAATGTTTGACTAGAAGTCTAACTCCAAACAGGCGCATCATTTGAACATCTTCTACCCAAACCCCATCACCATCTCAACGCACGGTAGACCGTGCTGGCACGCCCGCGCACAACCGCAACGCATCCAAAAGAAGAACGTCACGTGTTGACGCACATCCCCTCAGCACGGAGCACCAGGCCGCGAGATTTGCGACGGACCAACAGTTAGTAGAATTGGTGGGCCAATCCAAGGACTTGGGTTACAAGTTTACTACGAGTAGGAAACTAAAATTGATTATATTAGTCTAGAAAATTCCAAAATAATAGGAAACCTCGTCAAAACACGCCAAAACATCGATCACACAAGCGAAACTATTCTTAAACCGGCCAGTCGTCGGGATTGAGCGACCGGTCACTTGGAAGAAAACACGAAGAGCTGGTCTTGGCAAAAACCAATAGGTCCCTTGGCCAACAGCGACCGGTTGCCAGCTATGCTATTGCCATTCTCTGATGTCTTCTTCTTCCTCTTGCTACTCTATCTTACAGCCCTTATCTCCTCTTCTTCCTCTCACATCTATGGTGAGCCAATCTTCAACAGTACCTTGAATTAGGACATGAAGGAAAATCTCATAAAATATTACAAAGTATTTTTGCTCACCACCCTTATTGGTATTAAGCATTATTCTCTTTAATTGTTGTTGAATCAGCGTGATTTGACGAATCTCAAAAGTTAAACGTGGAGGTCATTGGTGTGTTATATTCTCGAAGTAATTATTATCCAATATTTGATAAAGACCTTCTCCTTGAATCACATAAAATATAAGGACTTGAATATTGTATCAATTTTCAGCACGTATTAATTAGGGTGGACATTTGAAACAGTGACACAGAGAAAAAGATTTGGCTCTCTAGCATCAACGGGTGGGACATGCATCCATTGGGTTCTTATCCAGCCAGTTTGAATAAAAGAACAACTCTTTTTGCTTTAGTTCATTCAGATGTTTGGGGTCCTTCACCTATTATCATACCATCTGGAATCAGGTGGTTTGTTATTTTTGTCGATGATTGCACTAGACTGATGTAGTTGTATGTGATGAAGAATAGGAGTGAAGTAGGCTCCATTTTTCAGACTTTTTATTAGATGATCCATATACAATTCTCACATTCCATCAAAGTAGTTCACTCTCACAATGGTGGTGAGTTTGTTAACATGGCACTCTCACAGTTTTTTCGAGACCATGGCATTCTCCACGAAACCACCTGTCCCCAGACTCCAGCACAAAATGGGGTGGCTGAGAGGGAAAATCGGCATATTCTTGAGACTACCCGCTCCCTTCTGCTTGGTGGTTCTGTACCACAACATTATTGGGCCAATGTTTGTTGAATCGAATGCCATCCTGAATCCTAGATTTTTGAACACCATTAGAGGTGTTAGCTACTCATGTTTCTGTCACCTCTTCCATCAATCTTACTCCTCGTATTTTTGGGTGTGTAGTTTTTGTACATCTCCACACAAATCAGAAGAGTAAATTGGATCTGTGTGCTCTTTGCTGTGTGTTTATCCCAATAAAAGGATACGGTGCTATCATCCGTCATTTCGTCAGTGGTATACTACCATGGATATTAATTTTTTAGAAAGTGAAATGTTTTTTCTCCACTAAGTTCACCCAATATGTTCTTCAGGGGGAGACGAACATGAATAAGTTGGAAGAACACATTTGGTTTCAAATCAACAAGGGAGAAGGGACCACGCCAACTGGTGGTGAAACCAGTCCTGCAATCGATAGCCCAGGATAGCCCAGCCGAGCTTGACGCACAACCAATGCCACACAGCCGAGCCAACCAAACCTGACTCATAGCCAGTGCTAGTGCCGCCACCTATATTCCCCTCTCACTCTACACCAATACCCGCTCATTCCTCTTTGAATGTTCCCGAGGTAAGTAATTTGGTACTTAGTTCAAATCCTATTGATATTGTTAGACAATCTTATCACTTGCCTCACATAGCAAACAGGGAAAAACCACCAAATAGATATTCACCAGATGGCAAAGTGCAATATACAATTGCCGACTATGTGTCCACACACAGATTGTCTATACAATGTCAAGCCCTTGTGAATCAAATAAAAGTAATTGTAAGAGCATCTCCAACCGATATGTCAAACGTGCCACATAGATATTTAATAGTTATAAATAACATCTCATATCACTCCAACCGATGTGTCAAAGCTAATGTGGAATGAAGGCTGGAGGTTGAGATGTTATTTTTGACATCCCAAAAGCAAGATGTCAAATGAATATTTTATTATTTTTTCTTTTCTTTTCTTTTTAACCAAAAAAAAATCAACACTAAAATGTAATAAAATAATAATTTAATTTGACATATCGAGTGGAGTGTAAAGTTGTATAAGATGTCAAATTGTCACATCAGCCATCAAATTTAAATTTGATGTTTGGTATTTGACATCTCCCATAGAGATGCTCTAATACCAAACAAAGTGGAAGAAGCTTTTAAAGATCCCAAGTGGGCCGATGCCATGAAAGTGGAGATGGAAGCGTTTTAGAAAAATGGGACTTGGGATATAGTCTCGTTGCCCAAAAGGAAGAAACCAATGGGATGCAAGTGGATATTCACGATTAGACACAAGGCAGATGGGATATTTGATCGATATAAGGCAAGGCTGGTAGCAAAAGGATATACTCAGACATATGATATTGATTATCAGGAGACTTTTGCTCATGTAGCAAAGATGAACACCATTCGGGTATTGTTGTCTCTAGCTGCAAATTTAAACTGGCCTTTTAAACAGTTTGATGTGAAAAATGCATTTCTTCATGGCGATTTAAAAGCAGAAGTCTACATGGAGTTTCCGCCTGAGTATGGATTGACTAATAACATTGGAGAGGTGTGTAGATTGCGGAAAGCTCTTTACAGCTTGAAACAATCCCCTCGAGCATGGTTTAGAAGATTCACTAAAGCCATGAAGAAGTTTGGGTATCAATAAGGCAACTCTAATCATACCTTATTTATCAAACGCAAGGATGGTAAGGTTACTTTGTGGGTCATTTATGCTGATGATATGGTTGGCACATGTGATGATAGAAACTTCAAAAATATTTGGTGTCTGAGTTTGAGATGAAAGACTTGGGAAGCTTGAAATATTTTTTGGGAATTGAGGTTGCATGCTCTAGTGACAACATCTATTTGTCTAAGAGGAAATATGTGTTGGATTTGTTGACAGAAACATGCATACTAGGGTGTGCACCAACAGACACTTCTATTGTACACAATCATCACCTAGCAATTTACCCACACCAAGTGCCGACGAATAGGGAAAGATATTAGAGATTGATAGGAAGGCTGATTTATTTGTCATATACTCGTCCTAATATTTCCTATGCAGTTAGTGTTGTGAGCCAGTTTATGCAGTCACCTAGTGAAGATCATCTGGCAGCAGTGATGCGTATTTTAAGATATTTGAAGGGAGCCCCAAGCAAAGGTCTAATATTTAGAAGACAAGGGCATTTGAATATCAAAAGATATACTGATACAGATTGGGCTGTAATATTGTTGACAGACGCTCTAAGTCCGGCTACTTTACTTTTGTAGGAGGCAATCTAGTTACATGGCGTAGTAAAAAGCAGAATGTGGTGGCACAATCTGCACCTGAGGGCGAGTATAGGAGTATGGCCAAGGGAGTTTGTGAGCTTCTATAGTTGGGGAGTTTACTAACTGAAATTGGTTTTCAACCACAAAGTACTATGGATCCCTACTGTGATAATCAAGCAACTTGAGAAATTGCAAACAATCCAGTTCATCATGACAGAACCAAGCATGTGGAGGTAGATCGACACTTTATCAAGGAGAAGCTTGTTGAGAAGTTGATTGATATCCCGTTTGTGAGATCTGAAGAACAACTGGCAAATGTATAGACACATGTAGTATCAACAAAGTTGTTTCATAATAACTCACTTGACAAGTTGGGTATAGGAGATATATATGCACCACCTTGAGGAGGAATGTTGGCATGAGTAATCTTTTCGGGAACTTGGTCTCAAGACAAAATTGACAGAAACTTTACCCTCATATTTCTGGAGATCTTCTTTCAAGGCAGAATGGGTAGAAACTTGCGCCATGATTCCAAAGATTATTTCTTTCCCTTTTTTGTACAATATCTTATAATTATGAATATCTCTTGTAATTATGAATATTTACTTTCCTTATTTTATACTATAAATACATCCTTCTGGAGAATGGAATAGATAACAAACAATTCAATCCAAAATCCCCTTTCAACTTTATATAATGGCACAAAAGAAACTGGACACTTGCCAACTTGGAATTAAAGCCAATAAGACAATACATATTGCCACCGCTGGAGAGAAAAGGATATACATCAAAATACCCAAAATGTACCTTTTACTTTTATAAATGTCAGTTTTTATAAAAACTTTCAAAAATAGTCACACACAAAAAACCTGAACATACTTAAATGTCCTCAAAACTAAATCCACATAAAAGTTAAAACTGCTACTATTTGATTATATATATTTTTTTGGGACAAATTCAGGAAACATTAGGAAAAGGAAATCGCACTTGTCGATCCCGCTTCCATCTTCTAACTATCCATTCCATTACTTTCTCAACCCAAAAGCAGCCCCCTCCTCCATCTCCATCATGGGCGGAACCAAGGAACCAAGGCAAGGGTTATCCTTGGCTATAGCCCAAGGAAGGTTTGGGGAAAAAAAAAAAAATTTAAATATACATATAGCCTAATATATATATACAATTTCAACACCGATTGGCATAGTTAGAGGTCTTCCACATTTGTATTTGGTGTCAAAGTTTGTCCCAACATCAATTTGTCTCCAAAAGAGAAGCATTATTCTAAATGAAATTCACCCTTTCGTGAATAATATGGCTCTAATTTTTTTTCTTTTTTTCTTGTGTTTACAATTAGCATGATTTAATGTATATTTTTATTTCTAGAAAAACTATAGAAAATGTAAGTAAAAAAAAATCATTAGATTTTAAGCTAATAACTTTAGCTAGCCCACCCATTAAAAAATTTATGGTTCCGCCCTTAATCTCCATGTAGAGCACTGATCACATACAATACACTTTTTTATATTCAAGTCAAAGTAGCTGATTCCTCAAGGCCATCTTAGTTGTGAGAGGATACTATTTTTTTTTTTTTTTTTTTTTTTTTTTTTTTTTTTTTTTTCCATCATTTTTTACATTAAAGAAGCATGCTGGATTCCAGTAAAAACAAGAAAAAGAACCATGTTGTTCAGTAAAGGGATGAACAAATACGGATCTGATACTATAATATTTAAGATGACACTATGCAATATCATATCATGTATGTATAACTCACTTCATAAACATGTCCAAATTATTATAAGCATAGATAGTTAAGGATCAAAACCTGTACATATATGTTGTGGACTGTTAAGATCCCATGAGCACGACCATGCTTGGCCCTGGATATGTTTATTTAAAAAAATGGTAGACCGAACAAAGAAGCAAGGGAAACACACACACAAAAAATTAAATTAAATTAACGGCACCTACAGTACAGAGAGTTCAACTAGTGCTGCAACGTGCCTACTAAATTCTAAATTTATATCTAGTAGGGTTTTGCATTTTATGTTTATGTGGTTTTAGTTTTGAGGGCACTTTAGTCTATTTAGGTGGGTTTTTTGCTATTTTTGAAAGTTTAAAAAAAAATGACATTTATGAAAGTATGGGGTAAATTTTGGCTATTTTTGATAAAAACTCTACGAAAGTATACAAATTTAAAAAAATTGGTAAAATCTTGAGTGGAAATGTTTGTCCTATGATGCTAACTCGTATAAACTCTATGTTAGTTTGTAAATTCTTTAGTACATGTTATCTCTAATCGTGTGAGAAAAGTCATTGTTTTTGTTATATATAGAAGAATTTATAATTTTAAATTGCATATAATTTAGAAAAGAGGAAAAGCCAAAACTGAATATTATGGTTTGAGGGAATGCTTCTATGTGTTTTGTTTTGCAATTTGTAATATGATTGTAACTTGGCTATTTTCGATAATAATCATTTGTTTTTTGCTATTGTAACTTGGCTATTTCGCGCAAGAAAGAGGCATATTTACGGGAAGTGTTTAAACTATTAACCAAAAATAATAATAATAATGTATGCATATGAATAGTAAAAATTGACTTGTGATGAAACCTTGTGGATCCAGCGACATGCAAGTTACTTTAATTCTTTTAATATATTTTTTTTATTAATGAATTTTGGGTTTTTGTCTTTTCAAAATTAAATTAAGTCTAATTAGACATTTATTCACAGGTCCCTTCTATTAAGGGGTCTCTCAAATAATTTTATTTGAGGGACACCCTTTAGGGTGCAGTACAAATTTGTTTTCAATTATCCAAACTATTTATTTTTTAAGTCTACATGCATAGATCATTCGTACCACAAAAAAAAATAGACAAATCGGAAACCGTTTCGATATCCAATTGTGTCCTACAAAATTAATTAACACGGAGCTTTAAGAAAGTACTAAAATTTCAATAATTCAATTGGATGGTCAAATGACATCGAATTCAAGTGATTTTTTATAGAGATGATTTTTGAATGAATATCTATAAAATAGACGGTTTGGAATAGTGAAATACAATATGGAGTGGGCCCCACAAGGGTGTCCCTCAAATAAACTTATTTGAGAAATCTCTCAAGTGAAGCTCTCTTTTATATACATATACCGCGCATGCCTATTTGAAGTTATGAGTCAATTAAAAGAATTGCTTGTTATTGCATTGACATGTCTCTTTATAACTTCAATATTCGTGTTTCTTTGCATTTAGAATAATCTTCAAGTTCCAATTTATGGAACATGGTTTGCTCAGAATTATTGTTGATCCCTTCGCTGGGTCTTTTATCTTTCTTTTTTTTGGGTTAATCGTTTTATTAGTCCCTGAACTTATACCCGATTCGCATTTGAGTACTTCAATTTCCAAAATGGTTCCTGTGGTCCTTCAACTTCAGTTTTGTTAGGACAAATGGTCCTCCTGTTAATTTTGTTAACTTTTCTGTTAAATGCAGGGGCAAAATGGTATTTTGTATCAAAATTGATTAAAATACGAATAAAAAATAATAAACTAAAAAGTTAAAATTAAACTCTCTCTCTCCCCCTCCATCTTGATTCTACTCCCCCCAAACGTTTTTTTTTATTTGATTTTCTTTTATTGTTATTTTAAAGATATGATTTTTTTTTTTTAATATAAAAATACCATTTTGCCCCTGCATTTAACAGAAAAGGTTAACAAAATTGATAGCATGACCATTTGTCCTAACGAAAGTGAAGTTAAAGGACCACAGGAACCATTTTGAAAATTGAGGTACTCAAATGCAAATCTGGTCTAAATTCAGGAACTAATAAAATGATTAACCCTTTCTTTTTTGATATGTGTCGAGGCTTGTGGATCTGTTAGTATGGGATATAATTGTTTTAATAAGCTAGAATCTAATAATAGTGCTCATAGTTATACCTTAAATACAATATTGTTAAAATTATCTGAAAAAGCTCTTTTGAAAGGATATGAAACTAGATACAAGGGCAAAAATAAAGGAATAAAAATATAGGGGTTAATGCAATGCTGGAATAAGGTCTCTAACATACAAATTGTTTTTTTTTTTTTTTTTTTTTTTTTTTTTTTTTTTTTTTGGAAAAGATGGTATTTCATTAAACCGAAAGGAACATTACATGGTAAGAACTAGTTTGTTAACGGCGGCTAGTTAAAACCTTCCTAGAGAAACAAAATCCTGGGGTAGGAAAGAATACCACACATGCTATTGACTAAACAGAAGAGTCAAACAACTTATACGAAACAACCTAACCACAAAACCCTTAAAACAACATCTCATCACTACGTAGGTACTGTCAAAGAAGTCTTTCTATGATCTAAAAAAAGCATCATAGTTCTTCGTACATAGTCAAAAACGTACTATATGTATCAAAATAGATCCAGCCAATCACCCAACTGCAAAACCATGAAACAAGTCCCATCACTACACAGATACTATCAAAGAAAGCCTCCTATGATCTAAAGAAAGCATCCTAATTCTTTGTACAGAGTCAAAAACGTATCGTGAGCATCATAACAGATCCAGCCAAACACCAACTGCCACCTCCAATGAAACGACCCGACCCAAATTCCACTTTGAGAATCGGGCCTAATCCTGTTTAAGACTGACACCTGGTAACTGTGGGTCGTAAAAGACTAAAATACCCTGAAAACAGTAACATAAATCTTGAGCCCCTAACTCGTGGCTGCGCCTGATAACTGTAGGCTGCCTACGTACCCTTTCTGGGGGATCAAGCCACACGTAGTTCTTTCCTCTGTTCTTGACCTGCAACTGGTTCGTTATTTTGTAACTGGTTTAATTATCCGTAAAACATACTCTAGGGTTGACATTTCTGGAGTATCCGGGACTCCGTTTTACGATCCGTCAAATACTATACGATCCTGGAATTACCTAGATTAACATACTTGAAATTGACTACGATCCAACGGTTCAAACGTATAGAACCCGGAAATCGCATACTAGGCGAGATCCGTTCGGGGTTCAAACGTTATCCGAATTAAGATCCGCGAAATCCTACGCGCTCGTGAGGACTGGGAGATCATTCTAGGACTGACTGTGGTCCCCCACCCTGCTGCCCACGCGCCGCCACACGCGCTGGCAGCGCGTTGTGCCTAAAGCGATAACGCCTCGCCGGAAAATCTCAACATCTCGGTTCAAGACTCCTATCCTAGGTAAAACACCCTATTTGGAACCACTTTTGTTCTTGGACCTACCCCAAAAAGTGGCCGGAAGTGGCCGGAACAGGGACCCGAAAGTCTGCTGAAACCTAACTTAAAAATTGAACGATCTACGCTTAAAATCTCTGAAATCCTACCCAACCAGCAGCTAGATCATGGAAAATTGCTAGAAAACCATACCTCACTCGTCCGATTTGGTGACCGGACGACGGAGAACGAGAGCTCGAAAGTTCTGTCAAAAACCGGCTGTTTTCGGGCTGTTGCCGGCGGCCGGAGCTGCTGCCGGGGGCTGGGATGCGGCGGAACTGAAGGATGGGGTGACGGCGGTCCTAGCCTGACCGGTCCCGTGGCCGGCCGTGGTATGTGGCGGTGCTGGTGGCTTGAAGAAGCCACGGCTGGAGGAGAGAAAACGGGGGGGGGGGGGGGGGTCGCAGAGGAGAGAGAGAGAGATCAGTTTTAAAACATCTGACCTGACAAATTACCATTTTGCCCCTGAACGTATTTTGACCGTATCTCCCTCAATACAACTCGGAATCGAGTGTACTGCATGTCTATGAACTCGTTTCGTCGCGCTCTACGCAATGGTATAACTGAAAGCCCCAATTACTTCCTGGTCAAAAAGTCAACTTTTAAACTAATAAAATATTCTAGGGGTATTTTAGTCTTTTTCTCAAATAAATTAATAATTAAATATTAATTTTGGGTTTGGGTTATTACATCCAATTTTCTTGATCTAGAACCCTAGCTGACAAGCAAGGGAGACCAAGATTGGCCTCTTAGCCTGAAGAAAGATCTTCATAGTAGGAACGTTCAATGGTTGCCAAGCCCACGAAAGTTCTATAGGAGAATTATTAGGGAGATCTTGGAGACCCCTCGAGGCTAGTCTCTTTCTCATTGTCAACAAAATCCTCGATACAAAAACTATGCTTAACAGAAAAATCCATGCCACTAACAATCAGATGCCCAACACCAATTTTAACACGCTTCTGACTCCCGATTGGTGCTGCAAACTTGTCATCCCCTTGAGCAGAAGAGGCGGTGGCCATGTCCATAGCGTTAAGATGGAGACCCCTCACCAGTGATTGGCTCCTTGGGAACCCAGAAAGGAAGCCAATGCAGCCACCCCACATAGAACAAAAGAGCGAAAAATAGGTCATACCCAATTCACCAAGAAGAACCCAAAGAGACAATTAGAGAAGATTGAGAGAGACTGCGCAAAGAATGAGTAAAGAAAACTGAAGAAACCCTAACCTTAGCTATCAAGGCTCTCCTTGTGTGAACGAGAGAATGACCCAAGTTAGGGATTCAAGAGTTATTAGTATACATCGCAAAAGTTGTATTGAAGAAGTTGGCCAAGTGCTTCGTAAACGATGCCCTAACAAACAATAAGCTATAATTTGGTACAATACTTGCCTCTTAAAGTACTCAAATGTGTATGTATATATATATATATATAGAGCTTCAGTTGAAGAATCCCTCAAATAAGCTTATTTGAGAGACTCCCTTGTAGGGCTCACTCCGTATTGTATTTCACTAATCCAAATTGTCTATTTGTAGATACTCATTCAAAGATCATCTTCACAAAAAATCACTTGAATCCAATATCATTTGACCACTCAATTGAATTATTAAAATTTTAGTACTTTCTTGAAGTATCGTGTTCATTGATTTTGTAGGACACAATTGGATATCGAAAGGGTTTCCGCCAATTTGTCTAATTTTTTGCAAATATGATCTATGAATGAAGACCTAAAAAATATATGGTTTGGATCGTTGAAAAAAAAAATGTGTACAGTACCCTAAAGGGTGTCCCTCAAATAAAATTATTTGAGAAATCCCTCAATAAAAGGGGACTATATATGTATATATATATTTACACTAAAGTATTCAAGTTCCAATTTATTGAACATGGTTTGTTCAAAACTATTGCTGATCTCTTTGATGAGTCTTTCATCTTTTTCCCACTTTATGCATGTAGTGGCTTTTGGATCTCTAAGTATTGGGCATAACTGTTTTAATAAGCGAGAATCAAATAATAGTGCTCATAATTATAATTTGAATAAATTATTGTTAAAATTATATGAAACAGCTCCTTTGAAAGGATACGAAACTAGATATCAGCGCACACATAACAGAATCTTTGGGCTAACGCAATTTTGGAATAATGTCTCTAACATACATTGCAAAAGTCGTATAAAAGAAGCTCTTGCTTCGTAAACGTTGCCTTTACAAACAAGGAGTTATAATTTGGTATGATGATCGCCTCCTAAATTACTCAAATGTAAATTTCTTTAATTCAATAGACACGACTAACGGAGTTTATGTGACAAATAAAAATTTCATTCATAATCATTTGTTTGAGCGAAAAGTTGGTCCGTTGTTTGCTCATGGGAATCTGCATATTGGGGGAGTATCGAACAATGATTTAGTTCATGGTGCGGCTCAATGTACTGGTGATCTTTATTCCATCTCTTGTTTGAATTGCCTTTAAATCGCAATGAAGGGACTTTCAAAAACCAATTATGGAAGGAATGGTGGACGAGTTTATTTTGGGAGTTGTTATGTCAAATTCGAAATTTGCCGCTTTATTTATAAAGATTCAACTTTAACCATATTGCACGTGTATAAATTACAATAAATTAATACATGTCGAGATGATGCCATTAATATGTAAAAGCAGTGATTAGTTTTATTTTTTCTATATATGCCTAAGATTGTCTATTTTTTTAATGGAAAAGTTTGTCAGTCTTAACCCAATGTATTGAAGCTTATGTTAGTCCCTCATTGTTTGCATCTTGTGACCTCCACTGAGGAGATAATTTCACTTAATTCTTTACGTGGTTAATGCTCGTATTATCTTTTGTGGTTAATGCTCCAAAACATTATTATCTTTTTATTATTTATGGAGGGAAGGAACCCAAATTTGGGACATTTTTCAACATTATAAAGAAAAGTATCAACAGATTAAGTACTATTTAAAAATGCTTCTATTACTCTTTATTAAGAGTGTAGTCGCATCCATGCTCCCATGGATGTTACACTTTCTTATATATATAGATGGTTATTGATCCAATCCCATTGAAACCTTCAACTCTCAGCATGGTGCAATCGGTCATTTCTTCAACAATTCCTTTTTTTTGCATTGTTGAGGGAAAATGTAAACAAAAATCTCCCAATAAAATTGTTGTGCACGGAATTGGAAGCGTCAGATATGAGACCTATAAAATAAGAAGACAAGATATGACATATGCAAATAAATCAAAAAAACATATAGATTTATACTGGTTCGGCTTATAGCCTACGTCTAGTTTGAAGACGACGATGAAATTCACTAATAACAAAAGGAGAATACAGTGGAGTTAAATTTAGAACAATTTTTATTTACTTGTCAAAAGAGTAAAATACCGTTCCAAAAAATTCAGTTTTTCAAAATCCCATAAAATGCAATTGATTAATATGCTAAAGAGATAATTATTTATCATAGAAGGGTAAAAAATATATATTATACAATAAATTTTTAAAAAAGTATTATTCACCCATCAACTACAATATTCAGTAATCACTTAAGTTATTCACTTTTTTCATAGTTTCCTTACACTTCCACTCAACTATTCTTTGTAATTAAACTATGTGCCATAAGAGAAGTTTATTTTAAGTGATATTTGGGGAGTAGGATTATTATAAAAATAAAATAAAAGAATTCAGGTGTAAGAGGAATGCTCTTAACAAATTGAATTACGAACCTCTAGTAAGAAAAGCCTATTCACAAGCGCATGAGTACATATGGAGAGGTTAGCTAGTAATTTACTAAAATTTGTTAATTATGATAAATTATTGATAAGCTTTTTGGTTACATTAAGGGCATATTTATGTATCAATAATGGAGAAAGTAAGGAATCAAAGAATTCAGGAATTGGGGAAGTATTGAATCGGTATGGGAAGAATCATTCTCATTAAGTTGTTTACTAAATATATGGAATTAGCAAAGGAATGGGGTTGATTCCCATTGTTATTGTTTACTAATTTTCATGAATCATAATCCAAATTAATTTAATTACTAAAATGCCCTGCACATTTTTACCACAACACATATATAATTCTCAAATTGGCTAAGGAGACCAAATTCATAATCCTAATTCATTTTGTTACTCCTCAACCTCACCACTTGCGCTAACCCAAAAAAAGATGAAGTTAGAGTTAACCACATAAAAGTACCTAAATTTTGGGGGTCGTTTCAAATTAGTACTCAACCTTTAAACTTTTGCACATAGATACAACTCACGAAAAACTTACAAATTAAACCCTTTTACCCATGTAACATCCCACATCGACCAACGGAGATGGGGTGATGTGCCTTATATGTACATGCCCGCTTCCATCTAGTACGAGACCTTTTAAGAGTTCAGTGGCTTCGAAGTCGGGGGAACTCCAAAGTTAAGCAAGTTGGAAATAGAGCAATCCCAAGATGGGTGACCCACTGGGAAGTTGCTTGTGAGTTCCCAAAAACAAAACCGTGAGGGCAGAGATGGGGGCCAAAGCGGACAATATCATGCTACGGCGGAGCCGATCCCAAGATGTGTCAATTTGATATCAGAGCCACTCTGCCGTGTGGTGCGAGTGTGCCGACGAGGACGTCGAGCCCCTAAGCAGGGTGGATTGTAACCATAGAACAAAATATCGATAATTTCGCCGATATTTTGGCGAAATTATCGTTTTTTTTGGGCAGCGATATTTTAGCACATTTCCATATATATCATCAATTTATCGATAATTTCGCCGATATTTCAGTAACGATATTTTCGTTCAAGTTGCAGCTTTAAATAGACAATATATCGCGATATTATCGATAATATCGCGATATGAACTTACAAAATTAAACTCAGCCTTCAGATGAATCCCTCAGCCTCCGAAACTCAACCTTTCTCTATCTCTCAACTCAATCTTAACTCAACAAAACAGAAAGAAAAAAAAAGAAAAAAAAAAAGAGGAGAGCGAGAGAGAAGGGAAGAAGAGGGAAAAAAAAATTATAGAGTGGGTTTTTATGTTTTGCTGTTTTTGGATTGTGATGAAGCGAGAGAGAAGAGGGAAGAGGAAGCAGGGAAAGAGACGGAGAGATAGAAGAAGGAAAAACAAAAGACATATAGAGGAGAGCGAGAAAGAGAAGGGAAGAAGAGGGAAAAAAGGTATGGAGTGGGTCTTTATGTTTTACTGTTTTGTGATGGAGGAGAGAGAAGAGGGAAGAGGAAGAAGAGAAAAAGAGGGAGAGAGACGGAGAGATAGAAGAAGAAAGGGATAAATAAATAAATAAAATAAAAAGGGAGAGATGGGTGAATGCCCAAAAGAGAGAGAGAGAAGGCAGGTTGCGTGTATCTGCAACCTTGGGAAGTTCAGACAAAAAAAAGGAAAAAAAAACCTTGGGAAGTGGGAGAGGGAGGCAGGGAAACGAGAAAGTACTTGAGAAGTGGGAAATGTGACTTAATTACTTAATATAATTTATTTCTTTTCTATTTAATCCATTTAATGTTATTGATTATTTTATTATTCATTATAAGTACTTACATTACTAAATTCTCCTTCAAATTGTTGCTTAATTACTTAAATCTCTATAATCATTTTCATTATTTGCTATTTAATTTTTCCTTGGATAAATTTATTTATGGTCTTAGTTCATTTTCAATCTTCACTATTATTTTTTAAGCATGGTAAAGTGCCTAATTTTCATGAAAAATCAAATTGGTTTACATCTTTAATTATTTTTCAATTTTTGATAAATAATAAATATAAGAACGTGTACCGTGTCCAATGAATAACGTGAAATAAATTGTTACTTAATTACTTAAATTTCTATAATCATTTTCTTTATTTCCTATTTAATTCTTCATTGGATAAATTTATTTATGTTCTTAGTTAATTTTCAATCTTCACTATTATTTTTTACGTATGGTAAAGTGCCTAATTTTCATGACAAATCAAGTTGGTTTACATCTTTAATTATTTTTTAATTTTTGATAAATTAATAGATATAACAACGTGTACCATGTCCAGTGAATAACGTGAAATAAGGTTACTCATGTATCTTATCATGCAATTTATAAAGTGCAAAATATTGTACTAAAAAATTATAAATAAATTACTAAGGGGTGTTTAATTCTCTTTCATTAATTACTTCAGATTTTCTAAGTCACAGAGTTTGTCAGGTCGCAATATAATCAACTTAAATCACACAAGCCCACTATGCAATGCATTTCCTTCCAATTTTTTGCGTCAAATAAATAGATGATTGACTAAATAAACATCTTCTAAAATTTCATTAAAAATTTCCATGTATTTATCATAATTTCCGTGGTTTTTATCCAATTTTTATCAATATCGATATTTTCCCGATATTTCCATCGATATTTCCTTATTTTTGAACCACCGATATTTCTGAAACTATCGATATTTAAGACCTTAATTGTAACATCCCACATCGACCAACAGAGAGGGGGTGATGTGCTTTATATGTACATGTCCGCCTCCATCTAGTACGAGGCATTTTAGGAGCTCACTGGCTTCGGAGTCTAGGGAACTCCGAAGTTAAACGAGTTGGGGCTAGAGCAATCCCAAGATGGGTGACCCACTGGGAAGTTGCTCGTGAGTTCTCAGAAACAAAACCGTGATGGTACAGAGGGGGGCCCAAAGCGAACAATATCATGTTACAACAAAGCCGATCTCGGGATGTGTCAACCCAGGCCATCAAAAGAGGCGTTAAGTGATTATGTAGTTTGTCTGACTTGACATTTTTGTGCTGAAGTACACATGGATTAAAAATTAATTAAAAAATATATTTTCTAAATTAATTTAAAAAATAAAAATAAAATATCTAAAAGAATAAAAACATAAAAATTAAAGGGAGACTTTGGAAAAGACCAAAGGAGAGAAATTTTTTAAAAGAAGCCAAAATGGACAAAATTGCCCTTATTTATTTTTGGATTTCCTAAGAAATCATTTACATTTGCATGTCTTTGGTTTGAAAGTTGAGAGGTTTTTCTGTCTTTTTTGAAAAAGCTTTGGCTTTTTCCAAAAGTGAAATTTTTTTTGTGGCTAAAACCTAAATTCACTAAAATTTTAAAACAATAACAACATAAAAAAACCCACCCACCCTTAATCCCAACCCCACCTTCACCTCTAGCCATCACCAAACCTAGCCACCGGAGTCATTACAGGTGATGTAAACGTGGCAATGATGGTGGTGCGTTGGGCCCTCTATTGTCTCTCTCTTCTTTCTTGTTTTTCTTCTTCTTCTTTTTTTATTTTTTTTATTATTTTATTTTATTGCTTTGGAAACATTTGCAAGGATGAAGTTATGACTTAGCAAAATGCCAATTTCATACAAAGCCTCAAACTTGTTTACTACCCTATGCTCTAGCATGAAGTCCACATTTGGAGTCAAGGATTGAATTAAATAGCTACAAGATTCAAAGTATGTTGAAGTAAAAAATGAAGATAGAGTTGATTTTTTTTCTTCATTTAATGGGGATTAGAAAGAAAAGGTTAGGAGTGGGCATCAATCCGACCTAATCAATGAAATTGGCTGCTTTTGGTAATATTTTTGTTGAAAGTGTTGTTGGTACAATTATCAGTTTAAGAGTGTTTGATAAATTTTGTGTAAAAGTGTTGTGAGTTGCGTCTAATGACCAAAAATGGCATACGTTGGAATTATTTTTCTATTCAAGTGTAAAAAGAAAAGCAATTTCATTTTCACTTTCACTTATATAATTCTTGTGTTTAATATGTTTTCTAACCTTCACAACTAAAAATTATTTTAATCATGAAATAAATAAAGTATTATGTTAAAATTGTTAAATCATTGCAATATTTAAGTGCTATCAGGAATAAATAGTAAATAAAATATAACCATGAACGAAAATTTCATTTCTTATGAATAATGTTAGAAATACAAGACTTTATAAACTCAAAAAAGGTGTAGTTCACTAGTAAAAACACTTCGAGCTGTTTGTTTTGGCATGGCAAAAGACCCCTTGGGCTACAAAAACCCACTCCACCAAGCAAATCTAGCCCGTGCCGGAGGTGGGCTCCACCAAGATTAGGCAGGCCTGAAGGCAAGATCAGCCCAAGCTGTTGCCTAATGGTGCTGACATCAACAAAGAAAAAATTTGGAAAACATTCAAAAAAAATTATTATAAATACCTAGCAATTTTTTATTTATTAATCTCATACGTATAAATAAAATTAATCCCATGTGAATAGTAATTTCCATTGGATTGCCATGACAATGGGTGGAAAAGTAAAAAATCAATTGCTAGGACATACTATTTATGTAAATAGTAACCGCCCTTATTTGTCATGACAAATGAGTAGAAGTGTTCTAAGAGCTGCTGTAGGTGGGTGAGTTAGGCTGACGATGGAGGATGGGTCATGGTGGGGCTGGGATGAGGAGAGAGGTGGCTAGGGTTGGGTTGAGATGGGGATGGGGTCGTGTTGGAGGCACAATGGGCTGTGTTTTTATTTATTTGCATTTTTTTAATTTATAATATTTATAAATTGTACTTTTAATTTGTTTTAATTATTTCAAAATGTAATTTGGTCTTTATTAACTTTTTAAGTCCACATCAACACAAAGATTGGCCTACGTTTGCCACATAGTCATTTAAAAGTTTGGTACTAATTTGAAACTACTCCTAAAATTTGGGTACTTTTTGAAGAATATTTATTTTAAAAAAACAAGTTATAGTCTAAATTGCTTAAATCTAATTTACAAGAAGAGAGACTCGAACTTGAGTCCTTACCCGCCTATCCTTGAAGAAAAGTTATTGATGAGTTTGAGTAACATAAAACCATAAAATTGCACAAGTGCTATGGTCAATCAATCAAACAGAAGTTGACCCCAAAAAAAAATTCAATCAAACAGAACGTGGCACTACTTTTGCTTCCAAGAAGTTACCATCTTAGAAAAACTAGTGAACGAAGACCCACCGTTGTTCCAGGCAGCCAAAGCCATTGCTTTCATAGCCTGACTTCGTTCTCTCAGACTTTCTCATCCATCAACAGCGACACCTTCTTCTCCACTTCCTCTGCACTCACAAACCCTTCTTTTGACTCAACTGATATCCCCAGCTTCATCTCCTCCACCAAAACAACACCATTCACCGCCTGCTCTGCATACAAAGGCCACGCCGCCATTGGCACCCCGTAGGTCACTGCTTCAAGCACTGAATTCCACCCACAATGAGTCACAAAACCACCTACACATCCATGGCGCAAAATAGCAGCCTGTGGAGCCCACGACTTCACTACCAGGCCTCTGTTGAAGAGAGAGAGAGATGGGTTCTTCCCAATTCTTCCTACACAAGAAGTAAATGTTGTGCGCCTCTTGGTCTAAAAGGAACCAGTAAGCATAAAGACAATTATTTCCTAAAACAATTATCTTCTTGTGACCAGAAGCTCTTGCCTTTAATTTATTTGCTTTGTTGGTTTTGCCTTCTGCCTCATCACTCAGACTGAAGCATTACTTATGGGCAAGTGAGCTAAATACATGAAATTAGTCCGCTCAAAAGCAATGACCTGATGTAAAAACACAGGATGGTATAGAAACCATACATTAGCATATTTACCGGGAGCTAATGTTAGTAGATACTTTAGGAAATGCTAGACATCATTTAAATCCTTGTGTTTGGTTATGTAATTTACCTTCTTCAATTGCTGTGAAAGTTACGTATGATGTTCAGAATCTTGTCCTCATACGAGGAGTCTCTTTATAAGCAGGGGCGGAGCCACACTGGGACCAGTGTGGTCCCGGGCCCCCACTCAAGTTTTCATATATTTTAAAAGTAATATACTGTTATGTATTACTATATGTATATTATTTCAAATACTTTACGTTTTGATATGTACCCACATATGTTGTGACGGATCTATTAAGGCACAATGAGGTGCTTCAAATTGCCCATTTGCTTAGTTGGTGGTGGTGCACTCCAGGTGTACAGATCACCTTATTTCCATTTTCAGCATTTAAGTAAATGTCTTTGTCCTTTTACTTTAATTTATTTTTATATTACTCCATTTACTTAAGTTTACAATGTAGATAAGGAAGTACCCCCTATTTGGATTCAAATAAAAATACTAGAAAATCAAATTCCCACCAAATCAAAATATGAAAAATCGGTTTTAGTGCAAAATACGATTTAGGCTAAAAATGATGGCTCATTAAGTCAATAAATACTTTATATTAAAATCCCATAAAATCAAGTTTTCTTATTTGATGTGTAAGGAATAAAAGCCGCAAAAAAATATCTTGAGAAAATGATTTTTTTGAAAAACCATTTTTCATACTTAGTCAATATTTTTACATAAAACATTTTTTCATGTATGATAATATGATATAAATGCATGAAGGGACATAAGGTTTTTTTTAGTTTGTGAAATTTTGATTTTTTCTTTCTATTGGGTTTAATGGGGAAAAAAGCTTTAAAGATATTTGCTAAATCCCTGCTCTTTGTCTATCTCTTACAATTTTTCTTGCTTAAAATGTATTTGTCTATCTCTTTGTCAAGGACAATTATGATTGCAACCAATAGGCAATATAATTCTTGACATATGTGATATATATACTATTTTTCGTATGTATTGTGAGTTCGAACTTTTGATTCTTTATAATTTGTAAGAGGCCCCCACACACATGAAATCTTGGCTTCGCCACTGTTTATAAGCATGTGTGAGATGCTTCTCTTCATAAATGATTTTAATCCTTCCAAAATTTTATATATATATATAAAGCAAAATGCAGAGAATGGTGAAACATTCAAAATATCAGAAAATGCATTTAGTTAATCCAAATATTAAGAATTAAAATTATTAATTAAATGAGGATGATATGGTAAATTCACATTTTTTCATATTTTAACAAATTAAAATTTAAAAAAAAATCAGATAATGAATCTTATTTTTATGGAACACAACTACCTATTATTTTTTTTTAATTCTGAAATAAATTTAATTTTTTTTATTAAAAAAAAAAGCCTTTCACAAGTGCGGAAGGGTGTGCGGAGAGGCTAATGCTACATAACAAACATAGTTACATATAAGTTTCTCTCATCGGAGTGTTATATCAATAAATATAGCAGAGGTATTTATAAAATTAAGTCTTATATCAATAAATAATATCCATAAAGAAAAAGGGAAAATGGCAATCATCTTTAAAATGGAGGTCTTTACAATTTTGCCCAAAAATTTAAAAAGAGGAAATATAGCTCTCACATCAGACGAGGGAACCTTTAAAAGAAGGCGAGAGGAAGAGGCGCGCGCATCTTTTAGGCGTTGTGGCTAGGGTTTTTCATCAGAAACAGAACAAATAAATAAACAGGGCAAAACGATTTAGGGTTTGCACACTTCAGTTCTCTACTGGATCAGCATTACCTCAATTGCACAGGCGGTGTTAGGTTCGGTTCTCTCACTCTCTCACTCACTCACTCACTCTCTCTTTCTTTACTTATTTAGTTAAATAATCCCCGTAGATATGGTTTTTCAGATTGGGGATTGTATCTGGGTTTTATTTATTTAACGTTTTAGACTTCCATCTATTTGGCGAGTATTCTATGCGTTACTGTGGTTTTTCATCCAGTTAGTTTTTCTCGAATATAGTTGGACACGGAAATCGTAAAATACTTTTCTGCAGTTCAGTTTTGCTTCTGAGCTCTTCGCATAGTTTACTGGTGCATTTGTTAAATCAACGGTAGAAAGCAGTGGAGTATGAGTTTTCCAGGAAAATAAGACTTTGGGTTTCTAGGGTTTCTTTTGTTTCAATTGAAAGCTGCCACTCCTATTACTTTCCGGATATGAAATTTCAAGTTAATTCTTGAAAAGTTATTTAAGATAAGACAAGTTTATTGCAGCCCTCAATCTAAAGAGTTTGGGAAAGGTAAGGAGTATGAGTGATGGTTTAAATTACAAATTATATGTGTCGTTGGATTAATATAATGATCTGTATTAAATAGGACCTCAGGCCTTCTCCAAACCATTTGGGGCTAAACCCAAATTTTTTTTTTACCGTTAAAATAGCATTTAATAAACAAACTACCCAAATTTTTTTACACTATGCGCAACATACAAAGTTTCGTAAATATTTTTTTCGCAATTGTATTTATATAGATGTCCGTTTCAACAGTTTCATATTTTAATCGCACGCGTGTGATATATCGTTGTCCTAAAAGTTTTCCTTTATCGCCCGTATTTTTCTAGACGTCTATCTTAGCAATTTCTTTTTTTTCTTTTATAGTATGTAAACTGTTAAGATGAATGTCTAGAAAAATACGGGCGATAAAGGAAAACTTTTACGATGACGATATATCACACGCGTGCGATTAAAATATGAAATTGTTGAAATGGACATCTATATAAATACAATTGCGAAAAAATATTTACAAAACTTTGTAAGTCGCGCGTGATTAAAAAAAAGCCTTCCGCGCGTGCAGGGAGGCTAGTATATACAAAAACTAAATCCGAGTTACTGTTCTAGACTGTTCATTAGGAATAGTGAAATGATGTTTGTGCCCCTACTTAACCGGTTGCCCTCTTGATTATGTTGACTAATGAACAGTACAATAGCCTTTTTGCCCTGATGCACAGCGACATAACCCTTTTGCCTGATCGCTTCTTTTTGGAGAAACCAAAGCAGCTTCATTGAAGAAAATTGAGAGAGAGAGGCCTCACAGCTCCACTGCAACTTATGGACAAGGTGAGGATAGAAGAGGTTCAGTCCACCACCAAGAAGAACCGCATAGCCACTCATACCCACATCAAAGGCCTTGGTCTTGAGGTCTCTCTCTCTCTCTCTCTCTCTCTCTCTCTCTCTCTCTCTCTCTCTCTCTATTTATTTATTTTTGTTCTAAATACTGATTACCCATAAACATATGCCGTCTTGTAGTATATTTCAAAGCTATCTTGAAGGTTCTTCCTTTTTCCTGTTGTAAAGTAGTTTGCCTTTTTCGATTTTAGGGTTTAGGGTTTGTTAGGTGCACTACATTTTACTGGCATTCCTCGTTTATTTGCTGAAATGTTAGGTTATTTAGTACACTGAATGGGCATGCGTATCAGAGTTAAACGGTTTGTTGCTAATGCTTCATGTTTTACTCTAAAAAAAAAAAAAAAAAAAAAAAAAAAAAAAAATGCCATGTACTCACACTCACACTGTGTGTTCTGTTAGAAATTAGATTTTGATGCTTTGTCTTCAGATGATGCTGTATTCATGGTAGTGTAGTAAGTAAATATACTCCTGGCAGCAAAGAAACCAACTAATGAAATGGAGAAGTTTAAAATGTCAGTTTTTCTGCCATCTGGAGGCATAAAAATGGTTCATAAATCTATTCTTTAAATTTCAAAATCAGGAGATTAATGTCAGCTTAACTCCAATTGTGTATAACCATGGTTTTAGTTTTTCATTTTGTTTTCTGGAGTGATCTCCATCTGAATGACAATATAATTTGGGTTTTTGGGTGTCATTCTATTCCAGGCCAATGGAAGAGCAATACCTTGGGCCGCTGGCTTTGTGGGTCAGGGGGAAGCGAGAGAAGCTGCTGGTCTTGTTGTTGATATGATACGACAGAAGAAGATGGCTGGTCGGGCACTTTTACTGGCTGGACCTCCTGGTACTGGAAAGACAGCGCTGGCTCTTGGAATATCCCAGGAGCTTGGGAGTAAGGTATTCCTCACGTTTTTCGTCTGTTATCTGTAATGTAATGTTAATTAATAATCTGATGTTTCATGAGATTTCTTGGTTCATATTCCATTAGGGATAGTGTTTTTTTCTTAATGGTTAATGGTTCTTGTTTGCAGGTTCCATTCTGCCCAATGGTTGGATCAGAAGTATATTCATCAGAAGTAAAGAAAACTGAGGTTTTAATGGAAAATTTTAGACGGGCTATTGGTCTGCGTATCAAGGAAAATAAAGAGGTCTATGAAGGAGAGGCAAGTTTCTAATGATATCAAATATTTTGTAAATAATTTGGTGTGATAATGTTACTTTTATATTTGAGTTGGTTGGTTTCAGTTGATGATGTTTTGATAGTTTCATTTTAGGTGACAGAACTCACACCAGAAGAAACAGAGAGTGTTACAGGTGGTTATGGTAAAAGCATCAGCCACGTCATCATTGGATTAAAAACTGTTAAAGGAACCAAGCAACTGAAGTTGGATCCCACCATTTATGATGCATTGATTAAGGAAAAGGTAAGGTCCTCCTATTATTATTTATTTTTTGTGTATGAATGAAGAATAAAAAAACTATTTGTTTCGCCTAGTTGATTATTTAACGTTTTTGTGTTGAAGTACACTTTATTTTTGGGCCATTTGTTCTTTTGATACCACTTTCCTGATACAACATGCAGGTAGCTGTTGGTGATGTTATATACATTGAAGCAAATAGTGGAGCAGTAAAAAGAGTAGGTAGAAGTGATGCTTTTGCTACAGAATTTGATCTGGAAGCAGAAGAGTATGTTCCACTTCCAAAAGGAGAGGTTCACAAAAAGAAGGAGATTGTGCAGGTTTGTTCTATGTGAACTGTGTGTTTCTTTGTAAATGTTCTCTGTGATGATGGTAGCACCCATTTTATCATACTTAGTCTTGGATGGGTTGTTCTATTGGCTAGTAGCCTTATTAGTAATTACTCAAGTTGATCGGTGGAAAGTTCTTGCTGGCTCTGGGTACTACTTTTTTAAAGGAATGTGTATCATCCCCGCATGGTCCAGATATTTCCCAAAAAGTGCATTCCTACTTCTGTTTATTTGATTAATATAGGAAACTGGATTCTCCAAACATGCTGAAAAGTTTAGTTGCCTGCAATTAAGTAGTTGGACTTGAGCACTGCAGTCCACCCATGAAACGATTATTAAGGATTTTTGGCCTGATAACTTGGTACTAGTAGAAATGGAAACTTAACACTTTCTTGGAATACCATCTGAACTACCATATATAGGCATATCTTACTAAATCCTTAACACTGGTGTTTCTGACCAATTTTTCTTCATGTTTTCTTTAAGTTATTATTGTGTTCAATTTTTGTTAACAGATTCCAACTTTTATGCTTTGCATATAATCTGCTTTTCTGTTGATGTTCAGTTTCTGTTTGCTTATGTAACTCTCTTTAACAGGATGTAACACTACATGATCTGGATGCTGCAAATGCGCGACCTCAAGGTGGGCAAGACATATTATCTCTAATGGGTCAGATGATGAAGCCAAGGAAAACTGAAATTACTGACAAGTTGCGACAAGAAATAAATAAGGTACAATCTTATGAATGTGTAGGAAATGTTGATCCAACTCAATGTATTTTCTGTTGTAGGAACCTAAGATATGGTTTCCTGGTGAAACGGTTCCTTGCTTATTTCTTCAGTAAATTTGTAAAAGCCTGTTGACAAATTACTAATGGTTCTGAGAGGTCAACCAATAAAGAGTTTCCAAGACATTGATATACTTCAGATCAGATCAATGTCAGCTTTAAATTCCATCTAATTGGGCTTGATTACATTGATTCTGTTTTGCCCTTGCAACACAAACATAGCCTGTGACAGTCATACCGCTGTGACAAATATGCCCTTTCTCACTTTTTTTATCCATATATTATCATGCTCCAGATAAATGTAGTTTCTTGTTGCATATCTAGGCTGCTTTGGAAATATACTGATTTTAGAACTTCATCTTTTAATTTCTGGTTTTAAATTTTTCTCTTCTCAAATCTTTGGGTGGGGCATTTCTTATACTGTTGTGTACTCGTCTTGCAAATAAATTATTTTAATTAATAAGTTTAAATAAATTATTCTCTTTCTGACTAAATCCTAAACCCATTTCTCGCACCTCCTTAGCAGTTTCTTTCCCTTCAATAATATTTTCATTAGCTATAAAATAAAGGTGACGGAAAGTGTTTAATTTACTTTATGATTGATGACAGGTTGTTAATCGGTACATCGATGAAGGTGTAGCGGAGCTTGTACCTGGAGTTTTATTCATTGACGAGGTTCTTTTCTCTTTCAAGTCCTTTAGAACTATTTCGTCTGTCCAAATCACTTATAATTTTGAATCTTGACCAATAGGTACATATGCTGGATATGGAGTGTTTTTCGTACTTGAATCGTGCTTTGGAGAGCTCGTTATCTCCAATAGTAATATTTGCCACCAATAGAGGAATTTGCAATGTAAGGTATGAAACTTGTAATCAGACAGGCATTTGCACAACAACTAGGCCATGCCTTTTAGTATGCTCGCTGTTAGCATAAAAGCATAACTAGGCCATACCTATCTTTCCATGTTAATTGTAAAGGAATTTCCTAGAATCATCAGTGTGCTCACTATAGTGTCTTGCTTTCTGAACATGGATATGTTACTGTGCAGAGGGACTGATATGGCTAGTCCTCATGGAATACCTGTTGACTTGTTGGACCGGTTGGTAATTATCCGAACACAGACTTATGATCTTGAAGAGATGATAAAGGTCTATATCAATTTCATTTGCTTGTTGTCTATAAAATTTCTCTTTTTATGCCCGATCATCTTCTCAAGTACCAAACTACAGACTTTTTTATGTATCAACTACTGATTATTCTATTGGTTGATGCTTGAACCAGATCTTAGTGATTCGTGCACAGGTGGAGGAATTGGCTATAGATGACGACAGTTTGGCTTACCTTGGAGAGATAGGACAACGAACATCTTTAAGGTGGCATAAATTTTTGATTTGTTAACTCTGATTCACTCTGAATGATGCTTATTGCTTACTTCATTATTTCCTCAGGCATGCTGTTCAACTCTTGTCGCCTGCAAGCATTGTGGCAAAAATGAATGGCAGAGACAAAATCTGCAAGGTAGTTACAAATTTGACAATGTTATATGTGCTTGAAGTAATTGTTCAAGCCTTTTCACTAACAAAATAAGTGTGCTATTATCTGTATAATTTGTAGGCTGACCTAGAGGAAGTGGATACCCTATATCTGGATGCTAAGTCTTCAGCAAAGGTTCTTCAAGAGCAGCAGGAAAAATACATTTCATGAGAACTGAGAATTTCTCTGGAAGTTTAGTTTTGGGAGTAGCATTTAATTCTGTATTATTTTCATTGCCCATGGCTTTTGTATCTGTATTTTCCAGCTGCTTCACAATTTTCAAATGTGATAACTCAATGAAGGTAATTCTAATCGTATTGTCACTTTTGCTTCCTTGTTTAGTAGTCATTATTGGCCATGAGACAGGGTTCTTGGACGCAATTAGGTGTGCCGATTATTCCCTCCCTTCCATTTACGTGAAATATACGACCGCTGCATGAAAGAACTTTACCTCATTTACACTTTCAAGTATTCCATCTGAAGGTGAACGAGAATTCTTTCCTGAGTCCATAAGGGGATCCCATCTCCGAACCTGACGTCTCGTCTTGTCTAGGGGCTGCTTGTGCTTCTATCTTGGCACAGAATTTCCTTCAGCTTTGTTTGACACCTAACAAACGCAGAACGGCAGGTGGTACCCTAAGAAATTTGTTTCCCTTGGTTGTTGAGTAAAGTAGTCATATTTATACAAAATAATGATCAAACAATGCCTGCCTTATAGCTCAACTGGTGTAATTAGTTGGACTTCCGAGTAAAAATTATGAACGATGAATTGTTTCCTATATCTGTTCTTTAAAAAGCAGGAGAGCGTCATCTCATTAACCATCACAGGTTCTCCAGAAGTATGTTAAATGAAGAAACACATGCCAACTTACAAAATTTATCCAAATTGAAGATAGAAGATGGATTCATAGCGAAGGAAATTTTTCTCTTTCAACCCCACAAAATGGTAGATATGAAACACTAATTTTTTTTAGGGTTCGGTTTTTAAACCGTTTGATTTTTTCTTGGTCAAAATCAAACCGCCAATTTCATTGATTAGGTCGGATTGATGCCCACTCCTAACTTTTTCTCTCTAATCCCCATTAAATGAAGAAAAAAAAATCAACTCTATCTTCCTTTTTTACTTCAACATACTTTGAATCTTGTAGCTGTTTAATTCAATCCTTGACTCCAAATGTGGACTTCAGGCTAGAGCATAGGGTAGTAAGCAAGTTTGAGGCTCTGTAAGAAATTGGCATTTTGCTAAGTCATAACTTCATCCTTGCAAATGTTTCCAAAGCAATAAAATAAAATAATAAAATAAAATAAAATAAGAAGAAGAAGGAAAAAAGAAAAGAAGGGAGAGACAATAGAGGGCCCAAGGAGAGAGCGGTCGAAAGCCCAGAACAAAATTGCAAGGACAAAAGTCATCATCACCCCAGTATTCCAAAACCCTAAACGCAGCTAACGCAAGCGATCCTCATTGAGCTCGAAACCGAAATGTATTCTGCAGCATGAAGTTGCTTGCATTGCAAAAGCAAAACCAAAGCTAGAGTTTCAGCGAAAGCACAGCACAAGGCAGAATCATGAACCGTCTGAGTTTGGAGCAGGTGCTCAAGGACAACAACACTCGCGACCCCAACTCCATTTCAAGTCTCAAGCTCAATCACAAGGCTCTTTCCGATGTACGACGTCGTTTTTCTGCTCTCCCCCTATCCTTTTTTCTATTTTTTGGTTTATTATACAACTTCCTTTATAGATAATATTGATGTGTGTGTAAATGTGTAGGTGTCGTGCTTGACCGAGTTCAAGAACTTGGAGAGGCTCGACCTCAGCTTCAACAATCTCACTTCTCTTGAGGTACTTGTCAAGTTGTCATCTTTCATTTGTGTGCTGTGATTTTTGTGAAGCTAAATTTGTGTGCTTGAAAATCAGGGGTTAAAGTCATGTGTCATTTAAAATGGCTGTCAGTTGCAAACAATAAACTGCAAAGCCTCAAAGGTATTGAAGGACTTTCTAAGCTCACTGTAAGTACCAACCTTTTCCTACAATTTTCTTTTGTTACTTTTTATATCGGTGTTCGAAGCTGTTCATATTTTGAAGATACCCTTTTAGCTACTTGCATTTTTGGATAGGAACAGCATTTGGATGTGGAAGTTTGTGTAGGGTAGTGCATCATGTAGTCTGGACTTGTTTCTAAAGCTCATTTAGTGGTAATTTTGAATTTTGAATTCCTGGTCACTTGTTATTTTTTATGCTACAGTACTCTTGTTATACCATAAACTTGATAACCAATAGTTTATGGTTTTCAATTTTTCTGTTGCAGTTAGGATTTCTAACATAATTAGCTTCCTCCTGATGCACCTGGTTATGCTTTCTGAGAAACTTGTTCTCTAAACAACAGAGAGCAAGAAATCATGGCTACTGAGTGAGCCAGTGATGGATTTTCCCAGAACAATTAGTTCAGATATATTAAGTTCTTATTTGTTAAATTACATGCCATTTTGCATGTATAAGAATAAGAGCTTATACCCAGAGTCCTAGCTCACGTGGGTTTTTCATTCAAAATTATATCTTGTAGTGGTTGGTATTATTGTTATCATGCTTGATATGTTTTTGAATGGAAGGCCCATGTGTGCTGCGACCATGGAAATCTTTTAAGAAGAAAAATGTTTATATTTGAAAAATTGTATAATATTATGGTTATATATTAAAAGATGATATGAAAAATATATAATATAGAATAATACGTCAAACTCCATCCCAAGAAGCCATATTTTGTGGCTTTGATTGGTTGACAAATTAATATGCAGGACATCAGTGGATCAAGTGAATATTTTTAATATATTAATATATATATATATATATATATATATGCATAGAGAGCTTTCATTGAGGGATCCCTCAAAGTAGCTTATTTGAGGGACACCTTTGTAGGGCCCACTTCGTATTGTATTTCACTAATCTAAAGAGTCTATGTTTTAGATAATCATTAAAGATCATCTCTATAAAAAATCACTTGAATCCGATATTGTTTGACCACTAAATTGTGTTATTGAAATTTTAGTACTTTCTTGAAACACTGTGTTCATTGATTTTGTAGGATTCAATTGGATGTCAAAACGGTTTCTGATGTGTCTAAATTTATGCAAGGCTGATCTATGAATGTAGACTTAAAAAATAGATGGTTTAGATCGTTGGAAAAAAATTCGTAGGGTACCCTAAAGGGTGTCCCTCAATGGAAGGGGATTGATATATATATATACTAGTTGAGAGTGATTTGAAATTTTCAAATAGTAAGAACTATGGACACTACAATCCTTGTGGCTGTGACTATTGAAAATTTACAATTATATTAAATATTTAGATTTTGTACTTCCTTAAGAACATTTAATCATAATGGGGAATACAACTACATATTCCGTTTTCTTCAGATTAGATGATTTGGAGACCTATCTTCACTCTGTGTTTTACAAATATATTGAAAACATAATCTTTAGTGGAATTTTTTTCCAATGTGTTCCACCTGAATTGTATTCTCCCTGCTATCCTTATTAGCATGATGAAAATTCCTTTCAAATTTGTCCTGAAAGGAATTGTGCTAGGACTTAGTTCCCTTTTAATGTGGTGGTCGCCAAAGTTTCATAAATCCTAGGCCTGCCTGTCAGCTACTTTTCTCCATAAGTAGGAGGGTCAGTTCCAGATGAGTAATTGAGTTGACAAACGAAACTTTAAACAGAGAGTGAATAAATATGAAATAATTATACTAAACAAAGAAATTTGGGACTAGATTGAACAAGGTAAAAGAAAAACATTTATATCAGTTGGAAGGATTGAGACTAACCTGACGGTGTGTTTTGAAATCATTGTTAGGACTTACGAGAGGAGAAATAATAGGAGAAAAGTCGAGGAATAAATCTCTAGTTTTCCCCTGCTTATTTCTTCTCTAGGGACAAACTCTTAGCTTCTCCAAATAGTCCACCTTTGAGAGAAGTAAAAGGTATGCCCTAAGAGAAATTGCTGCTTTTTGCTTTCTTGTTTCTCCACTTCCTAGAAACAATTTTTTAGACAGCTTACAACCAAGAGTGCTGATAGTTTATTTTTAGACATTTGTTTATTTAAGTTCATTCTGTTTAATTAATTTGCTATAGATAGGCCAAGTCAAGATAATTCTATACTCAATAAATCCAATTTGGGTTCCAGAGTCACTCTGTTCAATCTTTGTAATCAGGTGTTAAATGCAGGCAAGAATAAGCTCAAGGTAATGGATGAGGTCATGTCTATTGTTAGCTTACGTGCAGTGATATTGAACGGTGAGTTTTTTTGTCTTTTTTTGTTTTAAATATTATGAGAATATCATTTAAGCTCTTCTTCAAATACCGTCTTTTTATTCTTGTTTTTTGTAGTTTGTGAAAACAAGATCAAAATGGAAAGATCTAGACAAATGGGTAACCAAGCAAACTAAAATGGACACCGACAAAAATGCAACTAGTAGTATTACTGACACCATAATAGAATGTTCTTTTAATAGCACACTTTGTCATATTATTGTGGTAGGACATATTATAGGACTCTAAGCACATTTTCTAGCAATGATAAGAGCAAGAAAGCAATGTCTCCAAATCCTAGAAACCTTTATGATGTAAGAAAGTAAATAGCCAAAATCATGATATCCTACGTCAAGTGGACTAATTATAGTGAATAGTTTTATGGGAGGATAAGTATTTGCCACACCCAGTACGGTATTTTAATATAGGTAGTAATTGTGCTAACTGTTCGTTGCGGATGATGGGAATTCTCCACTGTGGGTATGTATTAAGAGATTCCAAAAGTAGGTCGCTTATCCTTGATTCTAGAAAATGTTATGAGGTGTTCACATTCTCAAGGCTGCAATATTTGTTCTAACAAAATTAGTCGTTCATTTCCTGTAATTAATTCCTCCAAGTGTTCCTACTTTGTGAATAAAGAAAAAGTTCTAGTTTTGCATAGTGCTAATTTATCTGAAATTTTGAATTTCATCGTACTTTGAATTTCAGTACTATATCTATGCCTATATCACAGATAAATATGTCTATTTTGGCCCAAAGTTGGTTTGTAGAATGAAATTCATAATTCCAAAACATACCAACCATTATAAAAAACATGTTTCCCATTTGGGTTAAAGCACCTACTGATCCCAAAAAATAAAGAATGTTTGTGCTCAACTTGACAAGCAAGGATTAGAAGCTTTGCCTTACTTTAGGGGGCTAATATTTTATTATTGCTCATATTTTTGCAAACACAAAGAGCTTCTCTCTCTCTCTCTCTCTCTCTCTCTCTCTCTCTCTCTCTCTATCTCAACTGTTTCTCATTTTATCTTCTGGGTTGTGTAGATAATGAGATTGCTTCAGTTTGCAGACTTGAACCTCTGAGAGACTTGAACACTCTTGGTATGAGTTCTAGTTCATGATTCATATTTATCAAGGAAAAATGAAAAAAAAATCATTTTTCATGACTGATACAAAACAATAGAGTTCTGACTCGAGGAAACACGAATTGTGCTCTCCTACTTTTGAAATTTTTCTGTAGTTCTTTCTAGAAATCCGATCCGTGACATTGGTGATTCTCTGATGAAGGTGAAATCTATCACAAAGGTAACAGTTTTCTGGTTGTTGATTGTCCTTGGTGGTAATATCATTTACATTCAGCTAAAGCCCTTGGAATATGTTTCTTGGTTCCAGCTTTCTCTCTCCCACTGCCAACTTCAAACTATACAGTCTTCACTCAAGTCCTGTATTGAACTGAAAGAGCTCCGTCTTGCTCATAACGATATTAAGGTTTGTTTACTGTTGATTGGTTTAAAAAACCTTTTGTAAAGTATGCTTTCTCTATGTAAAATTGCAATTATCTTTTTTTCCTTGCTCAGTTATAGTAACTGTTCTTTTCAAGTTATGCAGTCATCTCATGTTTATTTCTTCCCTTTAATGTTGAAAATAAATTTTGTTCATCAAGTAGCGAGTTTTGTTATGTGTGTGTTGTCAGGGTTTGCTCATTAGGTTGCTCTATCTATCTCACTCACTCATTCACTATCTGTGTGCATGCTCAGGGTCTCCCAGCCGAGTTGGCTCTTAATAAGAAACTCCAGAATCTGGACTTGGGGAATAATGTGATCACAAGATGGTCCGATCTGAAGGTAAGATGCAAGGAGCAGAAACTTTTGTTTCTCTATCTTTCTTTCTATCTTTGTGAAAAAATGTTCCCTGAATCTTGGTTACATTCTGAAATAGGTGCTTAATTCATGGTCAATCTGAAAAATCTCAATCTGCAAGGGAACCCTATTGTTGAAAAAGATAAATTAGCAAAGAAGGTATTGGTTACTGTCCTAGCCTTTTTCCTGTTTGGATCTCTATCTTGACTCCAGTTTTACCCTTGTTAAAAATTCTTATAGAAACAATGTTACTGTAGATTAAAAGAATATTGCCGAACCTGCACGTATTCAATGCAAGACCAATAGATAAATACATCACCAAGAATGAAAAGGGTGCTGGAGTTGATGAAGTTGATGATTCTTCACTTAATGCTGCTAACAAGCAAGAAAATCAAACAGAAAAGGAAAAAGATAGAGACTTCAAAGATCTTATGATGGCTGGAACTAAGGGTGGTATTGGTAAGCTTGAAAACTCTAGTGATTCTGATACGAAGAAATTGAAACCGAAAAAGCAGAAACTAGATGACAATGTCTCAAACCACGAAGTTTTGGTCCAGGGGGATGAAAAAAGAGATCATGTCAAGAAAAAGAGCTACAGACATCAGGTGTTAAATGAAAATGATCCTAGTAATCTTCAAAAAGCTGGGGATTTGGAGAAGGAATCACAGAAAAAGAAGCAGAAAAAGAATCCACTCCATACCGAAGATAATACCAAGGTTGGGAAAAAACTAGAGAAAGCAAAGGTGAAACAACAAGGTGAACTTGATGTTATTGATGATGCAGACACACCATTTTTGGAGCTTTTTTCTGTTAACATGGGAGATGCTGAGGTTGGTGGTGAAAACAAAGTTAATGACAAGGTCAGTGAAGAGGCGAATTGGTTGGGTGGCTTAGTAACCTTCCCTTCTAAGAGGAAAAAAGCTAAAAACCGCGGCACTGGTTCTACACTACATCCATTGCCTGTGGATGAAATTGGAACAGGCGGACCATCAACATGGGGTGATGACTAACATTGTGAAGGCAGATGTTTTGAGCCGATGAAATTGTGTTGAGGTAGCTTTCAGATTGTACCTCTTCTATTCTAGTCTTCCTCAAGTTTGGCTAAAATCGTGCAACACTAGTTGTAGATGTACTTGCTATGTCTAAAAATTTGGGTCAGGACACTTGAATCAAAGCAGTATAGAAACGTTTTGGTTGACTTTATTACTCATCTTTTTCTAATGGGAGTTTTGACCATTTACTTGAATTCCTTTTTGTGAAGTATGATTTTTCCCACTTAAAGATGCAAACAAAATGGCTGAAAATGAAATATTGGCTTGGCTGCTATATTTTGGCTTGGTGGTTGGGGATGCATGGTTTAAATGTGTAGTACTCATTGTGATCAAGGAGGGTTTTGGACTGCAAAGGTATGTAGAACTTCTTGCTCAACAATTGTGGTAAAACCAACCAAGAAACGCTGTTATGATATTATCCCATCAAGTGCATAATGGAAATTTACTTAAATCGTTCAATTCAGGCTCATTTTTAGCTTTAAATAGAAATATGACTTGCATGCACGAGTGAATGTTTTTTAATTACTTGAGTTGCAAGTCCTTTTTATTTATGAAAAAATCCTTTGCTTGAAGGATTGAGGAAAGTTTATATTCATACATTGTCTTTCGTTTTCCCTCACTCTTTCCTTCTTTCCTCTCTTATAGCTCTCGTAATTCCCCCTTTATTGTTCACTAAACAAACAAACAAACAAACAAAATGAAAGTGTTGCCAAACAGGAATTGGTTATCAAAGTAAATCATTGCATTGCCTCCAAAAGCACTTAAAAACAAGCTATATAAAATTATGAGCAAACTGGTTTTAGTGGGGAGCAAGTATGTTCTGCCATTTGCAATCTACGACTACGAGGGTCTAGTCAAGGATTAAAATATCGGCCGTGCAGATAATATCGGGCCTCCAATTTACGGATATTTCGGGGGATATATCGTTATCGTTTTAGGTATCGGGAAAAAATCAACAAAAATGACAGATATAGGCATTGAAACACATAATTTTGGTGTAAAACTTTCATAGATGTTATATACATTATCAATGAATGTATTGAACAAATAAAACTCAAAATTTACTAATAATAAGATATACATATGATGAAATATAAGTGGTATGTAATGCGCGTTAATGAAAAGTTTGAAAATAAAATGTTAATTTAAATGAATAAACCATGCATAAATCCATAGTTTGTTTAAATATTGGATTACAAATTAGATAAGTGTCCATCTACATAAATGAAGAGCTCCTATGAGGTTCAAACAATGAGGAACAACCATCTAGATTCATACAATAGTCATACCAAGTCATGTAACTCGAGCAGTTTATAAGCCATGTTTGAACATGGTGCACATAGGTCTCTCTTAAGACCCCTATTGTCCTCCCATATATGGGATAGTTAGGATTAACCAACTAGTAGGTCCATAATCTTTTTTATCATCTTGAGCTCCATAACTAGTTCCATTATAATGAGACATGACATAACATAGCCATCATAAGATTCATTTGAGTTAGTATTAGGTCTAGTTCCTATGCTCATAGATCCAAAACTGATTGTCATGTCCTCTTCAGATGGATTGGAGGTATGTGGGCAGTGGACTGTGCATAGATTCTTCATATTAATATATTATAGGGTTCTCGACAAGGATTAGCTATTTTTGGGTTTCAATTTGCTTCAATTAACTTTTAAATTTTTTTGGGTTCTGTTATGGGTATCGGGAAATATCGGGGATATCGGCAAAATATCGAGGATATCGCACTTATCGGGGATATATCGTCGATACATGGGAAGATATGGTCTTACCCCCCAATATCGGTGTCGACAGTTGAAAATACCGATATATCGGCAGATATATCGGTGTATCGGCCGATATTTCAATTCTTGGGTCTAGTATATATTGATACTTGTGGAATAGTTTCTCCAACACCACACAAGCACATTGTTCTGGAAGGACAAATACTTACAATGTGAAAAATGAAAAAAAGAACTAGGGTTTTGAAGCTTGTTAGTGAGGCTGTAAGCCTTGCCATTGTATTTGGATCTTAAATTTTGTGGGTGAAATTTTGGGAGGGGTGATGGGGTGTTTTATAGCCTATGTTGTGCATGTGGTGTAAGCGTAATTAGCTCATAAAAGATGGGGAATCAATTTGCTAATTAGGTAAACTATTACAACCATGGCTTGGCCTTATAGAAGCTTGTTGACACTACTAAATAATGCAGAAAATAAATGCCTTAAATATCTAAAGAAGGCATGACCAAATCGGCGAGGTAGCAACCAAATACGGCGAGACAATTTCTTACAATCAATTACAAAATAAGCCAATCTACCATGGAGTTTACAATCAATTGCAGAAGACATCTGGCAGCTTCTTGAAAAGTTTGATCAAGTGACTAATAGCTACAGAGAGGCTAACAAGGTTGCAGATCAGTTGGCCAAAAAGGACATCGTTATAACAACTCATGTATTTGGTTTAGTCAATCATTTCCTTTTGGATGTCCAGACTAGAGTTTATTTTGACTTGTATGGTTAAATTTTAATGTATTTCAATTTTTTTTAAAAGAGACAATTTCTTATGCAGACTTCAACCACATGTTGCAATCATGCATAAATTAGTCTTTGCTTTTTATATTAAGGAAAATACTTGGCACTTAGGAATCATTTCTCCTTGCACTCAAACCACAGTTTATCTCTTACACGCAAGGAACAAAGTTTATACAAGGACTTCTTTGAAATTTTAGAGGATTTGTGCAAAATGAGCAGTAAGGCCTTTCTTTTTTCTTTTTTTATTTATATACAAGTAATATTGATGGAGGGGGGAATCGAACCTAAGAAATTGAGTGTAGAATGTAAGGATAAATGCTTTTAACCACTTGAGCTCAAGTGCTTTGTAGTAAACAAAGCTTTCAAACAAAAATATTATAAAAGGAATTGGGTCCTATACAATAGAGAGCGAACTAGGGCCTAAGATTTATAGTAATAAGGCCTTCTAAGACAAAGCTTTCAAACAAAAATACTATAAAAGGAATTGGGTCATATACTGTAGAGAGTGAACTAGCTCCCAAGATTTACGAAACAAAATCTTATAAATACTAAAGGTCCGTTTGGTATCATATTCAAATAAAGTGAACTCAAAAACCATGATTCATTTTAAAAACATGAGCTTTCAAATACTTGTTGAAATCTTGCCTCGGGTAGAGTAAATAGATAACCGGAATATGATTGGACAATGATGTCAATCCCAAATCTAACTAATAAAATCTTGCAGTAGAAGTAAATTAACACAAGGATTTTTGTACCCAATGGTACGAGGACAAAATCCAACGGGGAAAACCTCTATAAATCCACTAAGAATGGACTATTACAAGACTCAAGAAAATAAACTCTAAACAAGAATCTATCCAATACTTTTGTCGTGCCTTACTCAGTCCTTGCTTGAACTCTCTCGAATTGATGATCCTCAAGAACAAGCATGCCCACACACAGCTTCCAATATGGAATATGAAATATGAAGATGCAAACTAGAATTAAAAAGCTTCACAAAGTTGCTTTATCATTCTAATTTTTCATGAACTCACCTTTACTTCTCTCAAATGAGTTTTTGCAGAAGTAAGTAACAAAGGTCTTCAGGCTTTGTTTTTTATCAAGAGAAATCACGTTCCAAAAAGAGTAGGAAAAAGTAGAATTAGTTTTAACGTGAAAAAGAGGAAAACAATTTTGCTAATTGATTTTATTGTGAATTTCATTCATAATAAAACTAAATGACAAAAATATAGTTTTCATCAGTTCGCTCCTTACAGCAGTCCAACCCATTTGTAGCTGCCAGAAAAAAAAGACCTCTACATAAATCAATTCTTCAGCCCCAACGGAATTGGAGGTTCCAGATGAAGCCAAAATGAATTGGAAATATAAATGCTAAAACCCAAAAGTAATTCAATTAGGCATATTGACAATATACATGAAACAATCCTTAAGAAATTGGCCATTAGTTTTGCGGATATTAGAGGAGAATTTAAAGCTTTTCTTGGCAGTATTCCATGAGACCTCTTGTTTCCTTTGAAACTCTGCATATTTTATGGATGTGGAGTCAATCATGGAAGAAGGTTGCACAGAAATTAGAGTAGGCCTTGTTTACTTAGAGTTCTCAATCTGATGATGGTCCGGCCGGAGTGACTGTGAGTGGCTGCAACAGCTGTCCCAAAGTTGAAGGTTGGGTGGTACGGTGGTGTGTTATTTTGACTATAGTACCTAGATCTGAAAGTTAGGTTTGAAACTTTCTCAATGGTTAAATGTTAAAACTTGTGTAATTAAATTATGACAAGAAAAATGACATGAATTGTCATGTTAGTTGTCACGTGAATTGGTATCGTTAAGTTGGGGCCCGTAGCATTATTATTTTTTCAATCTCCTAAGCCGACTCCATGCAATCTGGTGGACTTCAATGTATGCAATCTTCTATTGATCTTCTTCTATGTTTTAAAAAAATATTTAAAAAATGCCTAGCTAGTAGCAATTAGGTGGTGAATGAGATTAGCTATGGTGTGTGGAAACAAGCAAGTTCACACATTGAAGTCCACTCAAGCCAACCCAGAGAAAGTCAAGACAGACTCTAGTTTAAAAACGTGTTAGCCGTTTTATTAATTTGATTAGCTTTATTATCACTTTTTTTAAACGAATATAGAATGCTTATTAGCCCAACCCAAGAATCAAAGAAATAAAGTATTGGATTCTTATACTTTGGATGGTACCATGCCAACCTCTTTTTTTTTCTTTTTTTTTTCTTTATTAGGTTTTGCAAAATTTTCTATTGTCTCGCTTTTAGCATGATCACTTTCTTGGTCTAAATTTTGGGTTGGTTAGTGATGTCACATTGGTTCACTTTAGGAGGAATGGAGACATTAACTAAATAAAATCATCACAGATATAATGTTTTTAGTCAATTATGTCAAATCACATAAATGTTTATGAGATTAGGAACTAAATGAGGAGCCAATTCAAGAGAAGAAGTGAATGGAGGACCTACGCCAGAATGTGGCAATATTAAAAGGGTAGAATTTAAAGAATAAAACAAAATTGCATCACTTTCATTATCACTATCATGTATGTACAATTTAGAGACTATGACGATGAGTGATGTGATACCAATAAATTTATTAATATCTTTGCCCTCCATCCATATATATCCGTAAATAAATAAATAAATAAATAAAAATAAAAATAAAAGCATTTGCGCGATAAGCAATATGCCACGTAGATTAATTTGTGGGTATGAAGATTAAGAGACAGTAAAAACACGTAGTTTCTTTCTCATGTCAACTTTCCAAAATGGCAGGCGTCCAACCTCAGAAGCAGCCGCCATTACTTATCAACCAATTTATCCATGTTGGAAATTCCATGTCTGCGGACGAGGACCCATGGCATCGCACAAAAATTTCAAAGTATACTCATAGGGTTGAAATCCTTATCACTTACGTGAGATTCGATTGGAGAATGATAGATGTATCATTCAGTGATGGAGTCCTTTATAGACTTCTAATAGTCTTTGAAAACAGATGAGAGGATATGATAATTGGTTAGGGCAATATGTTCCTCATTTTTTATTCGAGTTTGAATATTCTTCTTTTGGTGTATTAGAATGAAGCACGCCATTTTAGAAGTTTAGACTTTCTTATATAAGAAACATCACTTTGTCAGTAGAGTATAACTCAGTTTGTTGAGCTCTTCTCTCTAGAAGCAATCTTGTCGCGTTTGGTGTGTAATACAACTATACTATATTCCTAAGGATGAGATTTACATTAACGTATAAAAATATAAATAAAAAAATAAAGGATAAGATTTACGTAGCAAGTTGAAGATAACACCAAGTGGAAACCATGCACACACCCATCATATATTAGCCATTAGCAGCAAATTAATACATGGAAAATGCTAGGTTTACCACGTTTTTCATACCACAATTGTATCACCTCTATTATTGTATTGGTGGGCTCCACTTCTATTAGAGAGGTGGTACAATTGTGGTATGAAAAATGTGGTAAGCCTAGCATTACTCTTAATACATATCGTAATCATGTGGAAAATATGTCAATAATTTTTATTTGCTCGTGATGTCCCCTTTCGTGGACAAACGCTAATATTATCTCTAAACTATTCCACCTAAATTCTTTCAACTTGGCATATATATCTGCTTGTCACTGGTAGGAACACAACAGCAGAGTTAGTAGCTTTCTCTTTCTGTCATCCAATGCATTTAATAAACTAGGTTTTCATAAACAAATCCATTTATTCACTTTCAAAACTTAAAAGCGGACTGAACCATTTAACTTATCTCTAATTTGGATTAATTACCGGCCTAAGCCGGATTGTTTGAATTTGTGAATGGCATAGACTATATGTCGGATTGAAACGACAACTTGAAGTTTTTTTTATTTTTTATTTTATGCAAACGATATTTTACTTTTAATTTAATTAAATTACGAGGAGAGGGGGTTCAAACTCGAGTGGAAAACATATCTACTCTAACCATGAACAAGCAGACATACGTACGAGATAAAATAGTTTTACTATGCACAAAAATGGTCTTGTTCAGACCGATCGAAAGTGAAAATAAAGATGGTCTTAGTTTACTCTAACCGCGTTCACTAATATATTAACCAGTCCGGCGTTTCCAGCTGTTGCACGCCAAAAAATTTGTAATTTTTTAGGTTGGCTGACTGTGACAAACAATAAACGACCACTTCTCTAATTCGTGCTTGGATCCCTGAGAAAAGTACACACATCTTTCTTAGCGCAACCCTTCAATGTCTTTTAACTATATTTTACGTTAATTCTTCAGGGGCATTCTTTGTTGAAATAAAATAAAATAACATTAATATCTGAAACTGAAATTTCATTTTTCTTCACAAACGAAGGGAAGATTTTATTATAATCAAACTTAGAAAACATATATATATGCACACAAAAAACTTTGTCAAATTCATGGTGAGAGTTTGATTCATCTTCCTCCTTTTTGGCAAATAAAATAAAATAAAATAATCGAGTGGTTTCAAATTTGGTCACTGATGTTAAAAAAAAATAAAGAACGAACATTAAAAGTTCAATAGGAGTCTCACATCTTATGTGATTAGTAAGTTTGGAGTTTAATACCAAATAAGTTTTTAGATCTTAAAATCAATATTTAAAAACTCATGTTTTTTAAAATAAAAAAAAGAATTGAAAATTCTTTTTTTAAGCAGGATACCAAACAAAAGTTCAATTGGAGTCTCATGTCTTATGTGATTAGTAAGATTTACAGTACACATTTTATGAACAGAAAAAAAAAGAAGTTTTTGTTGACATAGCAGCTTCACAGAAAGTCAAAAGATGAATGCTAGCAACCTTCTCTCTAACCTTCTCCTTTGGACCTTCTCCATTTTTTGCTTGACATGTGTTATTCTCCTTACACTTAAAACAATGTCATTAATATATTATACAAACTAACTTTTGCTTTCCAAGTTTATCCTTATTAAATGTATTCAATTTATCCAAACAAATTTCACAACTTCTTACCATCTTATTACATTTTTTTTAATGTTTTTAAAGAAAATGTTTTCTTTCTAAAAATTAAAAAATTAAAAAAATCTAAACTTGACGTTAAAAAAAAAGAGGTACATTTCCTCTATTTTTTAAAAGCCGACATTTTCTTAAATTAAAAAAATTGTCATTAAAAAAATAATAAGATGGTAAGAAAGTTGTGAATTTTTTTGGGATAAATTGAATACAATTAATAAGGGTAAACTTGGAAAGAAAAAATTAGCTTGTATAATATATTAATGACATTGTTTTAAGTGTAAGAATAATGACACATGTCAAGCTAAAAAGAGAGAATGTCCCAAAAAAAAGGTTAGAGAGAAGATTGATAGCATTGTCCAAGTCAGAAAGGCATCGATCACCGCCATCCACTTGCATGCGTCATTATAGTTAGAGCATATGCCAAAACAGTGTTAATTAATTGAGTTTGACTGTTCAATTTGGAGTCAAGTCAAGTAAAGACAACCAAAAATAGACACATCAGCTAGCCCCCCGATTATCGCTTATGTCATCAAACTTCTGATAACGGTCTAATTAATCTTTAAACAATGTATATGGCCTCATCCTACTTCCGAGTCAAATATATTTATTATTAATTAATTATACCATACCTAAAATCTTTCAATGATGTTTGGTAAAATAACTGAGAATTAAATATTTTAGCGGCTGTTTGATAACTATTTTGTTTTTATATTTTTTTTTAAATTAAAAACATGTTTGATAATAAATTTGATTTTTTTATTTAAATAAGGGCGCTTTTTTAAAACAACTTCAAAATATTTTCATTTATTAGTTTTTGTTTTCCTTTCTCTTTTTATGATCAGCGTGTGTGGGGAATTCTAGACTTTTTTCAACATTAGTAATAGAAATATCACCAAACGAAGAACTAGTTTGTGTAATTAGTAGATTTTACTTTCACCACCATACTAATTTTATTAGTGAGATGCTGACCGTAGCACAACTCATCATATACATTAGGTAAATATATTGTTTATTTAAGCAAGAACGATATACAGTAATTAAAGAATCACACATAGAGACTAGTCCTAAACCCAAAAATAGATAGATTAATAAAGTACGAGCGCACAACTTTCGTATGTGAAACCAAACACAAACTAGAAAATACCCCAAGATTGAGTCTTTTGGTATTGCTAGCTTGAGCTTTGGTTGAGTCAATAACAGCAGCTATGTAAACAAATAATAATAAATTACAAAAACACACAAATAATTGTTAAAGAACTCAAAAAGAATACGTGAAACCAAACACTCTCCCCCCACCCCCAAACAAAAAAAAAAAAAAAAAAAAAAAAAAAAAAAAAAAAAAATAACTAAAATATATAATAAAAATATATATGAAACACGCTTGTGTTCCAACTCCCAAATAAAATAAATTAATATTTGCCTGCACCTTCACTGCATCAAAGTTTAATTATTATTTAATTAATTAAACTAAGGTTCAATTCAAAGGCTTGAAAGCCGTTTGTTGACTCTCAAACATTTCATTTGCTCCCTCCCTATAAAACCCAACTCCTCACACCCTTGTTTGTCACCACTCAAACCTCCACTTTCGCATCCAAAATTAAGACAGAATATACCATGGGTTTTTCTGCTACATTACCCACCGTCGATCAGGGCGACGGCGCTTCCATCTCCGCCGTCCATCCCGACATAATCATGACCCACATCCTCACCCGCCTCGACGGCCAGACCTTGGCCTCCGCCTCCTGCGCATCCTCCCAATTACACTCCTTCTCCACAGAGGGAAAACTCTGGCGGGACATCTGCTCCGCCACATGGCCTTCCGTCGCCGATCAACGTGTCGACGACCTCATTTCCACTTTCCCAGCCGGTCACCGCTCGTTCTTCTCCGACTCTTTCCCGCTCCTTGACAACTCTCCCTCCCAATTCGATCTCAGCCGTCCGTCTTCACCTCCCACCACGGAGCTAATCTCCGCCGTCGATATCTTTTACAAAGACCAGCTGATTTTCTCCAAGGTTCAAGAGTCCGAGACCGAATCCGGGTGGTTCCTCTGCTCGCCTTTCCGGGTTGACTTACTTGACCCGAAAGAAACAGTCCCGACACCAATCCGCCACGTCGGAGAAGACCAGGCGTCGCTGAAGCAATTGGAGGACAACTTGAGTTTGAGCTGGATCGTGATCGACCCGACCCGGAAGCGGGCGGCCAATTTTTCGAGCCGGAGGGCGGTTACGGTGCAGCGGCACTGGTTGACCGGGGAGATACAGTTGCGGTTCGCGACGATTTTGAACGGGGAGAAGAGAGGGGAATTCGTGCAGTGTGGGATGGTGGTCACGTGCAATTGGAGCGAGGGCGGGGAGCTGCACGTGAGGGAGGTGAGCATGCAGGTGGAGGGCATGGAGGGGAATCATTTGAACGGGAAGGAGAGTTTGGTAATTTTGGAGAGGGCGATCGAGGGAGGAAAGAGAAGGAAGGAGGTGAGGGGGAAGGGGAGGTTTGAGGAGTATTTGGAGATGAAGAGAGAGAGAAGAGAGAGAAAGGAGAGGAGAGAGAAGACTTTGGACATGATCTGCATTGCCACTGGGGTTACGATTTTCTTGACCTTTTGGTCCTTCGTCTTGTTCAGATAGAGAGATTCATCATATCAACCCAGAAACAAAAACAGTTGGGTTTGATTTACAGTTATTACAGTTTATTAATTCTTTAAACGAAAATACAAAATGGATAATCATTTTTAAATATGTGATTATGTATGTAGCTATATACACCATTGGATTGGTTCAAATCAAATGAAAGATGTGCCCCTTTTTCTATTATAAATCTTGGCTTTTTTGTAGATACATTAGTGATCATATTCCAAATTCCTATATAAAGGAAATAGAAATGCAATTGAAATATTTATATATAAAAAATTACAAGTATGAACATGGGGAAATACATATATAGTCAAATTAAAATAATTCAACAGCTAGAAAAATCTCTTTATTTGCATATATGGATCAAATCTTTTTGCTTTTGTTTTTTGTGCTCAATAATGTCAAATAAATTAAGGACCAATTAATGATAGGCTAGTAATGGTCTATTACATCACTTTCAATTCACAATTTAAATCTTGAGATATTTAGTCATATACCCATTCTTAGCACTAAAAAGATAAATAAACTCTACACTGTTTAATTTCTAGAAACAAATCCAAAAAATGATAGCTGACCATATTAAATTTAATTTTGATTATTAAATTACTTTGATGCCCTATTAAGTGTTTTGGGCTTTTTTATAAGGTTTTGGGGTTGAGTTTGTTTTAAGAAATCAATGGCAGTTTTGTAATTTAAAAGAAGTTAAAAACCTTTTTGTTATGTTGTAAATAGACTTTGGGTGTGTTTTTAAAGATCATTTCATATGGAGTTTTTTTATTTATAATTTGAGCTCCTATATTCGGTATAATAGCGCATCTCATTTTTCATATTGACCACATCCTCTTGAATCTCATTTTTCAAGAAGTGTTGTTATTTCCACCCCTTATCCTATTTCCCCACCCAATGGAACTTAACAACGTGAAATTAACTCATGCAATCATTATTATTATTCTTCTTTTTTTCTTCTTTCTTTCTTTGCAATTTCTCCACCCAATTGCACATGTTTTTTTTCCCTCTTCCTTTCTCTAAATTTGGTTGGTTTTGATGGTGGTTTGAGAAAATTCAGGGTTGGGACCCCAGAATTGGAGGGTGGTCTCATTGTTGAGTTGGAGGGTTTGTTGGGAGACGCTGTAGGAAGTAATGACAAATGCAGATGGTGTATAAGGGGACATGGCTGAGAAAGAAAGGTCACATTGAATTGAATTGAATTGAATTTGAACGATTTTGATTATTATGTAGGGATCAATTAAGCCATTATAAAGAGAGTGTACAAATTTTTTTCTTCTGTTTTGGAGAGTTTGTTTAGGATTTAGGAAGGAAGAAGTAAAAACCAAACTTGTGCAATTGGGTGGAGAAGCTGCAGATATAAGAAGAAGACTAAACTGATTGGGAGATACTGACTTGAAAAAAAAAACCTGATTTGGGGAAGATGTGCCAAACAAAAAACTAGAAAAGGGGGAGAGGTTGAAGAGAAAGGAAATAGAACAAACAAAAGGTAGATGATGGCAGGAGTTAAGGTTCAAATTGTTAAGTTCCATTAGAGTTTATTTATTTATTATTAAGAAAAATATCCAATTCGTTGATTAAATTTTGATGAGATGGCATAAGTCCTTGGAAGTAATTTTCCAAAGGGATAAATTTGTCTTTAAAATTTTAAAGATAAGGTGAGTAGGACAAAATCAGCACTCTTCTTCAAATTAAGAAAACCAATTAATTTAATTTAATTTAATCCAACTTATGGTTAAAAATATGATGTACTAATAGAATATAATAGAAGGATCTCACACACATTAATCTCCTAACCATAGGCAACATCTATTAAAAATAAATAAGGTTTTTAAAGTCCATTTCAAATAGGGTTTTTTTAAAAAAATAATTTGAGCTCCTATATTGGGTATAATAGTGAATCTCCCTTAAATCTTTTGGCAAAAATTCACAATTTAAATGTGGTTTTCCTTTAAAAAAAAAAAATCAATCAATAATGTGTGTGAGATCCTTCTAGTATATTCAATTAGTACATCATATTTTTAACCATAAGTTGGATTAAATTAAATTAAATTAAATTAATTGGTTTTCTTAATTTGAAGAAGAGTGCTAACTTGTCCTACTCACCTTATCTTTAAAATTTTAAAAATAAATTTACCCCTTTGTAAAATTAATTTTAAGGACTTATACCACCTCATTAAAATTTAATCCAACGAAATTGATATTTTTCTTAATAAATAAAAAAATTAAAAAAAAAAAACTCTAATGGAACTTAACGATTTGAACCTTAACTCCTGCCATTGTTTACCTTTTTCTTTTCTTTTCTATTTCCTTTCTCTTCAACCTCTCCCCCTTTCCTATTTTTTTGTCTTCAACATCTTCCCCAAATCAATTTTTTTTTTCCCGGTCAGTATCTCCCTCAATCAGTTTAGTCTTCTTCTTATATCTGCAGTTTCTCCACCCAATTGCACAAGTTTGGTTTTTCCTTCTTCCTTCTTAAACCCTAAACAAACTCTCCAAAACATAAGGAAAAAAATTTGTACACTCTCATTATAATGGCTTAATTGATCCCTACATAATCAAAATCGTTCAAATTCAATTCAAATCAATTCAATGTGACCTTTCTTTCTCAGCCATGTCTCCTTATACACCATATGCATTTGTCATTGCTTCCTACAGCCTCTCCCTACAAACCCTCCAACTCAACAACGAGACCACCCTCCAATTCTGGAGTCCCTACCCCAAATTTTCTCAAACCACCACCGAAACCAACCAAATTTAGAGAAAGGAAGAGGGGAAGAAAAAAACCATGTGCAATTGGGTGGAGAAACTGCAGAGAAAGAAAGAAGAAGAATAATAATGATTGCAGGAGTTAATTTCACATTGTTAAGTTCCATTGGGTGGGGAAATAGGATAAGGGGTGGAAATAACAGCACTCTTTGAAAAATAAGATGCACAGTTCACATAAGTTTTTTTTAATACATGAAGGAGGGGGTTTCTTATACACACTACTAATGTGTCATGGGGATTCGACTCTAAGACCACTGATCTGCAACTACAAGTGAATGTTATTTTTTATTGAAGTAGACCTCATTGACAATGATACACATAATTTGTTGACCAAGTAAGCAAAAGTCCAGTTTCTTATATATTCAGTATCTTATATGCTATAAATGAAACAAGCTTTATGGTGTCCTAAATTTGAACAAGTAAGCGAAAGTCCAATTTACATCATACATGCACCGTTATTCTTTTCACATCACTACCAACTACCGATCTTTATATTCAAATATATATATTTTGAAGAAGACTAAAATGAAAAAAAAGAATTAAGTAAAATTTTATTTGCGAAATATCAAATTATATAATGCATAAGATGGGTCCGTACGTATCACGGGGGAAGGCCCTTTACGAATGGATTCGTGGGGAAAGTCAGAAATGGGAAACACGCCGGCCAATACGATTCTTTGACTTTGAATTTGGCCCGTCGCTCTTTGGATGCTTTCTAAACGCCTCAGTTTTACAACGGCGGGCCTCCGGCTGTGCCTGCCGTGTTGAATTTTACGCAAATCTTACTGTAATTAAATTATAATCTAATGATGATTAATTAATAATTTTATTTCCTTCTATTAATATGCCCTCCCTCTCTAAACAGCTGCTACTAGGAAGATTCCTTGCACGACTTTGGCTTTGGAAGTATAAGACTATAATAATGTTAAGATTTGTTTTTAAATTATTTATTTTTAACAGATGTTGCCTATGGTTAGGAGATTAATGTGTGTGAGATCCTTCTAGTATATTCTATTAGTACATCATATTTTTAACCATAAGTTGGATTAAATTAAATTAAATTAATTGGTTTTCTTAATTTGAAGAAGAGTGTTGATTCTTTGTCCTACTCACCTTATCTTTAAAATTTTAAAGACAAATTTATCCATTTGGAAAATTACGTCTAAGGACTTATGCCACCTCATCAAAATTTAATCAACGAATTGGATATTTTTCTTAATAATAAATAAATAAACTCTAATTGAATTTAACAATTTGAACCTTTACTCCTGCCATCATCTACTTTTTTTTTTTTTTTTTTTTTTTTTTTTTCTTTCTTTCTTCTTCCTCTTCCCCTTTTCTAGTTTTTTGTTTGTCACATCTTCCCCAAATCAGGTTTTTTTTTTCAAGTCAGTATCTCCCTCAATCAGTTTAGTCTTCTTCTTATATCTGCAGCTTCTCCACCCAATTGCACAAGTTTGGTTTTTCCTTCTTCCTTCCTAAATCCTAAACAAACTCTCCAAAACATAAGAAAAAAAATTTGTACACTCTCTTTATAATGGCTTAATTGATCCCTACATAATAATCAAAATTGTTCAAATTCAATTCAATGTGACCTTTCTTTCTCAGCCATGTCTCCTTATACACCATCTACATTTGTCATTGCTTCCTACATTGCTTCCTACAGCCTCTCCCAACAAACCCTCCAACTCAACAACGAGACCACCCTCCAATTCTGGGGCAAATTTAGAGAAAGGAAGAGGGAAAAAAAAACATGTGCAATTGGGTGGAGAAATTGCAAAGAAAGAAAGAAGAAAAAAAGAAAAAAAATAATAATGATTGCATGAGTTAATTTCACGTTGTTAAGTTCCATTGGGTGGGGAAATAGGATAAGGAGTGGAAATAACAGCATTTCTTGAAAAATGAGATTCAGGAGGATGTGGTCAATATGAAAAATGAGATTCACTATTATACCCAATATAAGAGCTCAAATTATAAATAAAAAAACTTCATATGAAATGGACTTTAAAAATACACCTAAAGTCTATTTACAACATAACAAAAAAGCTTTTAACTTCTTTTAAATTACAAAACTGTCATTGATTTCTTAAAACAAACTCAACCCTAAAATCTCATAAAAAAAGCCCAAAACACTCAATAGGGCATCAAAATAATTTAATAATCAAAATTAAATTCCATAGGGTCAGCTGTCATTTTTTGGGTTTTTTTTAGTGTGTTTATAGAAATTAAATGGTATAGGATTTATCTATATTATTAGTGCTAAGAATGAATATATGAATAAATATCTTCTTCTTTTTTCTTCTTTTCACGACTCCACAAGAATCATCTCCCTTTTTCTGCAAAAGAATGCCACCAAGCACTTTCGGCCTTCCGATATCACTCAAGGGGAGGCAGGGGAAACCATGTCTATGTAAACAGCACCTCATAGTCTCTTTTCATCCCATATCTGAATCAGTATATGAAAAGGAAAAGATAAATTATCAAAGGTGTAGAATAAGTTATTGGGCATAATTAGAAGACATTGAAAAGTAAAATGAGAAGAAAAGAAAAAGAGAAACCATGAAGAAGAAGAAGAAGAAGAGAGGAGAGACGCTGCAGAAAGTTTTTAGGGTTTTAGTTTTTATTTTTAACTTTTTTATTTTATGTTTTAAGCAAATTATTATTTTTTAATAAAAAAATTGTGATGTGTCAACTCTCAACAACCTCTAATGAAATTTAAATCAGATAGCATATGGAGAACAAAAATCAAGCAGATCATGGCAGAAAAAATCAAAGCGAAGAATCCGAATCCAATAATTATTTAGTTGTGACATCCGGTCTTCACTTTATTGAAAGAGGAGGTATCAGATGAACTGATCAAACGCATGGGTGTAGTTTGCTGTGAAAAGGCCCAGTTCAATTCTTCTGATGGATCAAACTTTGCAAAGCTCAACTTTAAGCCCTGGCATCACAATTCACCATGCTGAGCCCACAACTTCAGCAATATGTAACAGCTTGTTGTAATAGATGAGCGAGGCCCCACTTTATCCTGTGAAGTGCCAGGTGGCAGAAGGCCATTGAAGAACAGGCCATCCATGCAAATCCACTCTATCTTCTCCAGACAATCTCTATCAAAAGCTGACAAAACCCTACCCCTTTCAAGTTAATCTCAACCACCACCACCACCACCAATAACATTTCTGACTCTCTCACTCCAAAACTCAACCCAAAAAAACAGAAGAAGAATGGCAGCGAACATGGCGACTGCATCAACCGTGATAGGCTTGAGCAGTTCCTCGCTCTCACCAAAGAGGACATGCCTCTCTTCAGGTTCAATTCAAATATGCTCACTCACTCTTAACTTGCGCCTGCTTTCTCTAAAATGCGCCTCAGTGTGCACCATACATTAATTTTGCAATAACCTTTTTTTTAAAAACTAATTACAGGCTTTGTGAAGCCTATTGCGGTTGGTAACCCTCTGAGGCAAGCCAGGGCTTCTGGAGGAAGGTTCACATGGTAATTTACTTGTCAATCCTTCTTTTCTTTTTTTCTTTTTTATAGAAAATCATGACCGTTCGTTTGTACATAGGTAATAATTAGTGTGCATTGATAACATCACACCGGCATGTCACATTCTGTAATGATAACACCGAAAAATTACTCGACATGTCACATTCTGTAATGATCACACCGAAAAATTACTCGTTATTGTTGTTTATGTGGTTTGATCTTAAATTGAGCAAACAATTAAGGGTGACATGCAATCAATGATGTTTGATATTTGTTGTGTTGTGTTGGGCAAAAATAGCAACTTCCAGAGAGATTGGCTGCGGAGGGATCTGAATGTGATTGGATTTGGGTTGATCGGATGGTTGGTGCCATCGAGCATACCGGCAATCGACGGGAAGAGTTTGACAGGGCTCTTCTTTGAGAGCATTGGAACTGAGCTTGCTCACTTCCCCTCACCTCCTGCTCTCACCTCTCAGTTTTGGTCAGTAGCCTTGTTCTTCTCTTTTTGGTTCCCTCTTAGTAATCTTTTATTTGCAAAACATAACTTGCCTTTTTCTAATCTTGGGTCTCTTTTTTATATTATGGTCAGGGCGTTACCATTTACTAATCAAATGTTAAAATTTCATTCTTTTCCATTTTTGTTTAAAAATAAGAGCACATTAAAACAAGGCCCAAATGCCGAGACAAACAGAAACGAACACACAGGCAAATTCCAAATAAAAAAACAACGGCCCAAAATAAGGGGAAACAATGCTAAGCCCAATAAACCACATATATACAGCAAAACAACCATCAAAGTAACCCCAAGTGACCATCAAATCCCAACTCAAAAGGTTAAGTGATCAAAATTCTTCCACTAGCCAATGGGGTCTAACCCAGTATAAAAGAGTCTTGACTCGTAAATTAGTGGTCTCAAGTTCGAACCCTCATGACACCTTAGTAGTGTGTGTGTGAGAAACCCTCATCTCCCTTATAGTTTAGACTATAGCTTGTATTAAAATACAAAATTCTTCCACTAGCTCTTTCATATTTACTCCAAGAATAGAAGTCACAAATTTTGTTGTGGGGTTGAATTCGGGTAGGCTTGCTTAGTAATCGTATTAAAGCACATCAATGCGACATAACTTGTTTATTAAATTTAAGGATGATTTTGGACTGTCCAAGTAAAAATGTCTTAGCATAACAAGATTAGTTAATTGAGTCGATTTTAGGTCATGACCTAAGAGAACTCTAAAACCTTAAAAAAAAAAACTGCAAAAATTAGGAGAAAACACAAGGAAAAATTCTCTCATAAATCCTTGGGATAATGCATTAGGGCCCAAGGGCAAATAAATTTATAAAAGAGGCCAAACCTGGAGCAGTGCAGGCTTTGCGTTTGAGTTACTCCGATAGTAGCGTGTACGCTATAAATTGCAGAAAAAGAAAAAAAAATGAGGTCCCACCGAGACTTGAACTCGGGTTACTGGATTCAGAGTCCAATGTCCTGACCACTAGACCATGGGACCTCTTGTTGTTAACGTAGCGTTACTGTTCTTATTTATACGTGTATGAGGTTTTAAAAAATCTATTTAAAGAAAAGCATAATTAATTAGAATCTTGTTAAATACAAATGATATTTAGGGCATGAGAATTTAAGCCCAATACCTCGGTTGCATGGGTGTGTTCTTAACCATTTGTGATATTTGATTAGTACCACTGCCTATTTAAAAAAAAATAGACATAATTATCCATTCGGGTAAACGTAACTTGGATTATTGTACATTTTTTGAGTAGGTTGTGGCTGATAACATGGCACTTGGGGCTTTTCATCGCCCTTACTTTTGGGCAGATTGGATTCAAGGGGAGGACTGAAGATTACTTTTGAATTTGATCCGTTTTAGGTTATGTAAAATCTATGCTTAATGTTCAATTATCTCAATACTTCCTTTCCTTTCATCTCCAAGTGTAACTGCAGACTTTATTATCTTGAATTAAAATTGTGTACTCCCGATGTAAATAAATATTCTAGTCAGGCTATACTGACAAAAGGTCTATTTATGTTTTCTTCTTAAGTTAACCTCTCTTAATGGAAAATGGATGGTCAATAACCAAAAGTACATGGGCATTAAAAAGTTGCATCAACTTAATTCTTCCAACGAGGTCTTGAAGGGGACAGATCAAGCATTCAGTCGTATAAGGCGTTGTAGGCTCAGCTAATTTAGAATAAAGAAATTTCACGCAATTATTTGTTAAACTATATATAAAAGTATCAACTAGCTCTTTATTAGTGGTACTTCTCATTCCAATCTCGAAAAATGCTCTAAGTTCCACTCCACCGTCCCTTTATAATAAAACAAAACTATAAACGAAACTTTTTTTTGGTTCAAGTTAAGCTTTTCCTGAGTGAAGAAAGCATTTTATCTAACACACCTCTTGAATGGTGTTAATAAGGAAACACAAGGACAAATAAGGGTAAGGTTAAAGAACCTTTGAACATGTGTAATTTGTAATTTGTTTTAGTGGGTAGAATTAAGAGATTTATATATATATATATATATATATACACCCAAATCTATCATCAATATTATAAAGATACCCTAATTAATCTAATGTGGAGAAACGAACCCAAAATTAACCGCATGTCATGCATTTATTAATATTTTATACATGAAACTTCCTTTTTGTCCTTGTGTCATGAAATTTTGAGAAAGAAATCCACATCTTGCCGTCTGAATTAAATTTAGAGAAAAAAAGCACACCAGTTGGGTTAGAGTTAGAGCATCTCTAAGGGAGATATCAAATACCAAACATTAAATTTAAATTTGATGGCTGATGTGACAATTTGATATTTAAACAGTTTTACACTCCACCCGATATGTCAAATAAATAATTATTGTAACAGTCAAATCATTAAAGATAAAGAAGAAAAAAAATAAAAAAGTAAAATTATAAATGAAATTAACAGTCAGCTGTCTTTAAAAATAATAAAATATTCATTTGACATCTTGTTTTTGGGATGTCAAAAATAACAGCTGAACCTCCAACCTTCATTTCACATTGGCTTTGACAATTTGGTTGGAATGATGTTAGATATTATTTCTAATCGTTAAATGTTGATGTGGCATTTTTGACATATCGGTTGGAGAAAAAGCTCATCAACTATCTTAATTGGGAGTTTTTTTTTCTTTTGTTGGGGTTTTTATTGTAAAACATGGCCTAGGCTTCATTGTGGGTTTTTCTTGTGAAAAGTTGGTGGCAGTGTTGTAATTTATGGGTGTTTTGACTGTTCTTCTGGTTTCAAAATGAGCTTTGGCCTTTTTTTTTCCATAGAGTTTTTTTATAGGGTTAGGGTTTCTACTATTCCAGGCCCCTCTACTGGGCCTGAATCTCCTAACCGAATTATGATTTACCTTAAACCCCAAGTAATCCTTTGTCAAGCTAAGACTCCAAATCCTTTATTGATTAATCAAATCCTTTATTACTGAATCTGCCTCTATCAGATGCCACCTCATTCCTTGACATCTAAGGAAGTCATCGGTCATAATCTCTATTAACGGGGAAGCCATATGTCAAATTGTCGAGTTTGGTTTAAGCAGTGAGACTAGTTTTAGTTGGTTTGAGGAGCTCTCTGATATACAACAAGCTCTGTTTTTATGATTCAATGAGTCGGTGTCAGGCTGATCATCCCCCGTTGTACTTTTTGAATTCATCAATAAAATTTCCCTCGTATAGTCAAGGTTGCTTAAAAAATCAATTGGGAAAACATTATCTCTGACAAGGCTGGGCCATAGGTCAAAAAGGCCAACTAGGTCAATTATGAAATTCCTAGATAGCTAGCGTGGTCAATGATCCTAGCCCTTTTTTTGTCAAATTATCTTAGCCCAATTTGGTATGAGAAATAGGGGTCCAAACATATTGATAAGAAAAATACTTCGGTAATTCCTAATAAATGATTATACTTTCGGGTTTATAGTAATGATATTACCAAGAGTTCATGTTTCATAATCGGCACTCCAAAATTATCATCTAACACTTCTCTAGTACAATTTCTTTTTTATGTTTAAAAGGAAGGAATGCATAATGATCTTTGCAAGAGCAAAATTAGGAATGTTTCAACAGATGAGCTAGTTAAAGTTATTAGCTTAAATCTTATGATTTATTATTTTTTTTGTACTTACAGTTTCTATAATTTTTCTAAAAATAAAAGTATACATTAATTAGAGCCATGAATTTCGTTGAGAAAAATGCTTCTCTTTTCGAGACATTAAAAAGATTAAAATTAAATAATTAGAGCTAAAGACTTTATGCTTACTATGTGTATTGGTGTTGAAAAAATATTTGTGAAAAACCTCTAACTATGCTTATTGGTGTTGGTAAGGTTTGAAATTGTTTATTTTTCTTTATTTTTAATTTAAAATACTCGGCTACTCAACTATATAGGTTTATATTTGTTTTTCCCCAAAACCTTCCGTAAGCTACAACTAATCGGAGCCCACGTAATGGTTCCGCCAATGGATCTCTGACAAACTAAAAATCTTATGTGGTTCTAAACTTGGGTGACTAGTTGGCCAAGGCAGTGAAGCCACCGACCTTTCACTAAAGTTCAAGTACCCTTCCTCATAGACATGGTTGGTGTTGTGCATAAGGCGAGTTGGGTGCCTACCCAACCCAAATTTTTTCCAAAAAACAAATACATACATGTGTTATAAGTCCGGCCAATTTTAAAAAAAAAGTTTAAAAGCAAACCCTACACACATGATGCCCATCAGGGTGGTCTCATATCTTTTCTCTCCTTTTCTTTTGACTATGTGACTTCTTGTTTCTCTCTCTCTTTGCTACCCAACATTAGCAACTTGTTTCTCCCTCTTTTTCTTTTTTCTTTTTTTGGGTCAAATTCTACTTCTATTGGCTACATCTTCTATTATCTTGGATGGGCAACTTGGCAACAACATCTTCTCTTCTCCCTTTGTTAACAAGTATTCTTCTCATTCTCTCATTTTCTATATATCTTTAATTATAATTATATTTTAAAATTGAGTATTCTAGGGTTTAATTAGGGATTAATTATAATTTTTGGGATTTTATTGAAATTAATTAGGGTTTTGATTAGGGATGAATTATTATAGGGCTTTGATTTGTGATTTTGTTAAAATTGAGTATTCTAGGGTTTAATTGGGGATGAATTATAATTTTTTTGGTTTGGTATTGTTCAGAAGCTATTATGATAATTTGTTTGATTTTTTGTTGACATGTTTGATTAAAATTCTTTCTACATATTATTCATAAGCTATCTTTTGTTATGTCAGATCATAATCGGAATCCCAAGAGAACAAAGAATTTGTTGTCTTTTTTTAAGAAAAAGAATGATGAGTCATCATCTAATACATTGCCTTCTAGCACTTCTTCATCTACTCCAATATGTGATGAGCAAAATCTTCCGGATTCTCCCATTATTGAGCCTCCAATTGAAAGAGTTGAATTTCAAAGAATCGATGATGATCATGATTTTAATATCAATTATCTTGAGCGTGATCCAGGATTACGTTATCTAATATGCAAATATCCGGTTAATGGACAAGATAATGTGTGAAGAGAATATATTCTTTTAGGACTATATCAACCTGAGTTAGAAGATTATCCAAGCCACTTAGAAGGGCAGGACTTTCGTCGATTTAATAAAAAGCGGTTTGGCCAATTCATTTGGCTTAAGTATTCAATTAGTAATAATAAGGTATTTTATTTTCCTTACTTCCTTTTTGACATGAATCAATCACACTCAACCATTATTGTTGATGGGTATAAAAAATGGAAAAGAATTGGTGGGAATTAATGTGCATTTCAACATCATGTAGGCAAGCTAAATTCACCACATCATCTTGTTATGCAAAAGAATTGAATAAATAAAAAAAAAAAAAAAAAAAAAAAAAAAAAAAAAAAAACTTCATATTGAAAAAGTGATAGATAAGCAATTAAAGCAATAAGTGATGGACAATCGGTTGTAACTTACAACCACAATAGAGGGCATTAGGTATCTAGCAAATCAAGCATTGGCTTTTCGAGGCCACAATGAATCCGTTGACTCATCTAATCGAGGCAATTTCATTGAAATAGTAAAGTCTTTTGCAATAATTAATATAAAAGTTGAGAAAATTATCATAGATAAAGCTCCTCAAAATGCCCAGTACATTTCTAATGACATACAAAAACAAATTTTACATATTTTTTCTACCAAGGTGAGGAAGACAATTTGTAGAGAACTTGGGAAGAACAAATTTTGTATTCTTGTTGATGAATCACTTGATGAGTCCGGTAAAGAACAAATGATTACTATTCTAAGATTTGTTGATTTTGATAGCTTTATTCATAAGCGCTTTTTGGATATTATGAGTATTGCAGACACTGATGCCTTGAATCTTAAAAATGAGAAATGCAAAGTGCTTGGTAGTAATGGCATTCTAGTGGAGAATATGTGTGGTTAAGGGTATGACGGTACTAGTAATATGTATGATTCATGAAATTAATTACAAGCATTGTTTCTTCAAGATTGTCTATATTTATATTATGTGCATTGCTTTCCTCATCACTTGCAATTAGTGAAATTCACTCGTACCGTCGAGTTTAGTATATAAGTTTTTGCTCAGTTGGCTTTTGAATCATAGAATCGCCATTGTAATAGAATATATTATTTTTATTAATCAATAATATCATATTGATTTACTTAAAAATAAAATAAATATTTAATATTAAAATATTTAGGTGCCCAACAGACTGGCCATGGTCCATGAATTAGCTCGTTCTCTTGTCATGGCTCACAACAACTGTAGATTATGTTGAAGTGACGATGGCCACCACACACACCCCTAAAAACATATGATATGACTCCGAATAGAAACGAGTAATACTAAAGACTGCAAACCGAATCCACAGTATGGGTGAAAGTGAGAGTAGGAAGACCTGTCGTTTACAAAGAGATATACTGTCAAATCCAATTGTATATCAATCTATTGTCATTAAAGTTAGGGAAGAAGAAAAGTAAGTGACATAAATCCTCTCTCTAGATGGTAGAATTAGGTGGTTACGTGCAGAGGTTAGGTTTGTATTGTCGAAATTTGTTGAAATTTTGGGACTTGTCTTCTCTCCAACAGTCTAGAGAGGATGAGATTGTTCATGTAACTGTACAATACTTGGTGTCAAAATAATTATTTTAGCTAATGATAGAAGTTAGGATGGCTAAAAAAGGAAGGGAGGTTTCTAACATACACATATTATTAATGTGTCGGAAGTTCGAAGTTGAGACCACTGATCTCCAAATTAGGACTCTTTCTCATTGAATTCAACTATTCTGTCACTCAGTCAGTCTAGTAGTAGAAATAGGACCACATAATAGACTGGTTTCCCCAATGACTTGGTCATTTTATAGAGATGAAAAATTGACAAGCACGTTCTGTGAAGGAACCATACTGACAGTTATCATCCACCTTCCCTACTAGTTTCAAACTGTTCACACAGTAATGCCATTGGACGGTTTGGGGATTTTATATTCTAAAAAATTGTCTTCATCAATTTATTAGGCATTCCCTACTTCTTAGCCTTTCTTCTGGTTGAACCAGAAAAACAAAAGGAAAAAAAAGGCAAAACTTTGCAAGTCAATCTGGAATCTTTTACCAACTTTGGTGCAACTTTTCAGCAGTGAAACTGTAAAATAATTTCTCAAAATAATGTGGCTAATTTGGAGATAATTATTGAATTCTTCAGGGGGTAAAACTTCTAAAACCATAACATTAAATATTTCTTATTCCGAGAAATCCTAAAGAGTTTCCAAACAAGTTAAAGGTTAGGAAGACAAAAAAAAAGTAGAATATAATATGGTCGACAAATATTTTAAGAACTTTTTGTTTCTATGGAAATAGGCTTTTTGGGTAAATATGGAAATAGAATAGTTACCAAAACTTGTTTTATTTCATACTAGCCCCTTCGCGGCCAATTGGTTATTTATTTATTTAATTTTTTAATTTATTCTAGAATTAAAAATAATAATGGGTAGTTGTTTTCATAAAAATAGGATCCATAATCTGATTTTACTTTTATTTTTTATTTTTTTAAATATGAAAAAGTGTGAATTTACCATATCCTTCTCATTTAATTAATAAATTCAATTCTTATGTTTGCATTAACCAAGGACATTTTTTGGTATTTTGAATATTCAAAATTACAAACAAAATAATACTTTGAACATAATACTTTTAATTTGAGTATTCTAGTATTACTGTTCCAAGTACTTTAAAGAAAATTATATAAAAATAATAATTTTGAAGACCTTTACTATTAAGAGGGGCGATAATATACTAAACTCACATACACTACACGTATGTTAGGATTGGAACCCAGAATCTTTCTTATAAGAACAATTGCTCCAAATCACTACACTAATGGATACTTTGAAAAGAAAATTCAATTTAAACTAAAAGAAATCGGACACTAAGGAAGGCAAAAAGTTTTCCAAAACAACATATGTTTTCAAGGGAAAAAAACATTATTAAAAAAAAATCAAAAACAATAAAAAAAAAAAAAAAAAAAAAAAAAACATACAAAGAAACAGTTAAAAGAGACAGTAAAAGAGACTTCTGCTCATGTATACTCAGAATGAGCCCTACCAAAACGTTAGAGAATTGGCATGACAGTATGCCGCAATAGGACCACGTGTTGTTAGCTCTACACATGAACTGTTGAATATATTTTTCCAATCAAATTTGAAAGCGCTCCGTTGAGAAGAATAAAGAGGGCAAGAATATTAATACAAATGGAGAGTAATGTCACTCACTTTTCTTTCAACAATTTTGAGAAGAGGATGCAAGAAAACAAAGCAATAATAGTGCAATCATATATGTGTCCACCTCACTTTGTGATTTCACCTTTCAATGAGTTGCTTACTTTCACTCTCATCTTCCATCCCTCAATCAGCCAACTTTAATCTCCTATATTCAAAGAGCCATACGGGTTTTCAACAAAATTATTGAATAATTGCATGATTAGTAGTGCACTTGAGTAACGGCTCCAAATGCATCAATGGTTAGGAACCACCCCCGCACGTAGCGACATGCCACAACACTACTTCAAATTATTTGTACTCTTATAGAGGAATGCAAGAATACAAAAGGAAAGTGTTATTTGCACTCCCTTAAGTTATCCTAATCCTCTCTTATAGAATATCATTTCCACTATAGTATATGCAAGTTAAGACCAGTCCTCATACGTGCATGTAAATGAGTGAGTGTTTTTTTGATTGTAACGTGAGTGATATCTAATTGTTGCATAGCTTAAAAAAATGCTCTCCCCCTTATCCTAATCCTTTCTTTTCGCGCATCATTTCCACCACAGGATGCATGCATGTGAATGAATGAACCGTCCTAGCTAGTTTTATTTTGTGTCATTGGTTGTGCTAGGGATTTCAGGAACAAGGTTAATTGCTATGCTCCCGCAGCCTCAATACTGATAAACACAACTTGTGGCATGTGACTTGAATGTTTCAAATTTTTTGAAATCAAGCTGCATCATGGACCACCAGCATCAACATTTATCAAGTTTGTAGTGAATATGACAATCCATGAGCCACAAGATTTCAATCGGCAAAGCCGCAAAAGACATGAAGATCATGTTCATGGGGGGTGGGGGGTTGGCCATGGGGTGCAGGTGTGGGGGCCGCAATCTATAATTATATTTATGTGGGTGTTTTCTGTAAGAATTGTTTGAGTGTAAGTTCCAAAACATACAGCAAGGAAACTCCAACCAATCCCGAACATATTGAGCCGTTAGTAGGACCCCACTCCTCTCTTCCCATAACTTTTTGTTAAGAGGAGGTTCTTAAGGCTTGATTGACTGATTACATTTGTGAGCTGTACTGCCATTTGATTTGATAAGATATTTCGCAATTATTACTCCGTACTTCATATTTGATTTACCCCCTTTTGTTTTTCCTTTTATTTATTTATAATTTCTACACTTATTAGAAACTCCCTTCCCTTTGAATCTCTTTTTTTTTGGGCAACCTTGCTCTTCCTTTGCATGTTTAGAACATCCACACGCATCAAGAAGTGTTTTATTTCACCCATTACTTGTTTGTCATTAGTTCCAATCCTAGCATTACTAGAACGACTTCCTTACTTTACACAAATGTATATAACACTTATAGCATAGTCAAAAAGGGGTATTGAAATTATTCTAACTCATGCTTCTCTGTATATAGTAACACTGACTTGATTCAAAAAAATTTAAGGGGAGATTGGCTACTTACATTACCAGCGCTAGAGTATACTCACAATCTCAAGTCAGAATGACTTACGCGTGGCATCCAATTGCCAATTGCCATAGGTATGGATTTATGTAGGAAATTACAGATCGCGCATCAATAAAGACTACTGGTAGTAGGACTTGACCATTGGTGGGACTACACACAGTACATGGACCTTACCAATTGAACCAACTCTCATTGGTTATATATAGTAACACATAGATATTAAAATAATTCTGATTCTTAACTTCCCCTACGTTGATTAAGTAAGTTATAATGGACTATGTTAACATTCTCTTTAAAATGAGAGATTAACTTGAATAGTATACAATATATTTAAAGGGAGCTAATTTTCACACTTCTCTTTTATCCACTTGCATTCCATTTGTTAGAAATTGTATGTTCCCACTCCTCTTTTGTTCATTTACCCTCCATTTTTTGTTATAGTAAAAACTATTAAAAACAAAAAGAAGTGTAAGTGGACAAAAAGGGAGTGGTAAAATCACCACCCTATTTAAATCCATGTCGTATTCGTCATAAACACCTTTATTTTCTAGCTTTTAACACTCTTCACTTGTCTTTGCATATTGGAAGGTCTTTCTGCACAAATCAAGATGTACTCTATTTCATCCATTACTATGTTGTCATTAGTGGATATATTTAGTTCCAGTATTCTAAAAGTACTTCATAACTTGACACTTAAGATAGAATTATATCTAATAACCTATAGATTAGTGACACTTGTAATTTAAGATAACATTCTTTTGAAGCGCGACATTACGTTTAATAGCATTGGATTTGATGTATTCGAGTTCTTGTCATTACATTACAATAATTAATGATATATTGATTGATATGTTAAATAGTATTTGATATATTGATATTGATTGATAAGTAGGGATTGTAATTTTCCTCATGGGTAAGGATCTTCGTGGAGATTCGACCATAATGAGTCGAGTATGAAGAATAAAAAATGGGTATGAGGTTCGGGGAATTTTTCAAGTATGGTGTTCAGGGAGGGGCGGGGATGGTTTTCTAATCCCTAACCCGAACCCTCCCAGTTTATAATATATATATATGTGTGTGTGTGTAATTTATTTTATCATATAATTAAATTATTAAGATGTATGATGGTGGTGCTACTTCTATAATGATGTTCATGTATTTTTTTTTTTTGGTTGAGAAATGATGTTCATGTCTTGAACATGTAGTTATGATATGTATTAATTTGTTTTAAAAAACTAGTCTAGATTTTTAGTTAATAAAAATGGAATTGATACAAATCTTGTACTCATAATTTTTTTTTTTTTTTTTTTTTTTTTTTTTTTTTTTATCATTTAACAAGCATTTTATTTTTATTTTTTCCGTAATGGGACGGGTCGAGGAACCCATTCCTCAATGAAGGCGGGGATGAGGAATCCTCGAATTGAAGATGTGTATGAAGGCAAGAATGGGAAAAAAAAAAGCTTAATGGAGATGGGAATGGCACACCCATCCCTGATTCGACCAATTTCCAACCCTATTGATATGAGCACAAAAAATGCAAATTAAGAATATAAAAAAATATAAAGTATAAAGCAAAAACTTAGAATTGCAGGTTTGCACTTATGCCACTTGACATTCTACTCATCTCTCTTCCCACTCCTACATTTAACGTTAAGAGTATTTTTGTTAAACGATATACACTTACCACATTATTATCATATATTTCTATACAATATGATGTGACATGTCCATATCATATGACATATTAATTAAATAAATAAAGTGTATTTTAATAAATAAAATTAGAAAAACAGAAACTAGTATTTTACATGATGTGGTATGTACACATCAGTGGCCACATCATGTGGTATAAAATTGTGGTATAAAAAATATAGTAAGACTAATATTATTCTTTTTTTAATCTGTCAAATGTAATCATAAACTTAATTAATTAGTTTTTGAGAGATAAACGTGGAAAAAAAACCAATATTACGACGAAATCAAGTGAAAATTAAAATAGAAATTTTGACATCAAGTAATCTAAAATGGACAGAGTCGATTAAAACAAAGTAAAAATGAATACTTGAGGAAGGGTTTAAGCAGAGCAGATGGCGCAAGATCCGAGGATAATTAAGCAAAAATAATAACAGAACATTCCAGCTTAGAGAGAGGGGAAGGAGACAAAATTAAATACTGAGAACCTAGTCAACATTGTGGGCCGTTTATAATACACAGTTACACATGCACGACCCTGATTGAATACCCCTTGCTTCACATGTTTGCCACGTCATCTTTTTTTAAATATAAAAAAATAATTTTTATTTTTATTTTATTTTTTATAAAAATACTCCAAACTTCATGCTAACGGAATCTAACCAAATAAAAAATAGCCTTAACTTACGAATTAGTGCCAGTCTTAGCTTTGAATTTTAATGGCATCGTGATAGTGTATGTGAGAAACCTGACTTCTTATAATTTAGACTATGGTTTATACAAAAAATAAATAAAAAACTCCTAACTCCATTTTCCAACTATCACTCTCTCATCATCCCTTCCCAATTCTTTCCCCTTTTCAATTTTTTTTGCTTTTTAGTTTTTTCCCTCTCAACATTTCTAAACCAAAAGCTTCCATTCTTCTTCCAAAATTCCCATCTCTCACTCTCTCTCTCACACCCCACCTTCCGTTTTTGATAGTTTGACAACTTTTTGAGCTTCTTTGATCCTCTTTAAGACTGCCCAAAATCCACCACAACCCAGAATCTTTGACACTTCTCTTTTTCTTCTTCTTTGCTAAATTCGAGGCTGACAGTTTGAATTACTTACCCAAAAAGAAAAACTTGACACTATCATTATCATCAATGTACTTCCATCAACTTTTTTCAACCCCTTGATTTTTGTTTCCCCTTCTCCTCCCCCTCCATCTCTCATTCAATCGCCCAAATCTTCAAGATCTCCCAATTGGATCTTCACCATTTCCTTCTTTTGTGCACATTTTATTTTCTATGTCTTGGCAAAACCAGCAGCATACACACATTTCTACCGTCGACAGGCAATGCAAAATCAGGAAGCGAGGCGGGTCTTCGTCGTCTTCCTCTTCCCTGGTCCGTAGGTACAGATTGAAGCGGGCAATTCTGGTGGGTAAGCGCGGCGGGTCGAGCACGCCGGTCCCGACTTGGAAGACGACTATAAGTGCCGCCAGATCATCGCCTTGCGCCGCCGTGATGATGCCGAATGCTGCTTCTGATGATGGCGAGGAGCTGGCAAAGCAGCAGCAGCGGCCGGCCTCGAAGGACGGTGGCGGCGGTGGCGGTGGCGGTAAAGGGAAGGGTGTGCCATTGTCAGTTTCAGCAAGAAAGCTTGCGGCTACTTTGTGGGAAATCAATGAAGTGCCTTTGAAAAAGAAGGATGCTAAAGCCATTAAAGAAATGAGAATCAGAGAGGGTGTTGCTCAAATGCCATCTTTAGCGGGTTCCTTGCCGCCGAAGTTATCAGATCCATCTTATACTCCTATTTCTGAGGTGGGTTTATTTTATTTTACTTTTCTTTTGTGCTTATGTTTCTCTCTTTTCTGTTTTTTTTTTGGCTGTGAAAATATTGTTAATCTTTCTTTCTGGGTTTCTTGTTTTCCATATTATGTGCCACCATTTCCCTGTGAGCTTTTGTTTTAAGAATTATTAGTTTTTTTTTCCAGTTGGGAAGAGTTCTGTTCTTGCTGATATTATGGAAGGGTAATTTTTGTTTTGTTTTTTTGTTGTTGAATTTGAATTTCAAAGTTACTGTCTTTTTGGAAATTCTGCAGAAGAAAAATGGATCTGGAGGAGCTGAAAACCAGAGAAGATTGTCGGCCGTTTCTCATAACCTTCATCTGACTGATTACCAATTGGGAGGTTTTGAGACTCATAGAAGTTCCAGTTTAACTGAGGTAAAAAACCAATGCTATTAATCAGGGCATATCAGATTAGGTAAAAAGATAGACATGTTTGTGTCGTTTGTGGAATTTAATTTTCCCTTTTGTGTCAAAGGGGCACAAAATTATTTTTGAAAAAATGACAAGATGTTGACAGTGATTGTAGAAATTGGTCCCCATTAGATTTGTCTGATAATAACCCATCTATCATAAATATCAAAAATAGTTTCCTGCCTTGTCATTTTCATTGAATAGTACATTTCAAAAGTTCATTTTCAATTTCATCACTTTCATGCTTAAGAAATGAGCTCTTGAAGAACCTATTTTGTGACTTGCTCCTGATAGTATTATTGTAATGCATTTGTTTGCATGATCAACTAGAATGTTTGTGACTTGAACTTTTTGAGCACAGAAATTTTGAATATCTGAGAATATGTTAAGATGAACCTGCATATGGCTCCCTGGGGTTTCTAGGGTGAATTTCAAGGATGATAAACTTTAACACATGTTGACTGCATATCATTATTTGTAGGTCAAAGATCAATCTTGTGGAAAACCTGATCGAAAATGCGTTAATGGATTTACCTGTTTGAAGGAGGTCAGTAAGGGCCTTTCTACATCCAAGGAGCTCTTGAAAGTTCTTACTCGCATTTGGGGTCTTGAAGAGCAGCATTCCTTAAGTACAACCTTGCTCTCAGCCTTACGAGTTGAGCTTGATCGAGCCCGTATCCAGGTTCATCAAATGATCCGAGAACAGAGGTCTAACTGCAACGAAATTGAGTACATCATGAGGCAGTTTGCAGAAGAAAAGGCGGCCTGGAAAAGCAAGGAGCGAGAGAGGGTACGTGCTTCCATAGCATGCATAGCAGAAGAACTTGAGGTGGAGAAGAAACTAAGAAGACAAACAGAACGGTTAAACAAGAAGCTTGGAAAAGAACTGGCTGATAAAGAGGCAGCTCTGTCAAAGGTCATGAAAGAGCTTGAGAGGGAGAAGAGGGCAAAAGAGATTTTTGAGCAAGTTTGTGATGAGTTAGCCACAGGTCTTGGGGAGGACAGAGCACAGGTGGAAGAACTAAAGAGAGAGTCGGAAAAAGTTAGAGAAGAGGTGGAGAAGGAGAGGGAAATGCTTCAGCTAGCTGATGTTTTGCGCGAGGAGAGAGTCCAGATGAAGCTCTCAGAAGCCAAATATCATTTTGAGGAGAAAAATGCAGCTGTGGAACAGCTGAGGAATGAGCTAGAGGCTCACTTGAGATCCAAAATGGGTGAAGGTAGTGGTGACTCTCCAGATTTGAAAAGGATCAAAGAACTTGAGGCTTATTTAAAGAAAATAAATTTCGGATCATTTCAGAGCGCAAAGAAAGAAGGGAATGGAATGGAAGTTGCTGCATATAGAGAAGAGTGTGATGATGAAGACGACTCAGGTGGTGATAGTGACCTTCATTCCATTGAATTAAACATGGACAATACCAACAGGAGCTACAAGTGGAGTTATGCTTGTGGAGATGATACTGAATATGATTCGAAAAGGACTTCAGTTGATAAACAATTTAAAGGAAGAAGATCTCTCTCTGAAAAAATTCAGTGGGAAAGCATATGCTTAAACAAAAATTCCAATGGAGTTGATCGGGAGTTTGGCATAAAAAGTCAAGGACATTCAGATGGGAATCATATGGAAAAATCCGAGCTTGTTCTTCAAACTCAAACGCAAGAATATGAAGCTGAAACCAAGAAAAATGGATCTGCCAAGGGTCTCACAGACCTTAGATTATCCAATTCAAAGGTGGTACCTATCCAAAGCTTTGCCGGTACAACTTGCCAGTACCAATCCTTGCCGCAGAAGGATTCCGGAAGCGAAGTGTGTGGAAGTTAGACGGGTGTTGCAAGAGAGTGATTGAAAGGCCCCCTCCCGCGGCTATCAGGAAGAAGAAGCCAATGGCAGGATCAATAGAATATAGATGTTTGCATGTTATCTTTTTTCTTCCAACAAAGCAATGCTTTGCTTGTTTTTTATTCTTCAAACCTTGCCATAAAATTGTTTGCATCAATCATGTTCACCGGTCACTCCTACAGATAGAACAATTGTATATACAATTTTATACAATGCTATATGAATCCAATATAATTTATTTTGAATTTTCGGAATTAGATTTGCAGCATGGTTATTGAGCGTGTTTAGTACAATTAAGAACGTTCAACTAAAATAAAAATCTCAGAACATAAAGAGAAAATCAAGAATGAAGAATCTGGTCAGCCCTATCATGCTTGCTAAAATAAGAACTTTACATTCTGCATACATGACATTGTCTGCAGCTCGTACCTTCATCAGCAACATCTTTTGCATACGCAGGATATAATGCCAACAGAATCAAAGATTTAGCAGATCTGTTCCGCCCATACATATGCTAATTATGAGAAAAATGTTACTCGGGCGTATCCAGATATTTATAGCGTCGCATCGCATGGCGCCCTGATGTACTCAATAATTTTTGTTCATTCTACATGACATCTTATTTTAAATAAACAGTCCTATTATGATATTCTATTGAGTGTTTCTATTCTTGCCCATGTCCTATTTTCCTACCCACCTTACTTTTCCACCCCATAAATTGGAATTTTTTAAATAATTTTCTCTTTTCACCACCATTATTCTTAAAATGCCTTATTACTAATACACTCTTTTCACTTGAAGATTATCTTCTTTCTTTTGGGTCAGAGTTTGGAAGGGGGAGGGGGTAGGTGTCATTAGGGTTTGAACTTGAGAGTGAATGCAAATGCTCTTACCACTGAGCTATGGAAACCCGTTGGCTTTTCACTTGAAGTTTATCATCCCACCCCTTTATCGTCATCTTTTGTTTTTCCTCCCATGAACCCTAACTTCATTCTCTAATTAAATTTGCAGTAGTGCTGTTCCGTCATGGTTGAGGCACAACAATGACACTCCAGGCAAAATGAAATCAATAGAATGTCATGCCAAATATTTATGAGCCCAAAAATATACCGTACTGGTCAAGTAATTTTACCAACATTTGATGCACACACTACCATATCTAAGAAATTACAGCTGGATCAAAATTGAATTCGATTAAATTCTACTCAGGCTTTTCTTTCATAAGCAAATTCAGTTGCATTCAACATCTTTTGGTTTTTTGCTGGCCCAAAAATTGTACAAATAGAGGATTGAATGATATGGTAGATGGAGAAGATGATTTTAGGGGGCTATTTCATTTCTTTATTTATTCACTTGGCTCCTCAGAGGTCATTTCACAAGATGGTAAACTTTTCATTAATATTTTCATTAAAAGGTGCATTGAGAAATAGGGCAGGAGAGTGGAAATAGATTCTTTCTTTTTTTGGCCGAAAAGCCGCACTCATTCTATTTCAATGACTCAACAAGTTTGAGCAAATATGTCTATGAACTTGATCTCAATAGACAGGAAAGTACACAACCATATCAATTTAAACTTCATAAGTACCAACTCTTTTCGGGTACCAATCAGTACTTAGGTTTCACTTTTGAGGAAGCAGAAACATACACCAAGGCAAGAAATGGCCCGGTCTACGGAGGAAATACAACAGCAATAATACATATATCTACAAAGGCTCGTCCTTTATTAGTGAACAGGTCTACATTTTTGCGAACCACGCCCAGATAGAAAACAGGTGAAAACCAATTATGGTGTATGTGAGACTTCAGTCTTTGTTGAGGCCGACACGAAAGTCACTGGATTTGTCGGATGGTCCTTGACAGTCAAGCTAAGCACTTCAGGCCGTGAATAGTGCCCAACCACATCGAAAGCAAATTTCTCCCTCGCTATTTCTCCAAGATCTATGCACCATTATTTGGTCAGTAACAAAATCAGTGCTTAAACAAAAGAACTCAAAATTTACAGGAAAAGACAAGTACAGAAAGTTTTAGTACAGACGGAATGCATCTCCCTTCGCATAGAGTTTTATTGTTTGAATTTTTGGACTTGCAATGTCCACTATATGAGGGTCTTCTGTAGGTAAAGTACTTTGGTTCGAATTTACACCATATTTTATCCATGACTAAACTTTATTAGATTCCTACTAGGTGATTTTATGGGATCATGCTAGGCTTAGAGAAGGTCAATATAACTATTTAAGGAATATGGACGTTCCTGCAATTTCACTCGCAGTTGAAGTTTCTCTAATTTCCACTAAATCCCAAAAGTAACTTAAAATCAATATTAGCACACCTTGCAGTATATATACTTAATTGATGTTACCGGAAGCACTATACAAACAGATGGCATACCAAGATCTGCTGAGATGAGTGCCTCCCCATCGTAATTGGGTCCAGCGAGAATAGCCCCTGATGGTGATATAATGACACTGCCTCCAGCACAGACAACAGAATCTGGAGTAAGTTCCTCTTCTGTGCCGGCAAATACATATTCTGGAGGAGGGGGGTAGTCTTTCCTTCGACAGAATTGATTAGCTGATAAGACAAAACACCCACCCTCTAAAGCAATATGAGTCATTGATGCTTGCCATACATCCCTGGAATCAGCAGTAGGAGCACAATATATTTCAACGCCTGCACACAACAAAGCATCCTGCATCAAATCTCAGTATAAAAGATAATAGAACCAAAAGTGGAACTAAGAACGCATTTAAACCCCACAAATAAATACATCGGTATTCACATTGAGTAGAAAACTGTTATTCAACTTAAAACACTTACCGATGTTCTTCAGTCATTAAATTGCAAAAGGATGTATCATAGTATCAAAAAGCGGCTAAGAACGCATTTAAACTCCACAAAGAAATACCTCGTTTCTACTGTACAGATGTATTCACATTGAATAGAAAACTGTTTTTTCACATTGAGTAGAAAACTGTTTTCAACTAAAAACACTTACAGATGGTCTTCAGTTATTAAGTTGCAAAAGAAAGTAGCTGGGAAAAGTCGTGTATTGGATACAATGCCAAGTTGCTAAGAAAAACCAGATTATGCCACAAATGTTGGCAGACCATTCTGGGTTTTAAGGAGTGTCAATCAAGGTTGTATCTTATTTTAATTTGAGCCCAAATGAAAGGCAACATACTCCACATATCGCTGAGGAACTTAGCAATTGACTCAACCCAACATAAAGATCGCAAAATAGTATACTTAATCCAAGTACCCAGTTGGCCAAATAATCCTTTTAACCTGATATCAGCCTCTATAGCGCCACCTATGAAAAGCCATCCCCTACTCATATAACACTGAACTAAATTGTTAAAATATGAGTTCCAAAACAGGAGAAGAAAAAAAAAAAAAAAAAAAAAAAAACAAAAGCAATTGCTTAGAAGAAAATTGAAGTATTTACAAAAGTGAGTCAGAACAATTTAATTAAGTGTGGATTTCAAAATTTCCTGGAAAAAATAACTAACCTTTAGCATACATTGCTGTCCTTAGCAGTGGCATCCTATTTTCCCAACAAATGGCAGCGCCTATTTTTCCAATTGGAGTCTCAAACACGGGAATTGTGGAGCCGTCTCCAAACCCCCAAATAATTCGCTCCAATGCTGTGGGCATAATTTTTCGGTGCTTTCCCAAGTAGGAACCTTGAGAATCAAAAAACAGAACAGTGCAATAGAGTGTATATCCATCTCTCTCTATCACACCCATTACCAAGAATACCTTGTACTTTCCAGCCATTGCTGCCAATCGATCAACTTCAGGACCTGCATTAGTTAATAAAAATAGTCAAACTACATATTCATACTTTGACAGTTCCATTGCCAGCCCGAACCTGGGTCAAATAATGACAGTTTTAGCACGCATTGTTTGTCTTCATTTTGATTTAAGACCAGGAAATTATAGCATGCCTCGGTAGACTTATTAACACTTGATGTTCCACTTAAAATTTGAAATTCATATATTAGGAGAATAATAAGCGAACTTGGATAACTTCTACCTCAATTAGTTGATAAGATCCATGTGCTAGGTGTAGAATGGGTCGCACTGAGCGAGCACACCACCCACTATTTGGGCACATTTGTGCCTCGCATCAGGCTGGCAATGGAACTGTCAAAGTATGAATAATAACCACTTGTGCTCGGCCCTAGGCCAGCATGGGCACGAGGCACATGCAGATTCGTTCCCATGTCATGCCTATATTGTGCCTTAGTTATGCCATGTCATTATTAGCACAGGGTCCATGCCAGAATTTCTTTTTTGAGAGATGTAGAAAAAGCAGGAGAATGGGAGGGGGGCAGAGAGTTAGTTGTGTGGAAAATGAATAAATTGGGTATTTACAAGGAAAATCGAAGCAAAAAACACACAAAATACAGAATAAAAGGCCAACGGGTTGGCTGGTTTGCAGCGCTCATATGCATTTAAAACATACGAACAAACAGGCAGGCTTGACTCAACTGTGCCAGGCATGGCATACAGGGCAGATGGCAAGTAATAACTCTGTTGCGGTAGGCCAATTTTAAGAATGCATTCCCTGCTATAATTGGAACTCAGAAGGGTAGAAGGAGTGGAGTACAAGATGACTAAATAATGTGGATTTTTTGTGCGGGGCTGCAGGATTTAACAGCTTATGCGAGAAATTGTACAAGTTCAAAATACCTAACAACTTTCACCTTTGGAGACATTGTTCTCCACGGCTGCAATTAACTGATTACGAGCAGCATAGATATGCCCACACTTCTCATGCCAAACACTGGCATCCCTTTTTGCCAAATAAAAAGAGTTAAGATGCTCAGTTCCATTCCATGCTTTGAGAAGCCATTTTCCGATGAAATCAATTTTTACATAACTTGTTTGCTAAGTGAGAAAGATAAATTTATAGTATAACCAACGAGAGCAAAAGAAATTGAAACCTTTTCCCTCTCTTTTCTTGTTGTTTTTGCATCCAAATATTCACTAGACTCATGGAATATAACTTTCTTAGGAAAAAAAGAGCAGAAATGATTTCTCTTTACTTCAACAAAGCTAAGAACTTATAGCTACCAATAGTTGCATTTCAATTTTAACCATAAACTGACATTTGAGCACACCCATTGCAGTTTAAGTAAACACAACATAAGTTAATTTCTTCTCTTGAATAAAGCAAAGAACTTATAGAACCTAATAGTTCACTTCAAAACACTACTCAATCAAACAGTGCATTCTAATGAATTCAATTCATTTCAGTTTCTTATGCATAACCAATGCATCAAATCATCAAAAATGAAAAGGACAAGGTAGATTTACCAGGAACATCAATGGCAGAAGCATGATACTTTCGGAACTCTTCTTTACCCTTAGCTGTTCTGTTCCCAATGACAATGCCAAAATTTGACCCACGTGGATAACCACCCACAAAAGCTTCCGGAAACACAACCAGCTGGGCACCATACCCAGCTGCTTCAGCCAATAACCTCTCAGCCTTATCTACGCATACAATCAGAAATCAGAACCACCAAACTACAAATATTTTCAATTTAACCAAGAAACCTGGATGCAGCATCTAAAATGAATCAGATGAAAGTCATATCCCCAAAGCTTATTTGCCAACATAATCAGGATTCAAAAAAATAGAAAGATAACAACATCTGAAAAATATACTTCAATAAATTTGGCTTGCAACTTATGCATATTCTTTTACAAGTACGTCAGCTTGACCAAGACCATATTTGCATTAGTCTTACAGAGGACTCCTCAAATAAAACCATACTGGGAAATGTACAGGCAACCCCCATGGGGTTCACCCCATTTGACACATGACCTTGTGGTTTGTTTTCTGAAAATTAAATTCATTGAGGGTTCTTCCGTTAGTCAAATCTGGTTAACGGAAAATAGATTACATGCTGGCACCTGAAAACATATATATTGTAACATGCAAAAAGTACTTCCTTGTGACTATGTTACCCCTTCTCTCCAATTTTGCTCTAAAAGTACTTTAGCCTTTCGAATCATTGAGGATGGATTGACCAAAGGAAGAGACTAATTCGTATTAGTTAACTAGAGTAAGATTTACACACACACAAAACTAGTCAAATATATAAAACCGCAATAATCTTGAACATTGGATCATATTAATTTGCTTAGTGATTAAAATAACAAAAGGTTCCAACTTTTCAAAGGATTAGCAAGATTTACAAGTTGCTTACCAAAAATTTAGTGAAACAATTTACTGAACAAGCCAAAAAGTAGAAATGCAGTGGTCTTCCAAAACCCAGAAGACAAAAAACAAAATTTCTTGATTGGGAAAGTAGCACAAACACTCGAGTACAAGCAAACTAAGAAGTTAAAAGGCTTAGAGAAAGTACCTAAAGTGGCAGGAGTGTCATAGAAGACAGTGGAGGCTTGGACCACGGTGGCTCGAACAGTGGGTGCGGAGGGGTCAGAACCCATCTCAACCTCGGCGACCAGAGCTGGAGATGGTACCAGAGCCATTTTTAATCTCCTCTCTTCTTGTTTGGTTTTGGTATATTGGTTGGTATATATTTTCTTTCTGTACATCTGAACAATGACCAATCAATTTTGTAACCGGGGAGAATCCATTTCAATGACTTTCAAATAATCAACATTTCCACTCGAAAAGGCTAAATCAAATTTGTTTTCGCTTGTGTTTTTTTTAAGGGATTCACTATTATGCCCTAGGCAGCACCGTATAAAATGAACTTTAAAAACACACTCAAAGTTTATTTACAATATAAGGTTATCCCCAATGATTGAGGCTCTAAAAATGGTTTATAGAGCCCCATTTAGAGCTCCGATGGAATCTTTGGGGCTCTAAAGGAATCTCTCACACAATGAGAGGCTCTATATTTTTTTATGATGTAATTTGATTTACGTGGTTTTTTTTTGGGTTAACTATTTTACTTTAATGTTTATTCATGTTATGTTAGTTTTTTTTTCGTGAACATTTCAACAAAAAAAAATCAAATTTTGGACAAGATTTGGAAATTTGGACAGCATACAAAATTTGGACAAGATTTGAAAATTTGGAATAGAGCTGTTGCATTGGGAGTGGAATTTTGGTTCATGCATGTTGATCGTTGGAATAGAGCTGTTGAAACTGCTTTGCAATTTTGGTTCATGCATGTGGGCCAACATGCAAATGAACAGCCAAGTTTTGGTTGATCATGTACAGTCGCAAGCAAGTGGGAAATGTGGGCTGCAGCTTCTTCAATTAGTGGGTCCCACTCGGTTTCAAGGGCTTCAACCAAGCTCACACATTTGAGTACTACTTCGGTTGGGCTTTAAGTTTTAGAGCCCCAAATTTGCACCATTGGGGATGTATTTTTAAAGAAAGTTTGTATAATTGGAGCCTTGTGGTGGTTGAGTAGAGCCCCCATTTGGGATGGCCTAACAAAGGGAATTCGAACTTTCTATAAATTACAAAACTATCATCGGTTTCTTAAAACAAGCCAAATCTAAAACTTCATCAAAACACTCAATATGACATCAAAGTAATGAGTATATAACTAAATATCTTTTTTTTTTTGCTTGTGGTATGTGTGTGGGGTTGTTTGCAACTATTTGGTTGAAAAATTGCATGTGTTCAATAAATAAAGGATTTTTATTGCAAAACGTCCTCAATGTTCACGAAATTATCATGTAAAGTCTTCATGTTTTTTTTTGTAGCATTAGTGGTCCTTAGGCCCCGTTTAGTTCATGAGAAAGGAGGCTTAGGGAGGGTAAATCAATTGTTTTCCCATGGTTAGTAAGTCCATGCATGGGAAATCGTTGCCTGGCATGTGGGAAAGTAAGGGTGAAAGTGAAGCCCTCATTCCAACTTGGATTTTGTTTTCCCTCCTCATGGGAAAGTTTGGAAAAATGAGCTAACGTTAAATAAATATTTTTCATGACTATTTTGTCCTCATTAGTAATTTAAAATTACAATATATCATTAAATTTTATTTGATTTAATATGGGTATAAATGGAAAATTATACACACTTCGTTCTCCATTCTTACTAAAAAAAAACATGGAAAAAGAAATAAGGTGATATCTCCCGGTTACTTTCTCAACATTACCAAACATGAGAAAGGAATCTTCCATTTTCCATGTGACACCCCGACCCAATTTTAGCCATATATTTAATATATTTAATTATGAAATTACAATTTTGCCCCTGGGGTTTAATCCGGTAGGATTTTGGGAATTGAATGACACTATTGCATAGAGCTCGTCAATATGAGTTCGTAGACATGTAGTGCGCTCACATTAGAGTTTTGACGAAGAAGTTATGGTCAATAGAAGTGCAGTGGCACAATTGCAAATATTTCAAAGTCAGATTTTAAAAACCAGTAAGCCCTTCTCTCTCTCTCTCTCTCTCTCTCTCTCTCTCTCTCCTCTCTCTCTCTCTCTCTCTCTCTCCTCTCTCTCTCTCTCTCTCTCTCCTCATGACAAAATAGCGTCGGTTCTTTGACCGGCGATAACTCTCTCCTTTGGCCGCCGTTGGCCACGAAACCACCTCCATTAGAACCGGCCCGGCCCCCTCTTCTTGTTCCTCCTCTTCTCCGACGAGCTCAACTCTCCTGCACCGGTAGTAGCTCGAAAACTGCTCGATTTTTCTTTGAACTTTCTTGCATCATTTCAGATGACTCTGGCGACGGAATTTGTCGATCCAAGTATGTTTATTCACCTATTCAACATGATCTAGCTGATGGTTGGGTTGGTTAGGATAGATTTTGAAGTTTTGAAGCTCAATTCAGGATCTAAGTTTTGATCGATTTTTGGCTTGATTTTTCGGCAAGCTCTGGCCACTTTTTGGCCATGGCCCAAGAACAAAAGTTGCTCCCGTATTTGTCTTGATCATGTAGGTGTAGGTATTGTCAGGTGTTTTGAGAATTTTCCCATTGCCGAAATTTTCTCAAGACACCCACACATGTCGGTAGCCTGTGTGGCTGCACGCGGGCCATGGGGTGGTGGCCCATTGTGTTCTAAAATGTTCCCAATGTCGTCCTGAGTACGACAATATGCTCGGATTTGAATTTGGTTATCGTTTGACGGTTGAAAGAATTTACGCATATTAGGCGATATCCTGGTTCGATATGTTCGGACCGTTGGATTAGCCTCATTTCCAAGTATGTTGTTCTTTGTACCTTTAGAATCGTGTAGGAACTCACGGATTGAGGATCAGAGTCCTGGATACTCCGAATCAATGATTCAAAGTTTACGTAAAATGGTGACCGTCTGACTATGCGATCGAGAATGATCCGACCGTGATCGAAACCAAACTTCCAGAACGTGTTTAGTAGACTTGATTGAACTCATAGGAACTTTCAGATCGAAAATCTGAGGTCGTGGGCTCGCGGGTTTGGTTACCAAAATTTGGGAAGTTTGACCACTTGGTTGACCAAGAGTCTTCCGAGGTTATTTCACCTTTCAAAATGTGTAGTTGGATCTTAGAAACTCCCCGTTCGTCGTACACACACTTTGAATCCCAGGAAAACTAGGAGTTTGTTTCAAAGTTCTTGTTTGAAGTGACTTAATTTAATCTAGCCCTCATGTTCTTCAATAGGTACTTATGATCAGCGTGCTCAGCAAGCAGGACCTTCTCAAGGTCACGCAGCTTCGGGCTTTCTGTGAGTGAACTTTGTTTTTAAATAAGCATTATTTTCAAAAGTGGAAAGCTATGCATATAGATATTTATATTGGGATAATTTGATTGTTGAAACTCTAATATTGTTTTAATTTTTCTTTATAGTATTTTATGGAATCATTGGTATGTTTTTGGATACTTGAAGGTCGTGGTTATTTTGGGTTGACTTATTGCTATCTTGAGAACTATTAGCTATGTTTTGAATATGGATATTTTGGGATTTGTATTTTCGACACAAGTGATGTCCGGTTTGTCTAGGAATATGTGTTGGGTACATGGGATTGTTGGAAAGAGATTATGGAATGGGATTTGGGTTGTGGTTTATGTTAGTCTGGAGTGCTTTTAGCACTACCCTATTGTTTGGGCCTAAATTCTGCGAGCCCAGCCTATTTATACAGCCCACAATCATGAGCACAACTTGAGCTTGATGTTTAAAAGAAGTTGAAGAGCAGCCCAAAATAAAGAAAGCCATTCTAATTTCTCGAAATTCTGCGAGCCCAGCCCAGAATTTGTTAGCCCATGATAATGAACAGTCTTGGGCTTTGAAGAAAAGGAAAGCATCCCAAAATTGGAGAAGCCTATGCCATTTTGGCAGCCACCAGAATTTACCTTGAGTTTGGGCCAATTCTTTACACGACCGGCCCATTTTTGTCAAAAAGGCCCATGAACAAAACATTTGGCCTTTTTATCTACAGGAATTAAAAAAAAACACAGCTCTTTAAACTTCTACAAAAATTCACACCATTTGATCTCTACCCCAAAAGGCAAGTCAGTATATCTTTTCTCAAAAGAGCCCCCACATGCTCAGAACCAAATGTTGTCATTCATGGATGGCAATGCAGGACACAATCAGATAATGGTGGCAGAAGAAGACATCCACAAGATAGCCTTCATGTGTCTAGGGCATATAGGCGCTTTTGAATACATTGTAAGGCCTTTTGGCTTAAGAAATGCAGGAGCCACTTATCAAAGAGCTCTGAATTCTGTTTTCCATGACATGATAGGCCATTCTCTAGAAGTTTATATAGATGATGTGGTGATCAAGTCTCCAGAAAAAGGAGACCATGTATCCAATTTATAGAAAGCATTCCTAAGAAGGAGACATCACAAGTTGAAAATGAATCCCAAGAAATGCGTTTTTGGAGTTCAAGCTGGCAATTTCTTAGGTTTCCTGGTCCATCAAAGAGGAATATAGATCGACAAAAACAAAGCAAAGTCTATCATGGAAGCCTTGCCACCTCGGAACAAGAAAGAATTACAAAGCCTCATAGGAAAGATCAACTTTCTTAGAAGATTCATATCCAATTCTGCATGAAAAATTCAACCCTTCTCCTCCTTGTTGAGATTAAAGCAAGAATAGGCATTCAAATGGGAGGAACAACACCAGTAGGTTTTTGAGGAAATCAAGCACTACCTTTCAAATCCGCCAGTTCTGTCCCCACCAAAAAGAGGCAGACCACTCAAATTATATGTTTTTGCATTAGAAATATCCATTGGGAGTCTGTTAGTTCAAGATAACAAGGAAAGGAAGGAACATGCAGTCTATCACCTAAGCAGAACTCTGACAGAGGTAGAGAGGAAATATTCTGTGATTGAAAGGCTTTGTTTGGCCTTATACTTTACAGCTGTAAAGCTTAGACATTACATGCTGCCTTTTACTATCTACATCATTGCCAAAACAGATCTGATCAAATACATGCTGACAAGACCAATGTTGAGAGGGAGAATTGGTAAATGGACTCTGGCCTTATCAGAATTGATTTTAGATATGTGTCTCAGAAGTCCATCAAGGGACAGGCTATTGTAGATTTTTTTGGCAAATTATCCAGGGGAAGAAATTGAGAATATGGATTCCATGTATATAGCCAATGCAGACCTGCTAACCAGAGCTCACCCTTGTCTTAATAATCCAATTTATTCAGTCCATCTCACCCCCTGGAAGCTATATTTTGATGGGTCTAAAATAAACTTAGCCTCTGGAGTAGGGATTGTTTTAGAAGATCCACTAGGAATCAAACATTGTTATTCATTCTAGCTAGATTTCCAGTGCACCAATAACAAGGCATAATACGAAGCTTAATCATAGGACTAGAAATGCTGGTGGAACTAGGAATCCAATCTGTCGAAATTCTGGGAGATTCCATGCTTGTACTAAAACAGATTGCTAGAGAATACAAATGTTTGAGCCCCTCTTTAGCTGTCTATCTAGTAGCAGCCAGAAATCTCTTGGCAGAATTCAAGGAAGCAACTTGGGAACATATTCCAAGAGAAAAAAACTTTGCAGCTAATGAGATGTCCCAGATAGCAACATGAGTATGCTTGAAGACTGCGTACAGAGAATCATCAAGGTAGGAAAGAAAAGCCTACCATTTGTTCTGACCAGAGGAATGGAGTTGCCATAATGACTGAAGAAGATTGGAGATTTCCAGTGACCGAAAAAGCAAAGATTGAGTTACTTTTGAGATGCTTAGGAAAAGAAGAATACATGAAAATCATGGGAGAAGTCCATGAAGGAATATATGGAGCACATCAAGGTGGAAGAAAAATGTGTTGATTGATTAGAAGGTATAGTTACTTCTGGCCTACCATGATGAAGGACTACATTGAATGTTCCAAAAGGTGAGAGGCTTGTCAAAGACATGGTCCAATTCAGCAGGCTTGTCAAAGACATGGTCCACTATTTTATCATAATGGCTATTGATTATTTCACCAAATGGGTAGAAGCCAAGCCAGTCAAATCCACCACATCTGAAGAGATCATTACCTTCATAGAAGAGCAGATTGTGCACAAATATGGCATATCAGAATCAATCACCACTGACATAGGAAATTCCTTCATATTTAGAGAGATGCTAGATATGGCAGAAGAGCTCAAAATCAAGTTACTCCAATCCACTCCCTACTATACCCAGGCAAATGGACAGGCAGAATCAAGCAACAAAGTAATTATCAATATCATCAAGAAAATGCTTGAAGAAAATCCAAGGCAGTGGCATGAAAAGTTGTTAAACACCTTATGGGCTTACAGGACTTCAAAAAGAGAAGCAACTGGCATGACTCCTATTTTTTAACTTATGGACATGATGCAATTCTGCCCATGAAAATCGCAGTTCAGTCTATTAGAATTGCCCAACAACATAATTTGGTTGGGGAAGACTATTCACAAGCAATGTTGCTAGAATTAGAAGGGTTGGATACCAGTAGAATTGATACTCTCAACAAACTCTTAGCAGGGAAGCAGGCTATGGCAAGAGCCTATAACAAGAGAGTTAGAAACAAGAGTTTTGAAGAAGGAGAAATCATCTAGAAAACAGTTCTGCCCCTTGGAACACACGTGGCTGGTTATGGAAAATGGTCACCCACATGGGAAGGTCTTTTCATAATTTAGCAAGTCCTTGGATATGGAGACATCCATGCTACACCAATCAATGGCAAATGGTTGAAGAAGTTCTATCCAACTATGTGAGATTCACAGGCAGTACAAACAGATCCTGGAATTTAGTGTGTGTTTTATTTCTGCCCTCGTTTGTTTCATCTAGTTAGAAGAAAATGAAAATACAAAGTTCCACAAAAATAATCAGGATTTTTATTTAAATAGTCATTCATGATGACCAAGTTTTTATTACATTTTTGAAGAATTTCAAAGTCCTAATTTTCTTAGGGTCACTTGCAATCTAGTCTTTTTGGTAGAAATTTCTTTCTGGAGAAGCACTCCCTAGTGGATAGAAGCCTCTACAATATCTAATGCTGGCCTAGAAGTTGAGATCATGTTCTGCACAAGGAAGGTTGCCTTGGTCTTGGTGCCCAGTCTAGCCCCAAGCTTCAGCTGCCTCTCTCTTAACCCAGCCAGCTGCTTCTGGAGTTCCTCGATATGTTTTTCTAGCTCGTCGACAATGGACTTGGTCTCCTTGTAGTCAGCAACCAGAACATCCAAGTCTGCCTTATGTTTTTGATAATAAGCCAAGTTGGATTCATGGGTAGCCTTGCAGAATTCAGAGGCATTGAAGGAGGGCTTGAGATCTTCATAGCGGTTATGGAGGTTGAGCACATCTCTTGCCAGACCCAAGCTGATCTCAAGGATAGGCCTAGGAGCCATGTTCTCCTTATGCAGCAAAGGAGGCTATGGTTGAGGAGCTAGGGACAGAATGGGTAGGCATCTGCAAAGAAATAATTTCAGTTAGTTCCATGTTGAATTAGAGTAAGGGAAGGGCTAAGGCACAATGATGCTTACAGCCACAATAGGAGGTTTGAAGGGGTTGGTCACTACAGCCAGAGTCCCAACAGTTCTATCCTCTTCTACTTAGAAAAACAGGAACATCAATTAGAAGGATAAAAACAGACAGAATTGCTAAAACCAAACAGAGTAAAAAAAAGGACAGAAGTTACCTTAGGAACAGGGACAACAACGGAGTGTTCTGCCTCCACTTCAGGCTCTGGAACAGCAGCAGAATGTTCTGCCTCCATATCATCAATTAGAGCCAGTTCTGAACTAGTGGGTTTTGTCCTATGAGTTTCCTGTTGTTGCTTGGCCAACGTAATGCTCTATGCTATTATTTCAGCAAGGATCTCCTCCTGCAGATAGACAGAAGTCAAGATTAGAAGAAAAAACATATACAAAATGGATCATGTTAAGAAACTATAGACAGGATCTTACCTTTTCTTTCGACTTCTTTGCCTTTTTTCTTGTCTCCTGTTAAGGCATCTACTTCCTTCTCATGCTCTACAGCTTCAAAAGCCTTCCTCAGCTCTTCATCAATTCCAGAGGTTTCATTAGGAACTGTTGCAGGTTCTTCTATCTTATCAGATTCCGTCACGGGTCTCTTCCTAAGTCTTTTTGACCTAGTAGGAGGAGGAGGGGGACTTTCGGCTACAAAGAACAAAGATAGAGGATAAGAAAAAATGGACTAAACAGAACATAGTCAAGGAAAGTCACATTGTTAAGATTACCTTAGGTTTCAAGTTGGACAACACTGTCCTGAGCCTAGGCAGTTTCTTTTTTTGTTCCTTCTGGCAGAAGGAGTTGCCTCAACAGTTGGCTGTTCTGCCAGAGTTTCATGCTGATCTTCTTCATCCCCAAAGGGGAGCTCCAATCTCTAGCAGCAATGACAGAAGTGACTACACAGAAGAAGGAAGAGTTAGAAGGCAATCCAGCAGGAAAAAGGCAGAAGGACAGAATTCAAAAACTTACCAATCACTTCTCTAGCCTGAACAACTTGTCCCCGAAGATTCTTTGTCATAGAGGGATCTGATACAAATAGAACAAATTGTTAAGACATCATTACATGGACAGAATAAGATAAACACATGCAGAATAAAAGAAAAAAGAGGCAGAATCGAGAGTCTACCTTCAATCACTTGTGCATTGATGCCCTTGATCATCTGCACCATGAATTGCTTGGCTTCCACCAAGCATCAAACTCGACAGAACTGCAGGAATTGGGCTCCCAGGATGGATAGAGAGCATCCACGCTACTGTTAATCTTGTTCACCGAGCACCTGGAGTCATTGTGCACTTCCAGGTCATCTGAATCCCTCCAAAAAGTGGCTCAATTGCAGCTTTTGTATGACTTGAGTGGAATGAGCTGAGGGCAGCCAAGCTGCCTGGCATAGAAGTTAGGATGATATACTTCTGCACCCACGATAGTTGGGAGGCTTCCCACCTCCAAAAGGCAGGTCCAGGGCCAGTGTCACACTCAGGAACTTCTTCCTGAAGTCAGTTCTGGCTATTTCTTTTTCTGGTTCTTGCTCAAACAGCCTGTGTCCAGGCTGGAACCAAGGATGCATTCTTCTAATCACCACTTGCCAATGAGCAGCAGATCTCTTGTTGCAGTGCCTGAAGAACATTAGATACTCTTCAGTAGAACGCTTGGGCACTTCTGCCGACATCAAAGGAAGAGCTAGAACTTGGTCTTCAAGCAGAACGATGTCTGGAAACCTTAGTTCTGGGAAGTACACTTGCAGCCAGATCTGGATCATCCAGAATGCACCAGAAGTAGACAGGTTCAGGGGATTCTCTAGAGTAGTAGTGTGCAGATTCCTGTATAAGTGGGTCAGAACTATTGGACCAAGCCCCACATCAGTATGATTATGCAGAGCTTATGCCAGATGCCTGTACTCAAGCATAACTGGTGAAGAACGGTTTGGAAAGACAAATCTATTCAGCCAATATAGAAGGAACAACATGTGTTGTTGATCTCTATCTCTCTATGTGCTGAACTTTTTATAATTTGAGAATGAGCAGTTCTGGTTGATTGTGGCAGGCGAGACAGTGAAAGGCTTTGCCAATTTTTCCTGATTCTTCCTTCTGTGATAGTCACCAACAACATCAACAGGCCTTCCATGGGGCCTGAATCTAAAAATTTGAGCCATGTCCAGCAGAGTTGGAGACATTGTTGGCAGAATTCCAGAAGAATTGAGTCATGAATCCCAGCCTTTTGACCACTTTATTGCGATGTTCCTCACCTCACTTGAAGGAAACGAGAGGCTCAGGTTCTTACTAACCTAGGTATGAGAAGCCAATGGAGTAGAACTCTGGAAACAGAGAGGAGCTTCAACATCTTCTTTGAGCAGGACAACCATCTCTTTAGGAACAAGGCCAAACTAGTGAGGGCCCAGAACTAAGGTGTTTTCGAACAGATGGAGGACATTTTCATCCAGATTCTTTTGGGCAAAGGGATGGAGTTTGCTTCGAACCTTAATAGCTTGATTATCCACGCCTGTCCTAGTGATGTAGGCAGGAGGAATAGGAGAAGAAGAGCTCTGAGCACGGGTTTTTGGAGAAGACATATCTAGAATTCGAATTTTGGCAAAATGAATTAAAAATGGATAGAAAGGAATAGGGAAAGCTAGAGAATGATCGAGGAAAAAGAAATGGGAATTCTCAGAAATTGAAAGTTGAAACGGAGATTAGGTTTCGGATGAACAGGAACATGGGTTTTGAATTTCTTAAAAAGGGCTCGAAATCGTGGGAAGGAGAAGGCAAGGCGTCGTCTGATGTTAGCTAGCTAGTAATTGCACATTTTCCCACAAAGTCTAGTTCATTAGGCAGATGTGGCAGACGTGGGCTAGTTGCAACAGAAGGAAATGGCGCGCATCATTTAATGGCAAATCATCAAGTCTGAAACGTTTCAAAACGATTCAAACCTGGGAGGGCATTGTTTGGCCCTAAATTCTACGAGCCTAGCTTATTTATACATCCCACAATCATGAGCAGCTTGTTTAAAAAAAGCTGAAGAGCAGCCTCTCCGTGACTTTCTAACTTTAGAAAAGTCAAAATCTTCAACCATCTTAGAGGAGTTGATAGGGAGTTAATGAAGACAGTTGTTACAGGAAGACTTCTCCATATTCGCAGCCAAAAGGAAGATCAAAATCCCGTTTTATATGCAAAGAAAATCTGCACCAAAAGCAGGTGGCATTTCCAAGAGATAAGCACACTACATTATTGAGAAATAAGTAGGAAGCAAGGGAGTTGTTCATCAGAAGAAGCAAACTGACCATCATGGCAGATTGCATTCTTCCAAAGGGCAGTTAGAGAATAAGAAGATAGTTGGTTTTCTTTTAGAAAAAGTAAGGAAAATACCTCCACGAAAGCTGATTGTTGATGATTCTTCTCTGCCCAAATAAATAACTTCCTTTTTATGGCATTTAAAAAGAAAGATATTTTGAAAGATCTGCTGCCCATTATTAAAAGATTGCAAACCCCACTCCAACATTTCCTATAAATATGAGAGGAGATGAATAGATCAAAGACACCCAAAAAATCAGTTAAGACAAAAACTCTCAAAGTCATAATTAACAAACTCAAAAAGATCCATTGATCTCAAAAGCCTTCAAACACTGAAGCAACCAAAGCTCATTGAGCCACAAGAAATAAGTCAGCTATAATTCAAATCTTTGGTTTTGGTTTAGTTCAGAGAAGTAGTTTTACAAAGCGAGATTTCTCTCGTTACAAATTTGGTTCAGCGCAAGGCCAAGAAAAGCAAAGTTTAGGTTCTCACAACATGAAAATCTCAATAAATTTATGGAAAGCACTGATCAAACAGAATATGTACTATAGTGTAGCTCCAGCTCAGTAATCGTTAGATCTAGCCACTTCTGCCTCTTTCAGACTGAAGAGGCTCTAATTCTGCCCGATCAAAAAGCCTTTCAGTGCTTGAAATAGATTAAAGCTCTGCCAAACTTGAACGTTGGTATCGATTTATAGCTGAAACTTGTCAGTTAAAGGTGTTAATGGTCCAATCCAGCACAGATACACCCAGTCTAGTTCGGATCAAAAGCAGCTATCCAGGCAGAAATTGAAGTCCAACGCTTTTTTTGTTTTTGTCTTTTTTGAAGTTGGTCTTTATGTTTCTAAGCTTTGTAATAGGCAGTTTTGCCTAAAACAGTTTACTTTCTTATCATTTATTCTGGCAAAAACTATCAGTTTTTGTAGTATGAAAAATTGTGAAAGTCCTCACCAGCCTGAGGCAGGAAAAGAACTTACTTGGGAGATATTCCTTACCCAAATTCACAATCTCTTGTTTAGAATCAGTAACTTAGGGCGCAAGTTATCTATTTTTAAAGTTTGCTAGAGTTTTTTTTTATTGCTAGCAATGACACGCTCATACACAAAAAGAGAGTTGACTTGTTGATCAGTCAATGGTTTTCGAGTCAATAGGGAACTTCACCTTACCTTCACAGGATCAAACCCAAAAACAGGTGAACACCTATGTACCTCCCTGACACTTGGATACTTGGATTGGATACTTGGTATTATTGGATACTTGGATATGTCGGAACCTGGGCACCTTTGACGGGGCGTTTCGTAGACCCTTAGCAGGGTAGTTTGCACATGTAGGACTTGTTATAGGCGCACGAGTATTGAGGATTCTGCTGTGCTTGCTGGTTAGTCCAGTCCCCCAGTTGGATGCTCGTTTCCTAGCCATGTGATCAATTAAGAATTCTTCCATGTGATCTAATCAAACAATCCCCTGATTGGATTGTTTCCCAGGTACAAGTTTGGTAGTGGTCATACCTATATATATACTATATATGTATATACATATACCTTTATTCTTATTTATTGGTGAGGATCCTTCCTCTCTCACAGTGCCAACTGGCAAGCGTTCTGGGGGAGAGTGGTTTAGGAAAAAAGGAAAAGTTTTGAGTGGGTTTGGGTATTAGTATACTATTACGGGATATGGATTTCACTTTGGTTTTATATATCGGTTTTGAATGCATGTTTTGCGGGGTGCAAAACAGAAAACTTGTGAGTGGACAAAAACAAAGTTTTATCATACTTGAAAACAACATACTAACCCCACCATTTGGAAAACCGATATATATATCATTATTCCGAGTTGTAACGAAGGAGGAAAAGTTTGAAAACGAAAAGGGCGCAAAGATAATTTTAAAATTTGTTACTGTAGCAAACAGTACTGCTAATGTATCGTGTTGTGCGAACTAGGAGGGGGGAGAAGAAGAAAAGAAGAAAATAAAAATTAAATAAAAATTAAACATTATGTATGTAACAAAACCCTTTGTCAATCTTTTATCCTTTTGTAAGGAAAGTCCAAAAAACCTATTATTTTATGATGAGTTTTATGGGAAAAAAAATAGATTCTTAAAGGGTTTTGATCACAAAACATTTCTGAGGTTTACAAAATTATCAAGTTGTGTCCATTATGTTTCTTTGTGTCATTAGTGGTCCCTAAGGTTAGCATCCATGCTCACAAATAGTCCATACCGTTAGGTTTCATCAAGAATTTCATTAGTTTCCTCATGTGTTACATAAGTTGTAGGGTTTTCTTTTAGTTTTTAAATTTTAATTGAATTTAAAATTTAAAATATACAATTTTTAAAGTATATTTTCTTCTTATTTTTTCAATATTTTATTAGCGGATAAATATAGTAATTTTTATTTTATTACGTTGAAGTTTATTGAATTTTAGCATTCAATACATCGTTTATTTCGTCTCAGTCACATACATAATGTTTATTTTCTTATCACCTTTATAACTCCGTTAGTTTGACCATCATTGTTTCCATTAAATAATGACGTGGCAATCAATGTTGCCACATTGACTCACCTATATTTTGTCATATGGACTAAAATAATGAAATATATTAATTAATTAATTAAAATTTTAATATATATACAAAAAAACTTATAAATAAAAATTTAAAAAAATAAGTAAGTAAATAAAAAAAAAAAAAAAAAAAAAAACTCTCGATCTCTGTTCACCCGTTTTGTGTTTGTTCCTGTGCTGGTAGAGTAAAATTCCCCATTGCCTTGAAAACCATTAATTAGTCAGCAAGTCAACTTTCTTTAGTGTGCGAGCATGCCACTGCTAGCAATAAACAAAAATCCTAGCAGACTTCTTTTCTTTGAAAATAGATAACTTGCGCCCCAAGTTACTGATTTCTAAACAATCAATTGTGAATTTGGGTGAGGAATATCTCCCAAGTAAGTTATTTTCCTGTCTCAAACTGGTGAGGACTTTATAATTTATCACAGTACAAAATTGGTAGTTCTGGCCAGAATAAATGATAATAAAGTGGACTTTTTAAGCAGAACTGACTTTTACAAAACTAGAAAAGGGGAAAATCGACTCTAGAAAGGCAAAAAGAAAGCTGGAATTCCATTTCTGTCGAGATAGAAGGTTCTGATCCGAGCTGGGCTGGGCGTGTCTGTGCTGAACTGAACTGTCCCTAACTTCAACTGCTAAGCTTCAGCTGTAAATCGATACCAACGGTTGAGTTTGGCAGAGCTTTAATCTATTTCGAGTACTGGAAGGCTTTTTGAATGGGCAGAATTACGGCCTCTTCAGTCTGAAGGGGGCATAAGTGGCCGGACTTGATGATTATTGAGCTGGAACTGCACTGTCGTACATGTTCTCCTTGGTCAGGGCTCTCCATAAATTTGTTGAGGTTTTCATATTTGTAAAACCCTGAACTCTGCTTGTTTTGGCTTTTGCTGAACCAAATTTGTAACGAGAGAAGTCTAAAACTGGATGTTTTGATTTGTGGCACACTTCCTTCTTGAGGCTCAATGAGCTTTTGGTTACTCTGGTTTGTTTGAAGATTCTCAGAGATCAAGTGATCATTTTGAGTTTTTGTCTTTGGTTGATTTTTGGTTGTTTGATTTTTTTGATTGATGATTGAGTGTCCTTTGCTCTGTTCACCCTCTCCTATATTTATGAGAAATGTTTTTGGAGTGGGGCTTCTTTCTTTTAATAATGGGCGGCAAAATTTCTCAAAAGATCTATCATTTTTAAATGTAAAGAAAGAGGGGGTTTTATCAATTCTGGTAGACAAGCCCCTAATAGTCAGTTCCTAAAGTCATCACTTCCCTATTTTTCTTGAAAGAAATCCTAACCCTTCTTCCAATTTAACTGCTCCCTGTAAGTGCTCAAACTGTGAGAGTTAGTTTGCTTTTATTTTTTATAGTTCGAACAGCTCCCTGTTTCTCACTTATCTCTTTTGAGATTGTAGCTTGCTTATCTCTTGGAAGGATCACCTTTTCTGAGGCAAAAAAAGGATCATGATCTTTTAGCTCAAGAGTTTCAAAGAAGTCTTTTTGCTAATGACCTGCTTTCATTTAATTCCCAATTAATTCTTTTGTGATAGTTGAAATTGTTGACTTTTCTAAGTTAGGTAGTCACTTGGTTATGAAAATAGGCTTTCCAAAAAGATCTTTGTTGACTTTGCATTCTGGGTTTTGAGATCTGTGGTGAGCCAGAAACTGGGCCCAATCCAATTTTTCTTTTGATCTTTTATTAATCTGCTTCGGTGGTTGTTTTTAATCTTGACGTTTTTACAACTCTGCCTTTTTTTGTAAAAGACATGGGCCTTCTGATTTGGTTTTGGGCTTCCTCTATTCTTTGAATCAAAGCCCAGTCCTCCGTCTTTTTTGTTTCGTGGGCCTTTGTGAGAAGTGGGCTGGCGTGCGATTTCTTTTGGCCCAAACAATCTCTCTCTCTCTCTCTCTCTCTTCCAAGTCGTTGTTCAGCCTAGGGATTATCATTTGGCCCTCGGCCCATGAGCTGAAGTGGGTAGCTCGAGACCCGAGAGGCCAAAGCTCGGCCCGATCCGATGATTAGGGTCGCTTGACCAAGCTTGCTCTAAGGTTGGGTAGGGTTTGGGCTTAGGATTTGAAACCCTCGGCTTGCCCATGGTTCGACTAGACTAGGGCCGTCCATAATTGGCCCGGCCCGACCCGACCTAAGCTCGCCCAAGGTCTAACTGTCTATGGCATTCTTTTTGTAAGATTTAATTGATGTACTCCATAACCTGATTTTATACTTAATCAAAATAATGTAATATGTATGAAAAACTAATAAACTTTTATTTTTTATTTTTACACATGTTATAAATTGTGTTGATTTTTTCAATGTTGTCTAAAAGTTTTATAATAAAAGCTTTGCAACAGACAAGCAATGTATACATTTTCGGATCCATGAATATTTTAGCGGAGTTGTAATTTTGAAAGGCTAAAAGCTTTATAATAAAATTGACAATAATTGTTGGTTAATTGTAATGCAATTTTTTTCTCTGACTTATGAATGACATTGGTATTGTTTAAATTGCATGCAAGGTGGCATGACAATGATGATTTGATTAAAACCAATTCTGCGGGAAAAGAAAAAAAGCAGCATGATTCGGGCAGCGGTGAGCATGAGACTAAGAAGAAACCCAGTAAAAATGATGAGGATAAGTTCGTGAAATTATATAAGCAAGAAATTAAACACGTACTCATGTAAACACAAAAGGGGTTTGTGAAAGAATGATTTAATTACCAACGAAATTAAAAGACAAAGCAAGTAGAAAGTCACGAAACACAAGGATGACAAATTCAAATTGATAGAAGCACTAGAATAATGAATTCACCACTAGTAATCCGATCTAGCCTCATATTCACCTACCTATTAACTAACCATTTGATGTCACTGCTTAGTTTTCCTTTTTCAGGAAATTACCTATGGTATTTAGGTTAAGTCGTATATTCCTACGTGCAATTCGCCTATGGTATTTAGATCAAATATCAACACATAGAAACTCATTAAGATCAGTGAAAACCTCGAACAAGCATGTAAACCCTGGGAGTATGGTATTTACCCTAGACGAATTACAAATCCTAATCACAAGAAGCAAGCCTCAAATTAAGTATGGTATTTATTCTAATTTGCATCCGATTAACTCAATTAAAAGTCTAGATGGTGATCAAGCATCAAGATAATTAACCAAGTTATTTAGCACAATGATTAAGAACCCAACATCAAATGGCAATTAATAGATAGGTAAAATAAGAAACTAAATTTTCATACTAGGGCTACATCATGCCCTAGCAAAAGAAAATTAGTTACATATGATCATAGAATTTGACATAAACAAAAACATAAGGAAGAAACAATAAAACTTAGCCAATTGCGGTACTCTTCCGGTGTCTCCAATTTCTCATAATCTTTTTGTGTCTCCCCTTCAAAGGAGTTGGTTCTCATGCTTAAATAAAACACCACACGTCTATTCCTATAGCAGCCCAAAAATAAAGAAAAACGTAATTAAAACATAAATCCAAAATGGGTAAGTAATTGACTCCTTTTCCTACTTTGACTGGGATAACACGTCAGTTACTTTGCACGCACATTTGGGGTTGTTCCTCCTCCAAGAAAATTTGGCAAAAATATGTAAATTGCAGGTCTTTGTCTTATCTTTCAAGAAAGTCTTCAAATAGTCTGTCTTCCACAGTTTTTACGGGATTGCACCATATGCTGTACTTTAAAGGCTGCTCTCATTGACTGCTCCAAAAATTCTAGAAAAATTCCACAATCATCTTCAAGATCTTAGCTTTCATCTGGTCTCGTATCAAAACTCCACTAACAAGTCGTATTTTCGTTGAAAACAAATTACTTGCCCTGGAAAGCTGAAAATTGAGAAAATAAAGTAATAAGTCCTTTTTAAATAAAATTCTCCTAAAAACTAAGTATAAAGAGTACATAAATGTGTAAATTTATGGACTTATCATTGTGATATCATTGGTCAAAGGTAGATGACTCACATTATTCCCTTACTTTGCTATCTTAGCTTTTGACGGTGGTGTTGTGATATCATTGGCCAAAGGGGGATGAGTCACATTATGCCCTTACTTTTCTATTTTATCTTTTGGTGGTTTAAAACACTGTATATATAAATATTATTTTGGTTGCATCTGTAGCCTCTCCTATAATTAAGTATCATGCTTCCTTACTTTAATAATTCATTCCAATCATTTAAGATAGATTTCTTCCATGAAGTAGTATTTTAGAAAGAGAGAGAGAGAGAGAGAGAGAGATAAGGAAGAAAAAGAAACAAGATGAAGAGCGTGTGTGTTTGTCTTGCAATATTTTATACTTATCATGGTGAGTGGGTCATGTAGTGTGTTCTAAAAGTTCTTATTTTGTGATAAATGTGAAAATAATGGATTATCATGGATTTATTCTATTTACAATCTCTCTCTATTTTCAAGTCAAGTATGTCTAATTTGTGCAAGATTTCACACAATATATATTATTTGGAGTTTTTGTGAAGTATGTATTATTCATGGAACATGAGAACTTTAGTGACAGGGTATCCAAAGGATAAATGTACTAGACGAGGACATAGGGCAGTGAGGCCGATAGGGGTCACGTACTAGGTACAATTTGTGAAGGATAACTAAGATATGAAGTAATGATGTGATATGATTTGGATTGTGTATCTTTTTATTATATTTTTCAAGAGTATGTAAAATGACATTGTTTGATTGGCATATTACATAAAATACTCACTAAGCGGTGGTTTGCTCATCCCTCACCTATTTTTTTAAGATCAATTAGTGGACGAGACAAAGCCGAAACCAGAGAAGTTGGATTAGTTTAGAGTGATAAACTTTTATTTATATCTTGTAAGCTTGTAAGATTATTATAATATATATATATATAATGGTAATGTATTTTAACCCATTTTTCAGTCTTTTTATTTATTTCTTTCAGTTCACACACCCTGATTATGAAATATAATTTATTTCCGGATTGGGGAATGACATTTTCCTTTTTATTATTATTATTTTTTTATAATAATAAAAAGTCCTTGTTTTAAAAAAAAATGAATAGAAAGTCTTATTGTTAAAATCCCTACAGTTTAAGCCTTTTATCCTTTTTTTTGCATGCCTTAGATAGAATGATGTTAGAGCCCATGAATCGGTAGTCTAGGTTTCCTCTTTATTATTATTTTTATTTTTTTTTAAAAGCTTGGTCCAAAACGATGTTGTTTTGGCCAGGATTTTTATTTATTTAAAAAAAGATCTAACAAAACAGTAACAAACTTCGTTTAGCCTTTTCGTCGAACACCTAGAGTGCCCCACCTAGTCTAAGCAGAGGGGCAATATACAGCACCTACAATGTGTACACTATATATACACTATATCTTTTAGTGCCCCATTTTTGTCAAGTTCAAATTGAATGGTTCAATAAAGAATTTGAAAGCTTAGTTTGGTCTTATTAATTCTAATGTGACAAAATGCTTTAATTTTCATGATGTCAATCCTAGTTTAAGATAAAAGTAATACATTTTCATAAGATTCATTTTTAGCTATAATATTTTTATATATAAATATATTGGCTATTGGTCTAGGTTTAGTAAAAGAATTTGGTTATTATATTTTTGTTTTCTTAAGTTATGCAGTAATCTATACTATTGTTTAAGAGAAAACTCTTTATCCATTCACAAAAAATGAAAAAAAAACAAACAAGAGTGTAACAAAAAGATTTAAAAGATTCAGAAAAAAAATAATTATTTTTTTAAAAAAGCCCAACCTGTTTAGGCCCATGACAAACTGGCCCTACGGGCGGTCCCCAGCCAAGCCCTTTGAAACCTTGGCATGCATGGCCTGGAAAATTTAAAAAGCTCCAAAGGTTCGGCTTGAACCCAAATATTTCGGGTCTGCCCAGCCCAATGAGGAACCTTAGTTCAACTTGTTCCCCTCTTCACATCCCTATCCTCATTTCTTCAATGACCATGAAAAATAATAATAATAAAAAGAGAAAAAAAACCTGCAAGTCACCCTCCCCCTTCGTCTCTCCCTCCTTCCTCTTCCACCTTCCACTCCCATTCCCCCTATGATCTCTCTCTCCCCAACACTCTCTCGTATTTATTTCTCTCTGCACTCTGTCTATTCATGGTGGAAAAGAAAAATCAAAATCAAAACCACTCCACTGCAGCTTGAATCGGCGGAGTGTGGTGGTTAATCGAAGCATGGGTGGAGAGGGAAGTATAAGGTTGGCTGAGGGGAACAGAACCTGACCAAAATCATGGCTAGTGGTGGCCTGCCAGGAGTGATGTCTCGAAAAAAATGACGAGGAAAGGGGTGACAAGAGAGAGGGAAACGAGGGGAGGTACGTTGGGGAGAGGAGGAGGGGGAGAAAGTGTTTTTTTATATATTAGTTTTTATGTATTGAACAATGTAAATAATTAATTAGTCCACGTGGCAAGAATATAGGTGACTCCATGTGGCAACATTATTTAACGGAAATGATGACGGTCAAACTAACAGAGATATGAAAGTGATATGAAAGTAAATATTATGTATGCGACTAAAATGAAAAAAACTTGATGTATGGAAGGCTGAAACTCGATAAACTTCAACATAGTAAAATGAAAATTATCCGAACAAATAAGAAAACAAATAGTAGAAAAACATGAATAGAGACATAATCAAAGTTTTGAAAGTAAAGGTTTTAATGTTGGAAATTAAATTGAGAATAGACAAAATTTGGCATTGAGGCACGTTACTACGTTTTCCTTAAAGTGATATTTGCTTCGACTCAATAGAGTTTGCTAATGGATTGCAAACAAATCACTTCCAAGATACAACAAAGATTGGAATTATAGAGTTTAGCAAAAACTAAAATTCCCTTAGAGTTTCTACAAGGAAATTGTATGATATATTGAGAAGAAGAGTTAGAGAGAAATTGACTTATGCTGTGTTTAGATGTCCCACGTTGTGGGGTTTTTTTTTATAGATTCTAATGAGAGTCAAAAGTACCGATTTGATTTTGGTGAAAAGGTGCCAAAACACTCTTTCGGTGGATAGATGCATCTTATTGAATATAACTGTCAATACCCAATGTTCACAACTGTTGGAATACTTTTCAAAGAATAACTTTGTTTCCCAATGCACCTATCGACTCATCACTAATATATGCAATTTGTCATATAGCTATTCACACACACACACACACACACACACACATATATATATATTTTGAAATATCTAACAATTCCTTCCAATTTCAAAATATATAATTATATAAACTAGAAATACCATTCAAACCAATTATAAACATATATTACAGTACCAAAAATTTTCATCCAAATTGTAATATACTTTAGGCTTATTTGTTCATATACCTACTGTGGTTTGCAAAGCGTCTCAGATTGCCCCTGGACTTTTGTAATGGCTCAAATTACTCCCTTAACTCCCATTCCATTACTAAGGTTGCCCCATACCGTGAATTTTCAACGAAAAATCGTTATCTTAGCTGATGCGGCAGGGGTACTCGAGTAATTTCATAAAAGTGGCAAATATTGATCAGAAATTGGCATCCAACTTGGCTATTGGTGGGACCCATGAGAGAGTATGTTATACTGAGCTAGGGTTTCGAAAATTTCAAACCATTCGAGCTCGCCAAATTTCCCCTAATTGTTTCCAAAATCACAACCCTAGGCTCTTCCTGCAACAAAACAACTGATCCCCAAAATTGGCATCGTCGTTGCTTGAAATTGGGGTCTCCTTGCTGGCAATTGGGGGCGTTTTGGAGAATCTGTGTTTTGGTTTAATTGAACATTTTGAAAAAGATATGGAAGTGAGAAAAGCAAGGCAGGCAAGGCAGGCTTCACGATGTTACTGTGGAAAGGTGGCAAGACTTCTTGGACCGATTCAAACCCAGGAAGACTATTTCAAGTTTGTCCACTCTAATAGGTAAGGTTCTTGGATCGATTCAAATCTAGGTTTGTTGTTAATGGGTTGAAACAACGAATTTTTTGTGTTGGGTTGATGCAGGGAAGAGTTAACAAAGGATGTGGTTTTTGGGAGTGGGTTGATGATGAAATGTATGATAGTTCCAAGATGGTGATACTTTTCTGAGGAAAATTGATAGGTTGGAAGAGGAGAATGCAAAGATTCAACTGAAATCAAGAATATTGGTTATTGCTCTTGTGCTATCATGGTTGATTACACGTGTTGTTATCATGGAATGAGGATGATTAGAAATTGAGAGGAGAATATGGATGTGTTAATGGATGTAATATGGTTGTGTTTATGGATGTTAAGAGGTGTTGTAATGTGTTAATGGATGTAATATGGTTGTATTTTGCAATGTAATATGTGTTGTAATATGTTAACTGTGTTTTGGTATGACATGGGTATTAAGTTCACAAGTTTGAAGCATTTTTTTTATTTTATATATATATATATATATATATATATAAAGTATAAAGTCTTAAGGATTACATAAACCATATGCAGGATTACACAAAAGAGGCAACAGAAAAGTGGCAATATAAAAGTTTTATGTGTAAAGTATAAAGTCTCTAATTCAAATATAACACAAAAGAGGCAACATAAAAGTTTTCATTTGCATTTCAATTCAAAAGTTGAAAAGCATCAACCATCTGTAGGATTTCACCTCATGATCTATCCAAAATATGTCCAAAATCACCGCATATCTATCCAAAATATGTCCAAAAAACTAGAGTTGAATTGTGAATCTTTACATTGCCAATAAACTTGCAACCCAAACCTGCCTAGAGTAAAATAACAAAAAAAGCAACCCCCAAGTTCATAACAAAATAAGCAACCCAATCATGTCCTAATTCAACTCCCATTCTTCATCATGGGTGAAAAAATGGGTTCTTCACAAAGTGCTTCCTTTGTAAAGATGGTTGTGAGATTTGGTACAGTGGATGCACTTATTGAAGCTTCACTTTGTTGTGTGGGAACCAAGCATTGGGAGCTATCTCCTTGCTTCTTTCTCTGCCTAGTTTGATATCCTCCTGGATTTGGTATACTAGGTGCACTTGTTGAAGCTTTAGTTTGTTGTGAGGGAACCAAGCCTTAGGTACCATCTCCTTACTTCTTTTTCCTAAACTGCCTTGTATGTTGGCCATTATGTTCATCTATATGTCATTCATTCTCACCTGGAAAAAAGAATTTCTAACCATAGGTCAAATTGAAAAGTCTAAAAATAAGAACCTTAACTATAGGTCAACATAAGAGCTTACAGGAAGATTTGTTTTTGCTTATTTCTTCTTGGGAGGCTTTAAGAAAGGGTTTTTAGATTCTCGAGACTGGTAAAAATTGAGTAAATACAATTGAGGAGCTTTCAATTTAAAAAAAAAAAAAAAAAAAAATAATTTGCAGCACAGTAAGAAAAACCCTTCATCATACCTTACAACCTCTTCGATTATGTCCTTCTCCCCTACAATTGCCACATTTTAGTGGAATTCCATACTTTGGCAGCTAGAATGGATTCTTTGGCTTCTTAGGTTCATTAGCAACTTTATTCCTTGCCTTCTTAGGTCTACTAGGCTGCTTGTGGTATTTGGGAGGCTTCAATGGAGGTAGCCCAGTCTTCACCTATTGATCTTAGCGCAGCATTGGCATAACCATAGGTTAATAGACTTTCATGATAGTTTCTTTCTTGTACCAATCAGTCATGTAGTCCTCAGGGGCTCCATGATACCTACTAATGATAGCACAAGCATGTTCACAGGGTAGCTTAGTCAAATCCCAATCTCTACATGAACAAGAGTGGGCATTCAAATCAACAACAAGTGTCCTCCCACTTTAGTCCATAACCTGGAATTTGTTGATTCCAGCAACCCTGGGAATGTACCACTAACCATTTCCTTTGCTTTTTTCTAAAATACCTCTAATCCTTTGCCCTATCTGTTCATGCCACTTGTCACATGTAACCCTTCTTATAGCCATCGATAGCATAATGTACAACCTAATTCTCTTTAACATAGCCAAAATTGGCTTGTCTCTTACATTAAATATTTACAAATTTATAAATAAACCCAATCCTAGACATGTATTTATAAAAAAACCCAAGCACTATTTAAACATAGAAACACACCCAAAATCAACCCCAAAGTCAACTTTTTGGGTGTGTTTATAAATGGGTTTTGAGTGTGTGTAATGATGGGTTTTGGGTGTGTTTATATGTTTAAATAGTGCTTGGGTTTTTTATAATTTCAACCCCCATTTTGGGTGTTTTAGTGAAACTCCCTTAAATATTCTTCTGTTGAAAGCCTTACATAAGTTATTCATAAGAATGTCACACTTGGAAGAGGTCTTGAAATGTGCCATACTTCAATTCCTAGGATCTTTTTTTGCTAGCCAATTATGGGCAGCTTCAGACGTATTCAACATCTTATTCATCTCTTCATTAAACCAAGGCACTGTTGTGGTCCTTGTAATGGATTCCATTTGCTTCTTCAATGCAAGGACTTTATGCTCCATCATAAAGTTTGCAGGAAAATGCTTTAAGCAGTGCCTATGCTCAGCATTGGGGAATAAAGCATGTATAACATTAGTGAGACCTTTTTGCTTGTCAGACATGAAGACATAACCATTACTGTTGGCAATATTCAAATCAGCAACCATAATTTCCAAAAACCACATCTAAGTACTAAAACTCTCAACTTCAGCAACAACATATGCAATTAGATACATTCCGTTATTTGCATCAATTGCAAACAACAATTTCTTTAGATGAGGCCCCTTTATATGGCAACGCCTGCAACCTTCCAGAAAGCATTTTTTGCATGCACTAAGACATATGTACAACCTCTGAAACTGAGGTCTATTACCATCTAATTCAGACTTAATGAGCATAGTGCTTCCAACACTTCTATTCCTTAACTCATTATAGTAATCCCACAAAGATTCATACTGTTCCGTGTAATTCCCTATACAATATCTACTACTAAAGCCCTTGCTCAATACATTGTTGCTTTGGAAGGGGTGTAACCATAATCCAAGTGCACTTTCTCTAGAAATGATGATGCAGTCCAGTTTGGATTCATCCTTAATTGCGCAACATACCTTTCCGCTAACCACTTAGCAGTCACATGTATATTCTTACTACCCTGACTACATGCATGTTCAAATCTACATGTTTTCATTGGCAAGTATGTGCTTCCATTTACCTTGGATGTATACACAACAAATGGACATGGACTTTCACACACATCCCTTATTTTGTCTGAATCATTATTCCTAAATTTCAACTCTCTTTCCTAATTGACGGAATGTCTCCTCATAGCTTTTTGAAATAATGCAGTAGTAGGAAACCTTAACCCAAGTGTGAATATTGGGTTCTTCATGTCAATTTCATGCCTAAAATCCAAACTCTTTGGCATTCTTTTCATCTTCCTTCTTGCTTCATCTTCATCTAAAGATGTATTTGGGCATGTAAGTGCCTCCAGTGACATCTCCGTCATTATCTTCCTCAGCATTTGGATCCATATCAACAGTGATATCATCAACATAACCATCAAACCAGATATCATCCTTTGTATAATCAACAGTGTTTGCTTCCTCATCTTCAGACTATGCATAATCATTTTGCACAAAGTTAGCTTCTTCATCTTCAGACTATGCATAATCATTTTGCATAAAGTCTAGATCAGTTGCATACTTATCCTCAAAACTAGAACTCTTACCAACCTCTTGCACATTCACATCATCTTGCTCATGCACATCATCTTGCTCTTGCACATGCACATCATCTTGCTCTTGCACATGCACATCACCAAGCTCTTGAACATGCACATCACCAAGCTTTTGCAATTGTTCCTCTAATTATGTCACTTCATTTGAAGTTTTTCAGCCTCATGATTCAAATATAACACAATAACCCTCTTATTTCTCTTAGGAACTGTACGCATAATCCCTAACAGGCTATCATCGCATCCTATGTGAACAACTTTCCTAATCTGTGCAACAATATCATAGAATTCCGCACTGTCTTTATATCCAAAATCCTTAGCTATCGCCCATATCTCTAACATTGACATGTAATTAGCCTCACAATAATCAAACCAACTTATAGAACCACCTAAGTAAAACCATTGACTTTCACTTGACCCTTTCTACACAAGCTTACCTCCATGGAACATCTTAAATGTGATCAGATCATCACCATCTTCATCTGTCAATTTAAGCACAGAAAATTTCCCATTAATAACTAGTCAATGCACTTCCTGTGCTATTCAATTAAATATAGATAAATTCATAGCCTAATTCATCCCCCAAAAACCATGACTATTTAACCCATACACTGACAAACTCATATAACAACAAACAACACAAAGACCACGAAACCAGGACCACATGGTTCGCATATTCCAGCACACATGAAGGAGAAAGAAACATAAAAAAGATAGGTTAGGCCAAAAAAAGACATATTCAACCAAAAAAGGACATAAACAAGATAGAGGCATATAGCAGAGAAAGAATAAAGAAGAGACAAGAATGGGACATAAACAATCTCTAGCTTATCTAAGCATAGTCATTTTCGCACTACTTCACTATGCACCCTTAAATTCCAACACCAACCAATATTCAATGATTTCTTACTGAATTGAAATATTCGCACCACTTCACTGTTGCTAGATAGAACTTTACACTCATGAAATCACTACACACAGAGAAAAGCGATTCCTAAACCCTATTCAAAGATGGGCTACCTAAAATCCAAGAACCCTTATGGAAGATTCCTTTGGCTTGAACATCTGAGCCATTCGATTTCTTCACTTTCCCAAATCTAAAATTTTCGAAACCCTAGCCCAGTATGACATACTATCTCATGGGTCCCACCAATAGTCACGTCATATGCCAATTTCTGATTAATTTTTGCCACTTGTATGAAATTATTTGAGTACCCCTGCCACATCAGCCGAGATAACGATTTTTCATTGAAAATTCAAGGCATGGGGCAACCTTAGTAAGTAACGAAATGGAAGTTAAGGGAGTAATTTGAGCTATTACAAAAGTTGGGCAATCTGAGACACTTTGTAAACCATACTGGGTATTTGAACAAATAAGCCTATGCTTTAAACACCAATTAAATCATCCTTACATGTTCATGTATACAAGAAGGTATCTTTCGATTTTAACCTTCAATTAGTGTAAGTGTTTCAAAGATTTGATGGAGACAACGGTGGCATTTCCATACGTTAAACTGTGTGCCCATTTTACCTTTCCTTGTAAAAAATTCTGAACTGAGTAAGCACTATTATGGCCGTGTGCTACTTCCTGGTTTCATAAATATTTACAAGAGAAACACCCAAAAAACTCTTGTTAGAAGCGACACCACTTCTTATATTTATAAAGGTGAGGTTACTCATGATATGTCCTTACTAATAAGGACATGAAAAACAATCATACCTCACTAAGAGTTTAATAAACTCATCCTCTTTATCATAGCACTATGCACTGAGCATCCTGTATAAATTTATTCAGTGCTTATTCAATTCACATATTAGTAACTTGTTATTACCCATTTAACTTTGGTTTAATGATGTTCTAGGCAAAGTTGGGTTACCATTACTGGTGATTTAAGTAAAGGATTTCAACCCCATTCCACTAGATGTACTTTTTACCATATCTTTAGAGAGTCCTTAGTAAATGGATCTGTCAAATTTTTATTTGACCTTACATACGTTAGCGAAAAGGCCAAAGAAAAGTAAACGTCTATTTACAGAGTTGACGGATCCACTCGCATACTTTGTTGATTATGAACATTATGATCTTGTCGTACCAAGGGACTACATTGTGAAAGAAGACAGTAACATTAGCAGAAAGAGAATTTTGGCTAGACCAACATAAATTATAGGCTTATTTATGGATACGAAAATAGTCTCAGATTACCACCTGTTCTTTGAAATGTCTCAATATACCACCTATACTTTCAATAAGTGTATCACGTTAGCTATTCCATTAGATTTGAGAGAAGTTCTGTTAGTTGATGTGGCTCCCACTTCTTTTCAATCTCTTAACAAAAGAGAGGAAGGCTTAGTCAGGTTGAGAAAAGGGGGAATTTGGGAGAAGAATGTTAGGTTGAGGGAATTTCATATTTCGGAATCTAGAGGTTCAGATTTGGGAGAAAATGAGGAATTTGATTTGGGGATTTCAGATTTGAGAGAAGAAGGATGGTTTGAATGTTGTGGGGATCTCCCAAATATGAAATCCCCAAATTAAATTCCCCATTTTCTCCCAAATCTGAACCTCCATAAAGAACATGTGGCAATCTGAGACTATTTTGAAAGCATAGGGGGCATATCCATAAATAAGCCTAAATTATACACAAATTATGAAAAGAAAACTGTAACATTAGCTTAGTAACTGTTGGAAATTACAGTCCAACATGCTACCATAGTCATCACATTGGGTCACTTTGATTTTCAGGGGTAAAACTGATATTTGACCTTAATTTCTGAAGGCACTACAGTAAATAAGCATTCTTTAATATATAATTTATAATTTAAAGGTTTGGCAATCGTCTAACCTGGTCGTGGACTTTGAATTCCAGTGCCGGTGCAGTTCTCCCAGCAAGAAATTTCCCATGATGGGCAACTTTCTGAACATGCATGAAGAAGCCATGAGAGTTCAAAGCCATGCGCTATTTCATTATATATATCTTTGCAAGACGTCATGTGCTCCTCAGTTGAAGGGGACACCATAACCATTAGTGTTATTTTGCAGGAGTCCCCCAAATTGTATGACCTTGGGCCATACACATGGCGACGCCCAAGCCGAAATTGTATGAAATAAGAATATGTTGTTAAATTGGAGAAAGAAGAATTGGAAGAAGAGTAATTGTTGACCCCACTGATGCATGGAGCTGTTTCAACAATGAGATCGGAAGGATTCATTGGATTTTCACAGCTCAGGAAGATTATAGACATTGATGAACTCCTTAATCGGAAGGATTCATTATAAAGACCAGAAAAGGATTCATAAGAAGGAAGATTATAACAAGAGTCAGAAAAGTTGAAGGGGGTGAAGGAGTAGAGTGGGTGGGAGAAGTAGTTGTCCTTGATCTTGTGAACACCAACATCCATAAGTCGGATTGTGAAGTCATTGTAATTGATTGCTTGTACATAATACTTTCCTGAAAACAAGGATAGCACTGCATGATCAGTATTACCATTTTACTTTGCCTCACAAGATAGCTCGAACATTTTGTCGGTGTTGCCGCGGGTCTCCGTTCAATCGGAATGGAGAGCTTATGTTAATATTTCCACAAGAACAGGTACAATCCGAGTTATCATGGACTTTATTACCTGTAATATTATTGGAAGCTATTTGGGAAGAAGAGGAAGGAAGAAGAAGAAGAAGATGAAGGAGGAGCGTTGTGTAAGCAGCAAATAGGGGACTTCCTCTAGACATTATGTCAGAGCGGAAGAAAGAGATTTTCAATTTAATACAGTTAATTTAAACCTTTAAAGAGATAATCAGATAAAAAAAACAAGAGGGGTTGCATGAGTCATGACCGCCCGCCATTGACTCAAACATCTAGATGGAGTGGGGCCCATATCATGTTGAAGTAATAAAATTGAAGTACTGACCACTGATTTTATATCATCTACTTGCAATTCGATTTATTTGCTTAGGAAGGGTTCTCATCATGAATTTCTTATGGTTGTTGGCCGTGGTAGTAGTAATAGGAATAGGAGTCAATGGTGGAGTCGGCCATGAAGACTGCAGAGAAACAAGATGTCGCCCGGACGGCCCAGCCATCCGATTCCCATTTCGACTTAAAGGTAGGCAGCCAATCCATTGCGGCTTCCGGGGCTTTGATCTTTCTTGCACTGAATACAACGAGACTATGCTCGAGATGGCATCATCAACTAAGCTCCTTGTTGATGATATTAACTACAGATCTCATGCAATTCGAGGAAGAGCTTATGATGGTTGCTTGCCAAGGGAGTTGTTTTACCGTAATGGTTCTTATCCCTTTCAATTCATAGGCCGCACACCCTTATTCAGTTGTCCACCGTCAACCGTAAGAGATAAATATGGTTGCGGATATGGTTGCCTGGTGAGATTGAACCCTTGCCATGGCAACAATTCTGGTAACCATATTTACGCTGTCATTGGTTATTGTTCCATTGATTACCTGCCCCTAATGTCTTGTATCAAGTTGCATGACTACACATCAGATCCTGCGTATATATATGATGAGATAGGAATATTGCATTGGTCCATTCCATCATGTGAACATTGCAAAGGTATTTTACACTCCAATAGTTTGGTTTAGTGATGTACTTAGCAGTGTCCAACTCGGCCGTCAGCTCAGCTCTTATCCGAGAAGAACTGAGGGCCCAACATTCTGTATTCTACACATCAAAAGCTCTCCTTGATGCAGAGACTAGCTACCCAAAATTGGAAAAGCTCATTCTAGCCCTTGTAGTCTTCTCGAGAAAGTTGTGACCCTACTACCAAGCTCACCGAGTCTTCGTCATGACTGACTTTCCTTTGAGACCAATCCTCCACAGCCCTGACACTTTTTAGCGACTCATGAAGTATGCTATAGAGATAAGCCAGTATGACCTCCTTTACTGGCCAAAAACTGCAATAAAAGCCCAGGCTTTAGTAGACTTCATCGCAGAATTCACCCCATCAGCCGAATAAGAGAAGCTGGTCAATAAAAAGCATGAAAGTTCGAAAGCAAATGGGACCTCCGCTGAACCTGGCCAACCTAGAGACATGTGGCAGTTGCGCGTAGACGGAGCGTCGAACTAAAAAAGAGCTAGAGCAGGTGTCGTCATCATCACCTCGGATGGAACCCTATTGGAGCAAGCTATCACTCTTGGCTTTCAGGCCTCGAACAATGAGGCAAAATACAAGGCATTGCTCGCCGACCTGCGCTTGGCAAAGGAACTTGCAATCAAGAAGCTAGCCATCTACTCAGATTCCCAGTTGATCACGAATCAAGCCTCAGGTGAATACATGGCAAAGCACTCAAGGATAATCTTGTACCTTGACAAAGTCCAAGAGCTATTGAAGGCGTTTCCTACCTTCACCATCCAACAAGTACCCTGGGCAGAGAACGCACATGCAAACGCACTGGCCAGCCTAGGGTCAGTGCTGGATACCCAGTGCAGAAATAATCTCTCACAAACCCTAGCCGCCACACTCTCTCTCCCTCTTACACAAGGCTTCAGCCACCCGGTTTACACCTTACACATATATCTACGTACCCTATTTAGCTATTGTTTTCTATATGAATCAATTGGACTAACTTGGAGAGCCTTTGGCCAACACCCCCCGGGTGTGGTCCTCTTATTTGATCTATCTTGCAGGGAGAAAGAGGCGGCGAAGAAGAAAAGGGAATCTTTCAATCAAATATTCTCGTGGGAAGAAATCGCTCCCACAAGGGTCATGGTAGAATCTATCTTCAAAGAATTCTACATCTCTAGACTCAACAATGATATTTGAGTTTACATCAAGCAACCTATATGCCTTAGAGTTTTTTTCATATCCCACAAAGATACTTTTTATACCTCTAGGGACCCAATTTTGATCTATTAGGATCATGAGTTCTATAAAAAGCCAAACAGCCCCAAACTCTAAAATAATTTAGATTCGGTTTTCTGCCCTTCCATACTTCATTCGGAGACAAGTGTCTTCTTAGAAGTAATTCTATTTTGAATATAGCATGCAATAAGGAGTGCTCACCCCACAAATAAACAGGAACATTAGCACTTATATTAGTCAATGTTCTATTCATTCTCTCTGCTAAGGCATTTTGTTGTGGTGTATAAGATGCAGCTTTTTGATGGATGTTACCATGCTCTTCACAAAACAAAGAAAACTCATGTGAAAAATATTCACCACCTCTATCACTATGAAGGATTTTAATTTTCTTTTCCTTTTGATTTTCAACTTCAGCCTTATATCTTTTAAAAAACTCAAAGGCTTCATCCTTGCTAGGAATCAAATATATATAAGAAAATCTAGAGCAGTCATATATAAATGTAATAAAATATCATTTTCCTCCTCTTGTCAAAGTTCCATTGTACTCACAAATAGCAGAATATACTAAGTCTAAGATTTTTGTGTTTCTGCCATCTTCAAAGGTTTCTTAGTAATTTCAGATTGGGCACAAGTTTCACAATTTCTAGATGTAACTTCTTTGCAAGAAATTAAATTTTGCTTATACAAGTATTTCAAAGATATGTAATTTAAATGTGCTAACCTAGAATGCCATAAAAAATAAGAGGAGTCAACAATATAAATAGAAGAATTCACTTTTATTAAACTGAGTTTGAACATTCCATCACATGAATAACCCTTCCCAACAAACATTTCATTCTTTGACAAATATGAGTTTATCAGACTCTAGAACAACTTTTATGCCATTCTTGCATAGTAGATTTGCAGATACAAGATTCTTCCTTATGTCTGGGACATGAAAAACATTGGTCAAGTTTATTGTTTTTTCAAAAGTAAATTGGAGTTCAACCATTCCTTTTCCTTAGACTGTAGTAGAAGTATGGTTGCCCAATAGCACTTCTTGAGAATGCTATTCTGTTGTGTGGGTCTTGAATTGTGTTTTATCATTGCAAACCTGGATGGTAGCTCCAGATTCAAGCCACCAATCTGAACTTTTAGTTGCTGCAGCCATGCTCAATTCAGTGATCATGCCAATTTGCATCTTAGAGACCATAGCAATTATTACTTCAGTAGAATTTTCCTCTACCAAATTTGCATTGTTTAATTTTGCATCCTCATTTTTCTTGAACCTGCAATCACGGATAAGGTGGCCTTTCTTGCCACAATGGTGGCAATTTCCATCTTTCTTGTCACTCTTGGTGTTGGGTTTAGTCTTTTTAAACTTCCCTGTGTTATTCACTTTTAAGTTCTTTTTGAACGTAGTACTACTCCCTTCAGCATAATTAACCTTGGGGAAGTTTTCAGAGGAAAAAGCTTTCTCTCGATTTCGAGTTTCCTCTTCAATTTGGATCCCCTTTAAAAGATCTTGGAGACTCGTATCTTCTGCCATATGCAAAAGTTTCTTCCTATAATTGTTCCAACCATTGGCTAATTTTGACATGATAGCTCCTACTTGCAATGACTCAGGAACAATTATTTTGACTTCACGGAGCTTTGTGACCAATATAAGTAAATCTTGAACTTGGTCCACAATTGATTTTCCATAAGTCATAGTGAATTCATAGAATTTAAACATAAGAAATTTATCAGTACCTTTCTTCTCTGATGTGTACTTTTCTTCAAGAGCAGTCTAGATTTCTCTTGAAGATTGAGTAGCAGCAAAAAGATTATACAACCGATCAGATAATGTGTTTAAGATGTGTCCTCTGCACATTAATTCATCTTCTTTGTGCTTCTTTCTATCATCAGCAATAATTTTTTCAGTATCTGCAGCATTGGGTTTTGGAATTGGCTACAAATTTGGATCAAGAACATAAACAATTTTTTAGTGCAGTCAGCATCCAGCGAATCTTGTCCTTCCAGCGCATGAAATTGGTTCCATAAAACTGGTCAAGTTTCCAAAAAGAACTATCTTTCATTGCAGAGAGAGCCATAATTTCTGACATATTCTCCATACAAATATCACTTTAAGATTGTTGGAAATTAAATTGAGAATAGACAGAAAATTTAGCTTTGAGGCACGTTACTACGTTTTCCTTAAAGTGATATTTTCCTCCACTCAATAGAGTTTGCTAATGGATTCTAGACAAATCACTTTCAGGATAAACAAATATTGGAATTATAGAGTTTAGCATAAACTGAAATTTCCTTAGAATTTCTACAAGGAAATTGTATGATATATTGAGAAGAAGAGTTAGAGAGAGATTGATTTATGTTGTGTTTAGAAGTCCCACGTTGTGGGATTTTTATACATTGAGTGTCAAAAGTACCCATTTAATTTTGGTGAAGAGGTGCCAAAGCACTCTTTCGATGGATAGATGCCTCATATTGAATATAACTGTCAATACCTAAATTTCACAATTGTTAGGATACTTTTCAAAGGATTACTATGTTTCACAGTACACCCACCGACTCATCAAAAATATATGCAATCAATCATATATATATATATATATATATATGTGGGCGGATCCGTGGCACTACATTTTTTTCACAAATTTTCAACCATTAGATTAGAAAGGATTGAATGGTTGAGATTATGTTTCATTCATTACTTAAATTAAATTAAATCTCTAATGCCAAGTAAATTTCATTTTTATTTATTAGTTATGATAATCCCGAAAATCACTCATTATCTTTCCCCCTTCTGTTTTCTTATCATTTTCTCTCTTCTCAATTAATATCCTGCAAAACCTCGCCATTACCTTCCCCTTACCATTTTCATCAGCACCAACCGAGCATTCTCCCATGACATAGAAAATCTGTCTCAAGCTACCAATATTGAAGAGAAGATAGGATTTTAATATTTAAAAGAAAAGCCCAAATTTGTTGCAATATTTCTTCTCTACGGTTTGGTTGCTCTCTCTCTCTCTCTCTGTTTTTTTTTCTAAGAATTATTGGTGGGAAAGTGTAAGATGTAGAGGGGAGATGAATGAATGGAGAAGAAGAGAGAGACACGGATATGTAGAGGGAAAAAGGGCAAGAGCAAAATAGGAAATAAAGAGAATGAAAACTAAGGCGCGTTACTTCCCTAACTCTGAAGTAATTTTGATTGAACAAAAACAAAAACCCAGTTTCTCTCCAACGCCCACAAATTGGCTAGATTAATGTGATCTATTCTGCAACTTGTTGTATAGATTATTAAAACAATGATTTATCATTATAAATCTGAACTCTAAGGATTAATTGCTAGTTTGTGATTTAGATGGAATGATTTGCTGAAATTGGATGGCTAGTTTGTGATTCCAGGGTTACTGAGAAAAGCAAGAAGAAGAAGGGAGGTGGTGTTAATGAGAAGGCACGAAGAAGAGAAGAAGAAGAAGAAGTGCCTTGTGTCAATAAACCATCAAAACTTAATTAAATGAAGAGAGAAGAAATAAAAAAGTCAATTAAAATTTATTTTCTATAATTGCTTATTTAAAGAATAAAATAATTAATTTGTTTAATCACATCCATTGATAGTGGGCTAATCCAAGGATTTAAAACTTGTGTCAAATATATATATATATATATATTGAAATCTCTAACATTTAATTAGTCATTAATTATATTATATCATTGATACATTAGATCTTTTCAACAAGCTACAACAAGTCTAGATATAGTTTTTTTTTAATTTATGGTTTATATTCAGACAAAAAAAAAAAGACTTTGTTCTTTGGGGTTTATTTGTTAAATTCAGAGAGACGGGCCAGTGGCCCACTACTAGCAACACCGATATTGTCTTCAACTTAACCACCTACAAAGTCCAGTAAAGTGTGAGGTTTTATCACAAAAGGCATCAGTATTATTAGGAGTGGAATCACTTATTATAAGTTGTAATTTATTTAGTTAAGTTTTCGATGTGGGACTTTATATTCTTCAAGACGCTCCCTCACATGAGACAACGACATAGTGGGCAACACGTGGAGCCAAGTCCACATTAGAGTCAATCATTCAAGTCCAACATGTGAACACTACGTATTGGGTAAAGGGTATGGATAAACATTCAAGTTCAACATGTGAACACCACATATTGGGTAAGGGTAAAGGGCCAATTTAGGCCCAATCAATCAACCTGCTCTGATATCATGTTAAATTTCAAAGAGACGGGCCAGCGGCCCACTACTAGTTACACAAATATTGTTTCCAACTTAACCACATACGAAGCCCAGTAGGCGTGAGGTTTTATCACAAAAGGCCTCGGTATTATTAGAAGTGAAACCACTTATTATAAGTTGTAATTTATTTAGTCAAGTTTCCGATGTTGAACTTTATATTCTTCAACATTATCCTCCTTTCTCATCGAAAAACAAAGAAGACTTTTTATTTATTTATTTAAAACAATAAAACCCATGTATATTTCACGTTGTCAGCCAGAGCGCATGGTATTGGTACCAAATAGGCAGAAGATAGGCACGCACAAGTCTCTCCACATAAAGCAGAAAGTTATCGAACAGAGCTCTCCACGTGACCATCACGTGACCTTCCGCCTGTCCAACGTGCCCTTCCCTCCGCCTAAAGCAAACGTCGACACGCAAAAGAAAGAGAGAGAAAGAGAAAAAGGCGAGAAAAAGCAAAGCATAGCACAAAGCCAAATAAGATTTGATCAAACGTCCAAGTCTCAGTTAAATCCAATTCCTTTCCTTTCCTTTCCTTTCCTTTCAACTCTTCCTCTTTAGCTCAGTCTCTCAGCAACCAAACAGCAGAGAGCCAAAAACAATCATAGCATAGATGGGCGCAGTTTCGAAGGAGGTTCAGCTTTCGATTGCGGCTTCTTCAATGTTTCCTGGGTTTAGGTTTTCACCCACCGATGAGGAACTGATTTCCTATTACCTGAAGAACAAGCTGGAAGGACCTGAACCTGGGAAGAGCGTAGAGGTCATTCCTGAAGTTGATATTTGCAATTTCGAGCCCTGGGACTTGCCAGGTTTGTTGGGTTTTTATTCATGATCATTTCTAATTCTTTCATCTTTATCCTTCTCAAGTTTTGATTTTTGTTTTGTTTGTGTAGTGAAATAGTGATTGAATTTATTTGCAAAATTTGTTTTTTTCTTCTTCTGTTTTTGTAGGAAACACTGAAAACGTATTTGTTTTTGTTTTTGTAATTGCATGTTGACAGTGACAGCGTTGAATTGAGTCGACAATTTTGTTACAGAGTTGTTGCTTGTAAGAATCCAATTACATTCTGGGAGAAACGACAGACATGGGTCAAAACTTAGAGGTATTAGTGTACCCAAGGGCCTTAGCTGGCCCCCACCCTTGTCAACATGCACGGTCCACTAGTTTCTTTTCATTTTGAGCCGGACAGCTAACCCTTGGAGCTTGCGTGTGGCTCATCCACCATAGGGAGGCCCGCACCTTTGAACCATGATACATTTAGTTGAAGGGATGTTTTACTGATGTGAATTATTTATATGAATGGCATGGATCCTATATATGGTATTCGATTTTATGTGACAAAAAAAAGTACTGTTGTTGGAGCTAGCTTGCAATAATTTGTCGAGGAAAACTAGTCAGATTAGTAAACACAAACATGCATGTGCTCACAGTTCTCCGCCTCTCTCCATGCAGGATGAGGTGCACGTAAGCGAAAGTTGAAAGGACAAATACTGCAAATATGTTTTTCTTTTCACTGTATTTGGCTTGGAGATGGTTATTGAAATAGAGGTTTTAGTCTATTTGGAAACCAATGGAGATGAAAACCTTATTTAACTGATTAGTTGATGAGAGAGAGAGAGAGAGAGAGAGAGAGAGAGTGAGATAGAGATAGTTTTATTTGAAAGGATCCAGAAAAATTATCACGCTTTACTTGGACAGGGTAAAACAAATTAAACTTTTCTTTTTCTTTTTCTTTTAATAAAAATTTAATTATGAAGTGCCATGTTGGTTCTGTTTGGTTATGCACGTACATATATGCATTCTGGTTCAATTTTGCTGAATTTGGTGTCTGATTAACACTACGCATGGTATTTGCTTATGTATATGTGTGTGCGACATTGAGTACGTATATACATATATAGTTATGTGTGGTGAGTTCAATCACCTAAACTTGTTCAAGTCTCTTTGTAAACAAATAATTTTTTGCTGGATTTGACATCTGATTAGAGTTGGTGCATGTGTAACTAGCCAAATCTGTTATTCAATCGGATAATGAGTGGTTCTTCTTTTCTCCACGAGGAAGAAAGTACCCAAATGGCTCACAAAGCAGAAGAGCAACAGAATTTGGTTATTGGAAAGCCACAGGTAAAGAACGCAACGTAAAGTCAACTTCTAATGTAATTGGTACAAAGAGGACACTTGTGTTCCACATGGGTCGTGCACCAAAAGGGGAAAGGACAGAATGGATTATGCACGAATACTGCATGAATGACAAGTCCCAGGTAACTTTTTTCAATATTAGTTCAAAATGTCATCTGTTAGTTACTGGGTTTGAACTATCACCAGATGTATATTCTTCTGGGAAAGGGAAGATTAAATTAATACCATTTGTAAGAGAACCACTTTTCATTTGGAATTTTTTTTTTTTTGGGTCTGGAACCATTTTTCAGTTGTCCATGAATGTCACAAGTGCATTACTCTATCATTCTCTCAAGTAATAGTACTTTCATAATCTTAGTCACGCAGTGTGGTTGGCAAATGCAAAAATGGGGGTGATTGGCGAGAAATGTTTCATATGAAAATGACTTCCACTCCATTTAAGGAAAAAACAAAGTCCATGTGATTTAGAAGACTATAGATTGATTGCTGCTATTACTTGATTCAATCAACGTTATTCGTTGTTCTTGAGAATAACCGCCCTCATCTCCTTACTGCCAATACCTTCATATTCCTTAGAATTTGTTTCTTTAAAGTAAATTACTTATCAGAAGTTACTGAAATGTTTAGCCACAAAGATTCACCTGCTAGACCATCTTGAATTGGTTCAAGATTATTTACATGCTGCATATGTGGGTTGTATTTATATAGTCTCTTGTTACATCTGCACATTCAATAGTTCATTTTAGTATGCAAGCACTTTCTGATTTTTTTCTCTCTTAAATATTCTGCCTGCTTCTTGTGCTGCAGGATTCTATTGTTGTTTGCCGCCTCCGGAAGAATAGTGATTTCCATTTAAATGACACCACAAATGGAGGTTCTTCAAGTCGAAATCCTTTATCAACTGTGCATAATAGTGAAAATGCTGTCTCAGAAGTTGGTATTGACCATGATAAGCCAGTTGAATGCTTTTCGAAGAAGTCTACTAGCAGTCATGATTCTCATTCTATTGAGCAAATTGATTCTGCATCTGAATCCAACCAAAAACAGACAACAGAGGTTACACAGACAGAATCTTCTGGCCACCAGAAGGTGGGTTCGTCTTGTCTACCATATCCTTCTTTCTTTTATTTTTTATTTCTACGGCCATCTTATTTTAGATGAAATCAGTAGCCCACCTGCAAAGTTGCAGTTTACACACAGGTGCATGATTTTGAATAGCACTAACAATATCAGGTGAGTATCGTTTACCAGAAAAAACCATATCAGGTAGTACATTTATAAATTTTAGGAGCTTAGGTATAGCCAACACCTAGTTTTTTGTCAGGTGGTTATGTGACACAGTTTAGTTGTGTCAGGTAGTTATGCCACTACAAAAACAAAGGAAAAAAATTAATAAAATATTCAAAGCTATTGATCACAAGTTTTACGAGGGGTTATAAAAATATTTTGGCATGCATTATGGTAACAATATAATTAAAAGCGTATGAAATATTATTTCTTTTAGAATTAGTTTGTAAGAAATATTAAGGGAAAATCATAAAAGAGAATTGAGATTAATAAAGTTAAAAGAATGTTATTTCTACCCGACTTCTCCCAGTGTTTTGCCAATTTAATTTCTTATTTGTGTCTCGTGTCTCAGAACTCAGGCTTTCTCTTCTCACCAGTTGCCAATGGAATTCTCGATTTTCAATCTCTTATTTAATTAATAACTCTCTAAATGTGCAGTTTTGTCATACAGTCAAGTCAACCCATCGTGTGTAGTGTGTAGATAGTATATTATTCAAGTTGGGAAGTACAAATAGTATTGGTTGGGCCTTGGAGGGTGGGGATGACCACCTGCAAGATGGATAGGCAATTCATCATTGTATCAGAAGTGATTTTTTATATGTATTACATAAGAAGTGCGAGTCATTGTCTTGGGGTTATAAACAATACTTGCTCTTCTGTTACTTTTACCATACTTTTGTTCTGTGAAAGATAATCAGCGGTCCAAGAAACTTTGCATGACTGTTGGCAGTTTTGAACTCTATGTCTATATGGTAGTCCATTGTATGTCCAACTCTTGAATTATGATCCATGTGAATTACAAATTGCAGGGTTCTTATGATGATGACTTTTATGCGGATATACTGAATGATGATATCATCAAACTAGATGAAGTTTCAGTGTCTGCGTCTGCTGACACACTTCCAGTTCTTGCCAATAAGTCCGAGGACGAACAAAATTCTCACCAGCCTATGCAAGCCATTTGTAATTCAGAAGCAATTCCTTTCCAAGGTACTGCAAACCGAAGAATCCATTTGCGAAAGAGAAAGGAAAAGTTTCCTGCTGGGTCACTGGAAGGTCCCAATTCACAAGAGTCACCAAAAACTTCAGCGGATAGGATGGACGATCAACATGTGATATTATATGTAATTATTATTATTCTGGTATTGCTGGCTCTGTTTCTGTCCAAGTTTTGTTTTACTGACATTGCTGGCTCTGTTTCTTTCCTTGTTGAAAGGTTTCTGTCAAGTCAAAAACATCACAAGTAAGTCTTTGTATAAATGTTCTGCCGCAAAATGTTAATATTAGACTTTTCTTTCTTGACCTGGTCTTGATTTCTGTCGAATGCTCGAGTAAGCTCAAGGGACAAGTAGTGGAAGGCAGCCCTTTGATCCATGGGATCCCTATGAATTTCACATATTAATGCTCTGCTAATTTGCTTGAATAAGGTTGAGGATGCTGGCAAGTCTTCCCTTTCCCCATGTTTTTCTCCCTTTCTCCGCACTTCTTTTATAACAAACGTTATTATAACAAACGTTATTAAATAAATTTAGGCATGGGCAATGACACAACGTGGCTTTTTGGCGTCAACGTAGGATTTGACTATAGTTTCAAGGGGTATTACAGTAATTAGACCATAATTTCAAGGGGTATTACAGTAATTAAGCTTTACATTTACAACTAATTCCTATTTCTGGATATTTTTGCTTTTAATTTTTTTTCAATTTATTCTATTTTGGATATACTCATTTTTCATTTTTTTCTTTTTTTTTTTTTTTTTTTTTTTTTTTTTTTTTTTTTTTTTTTTGGGTAAGTTTCATTCTTTCAAACGAAAGAGAAGTACAAACATAGGACTAGGCTACCTACAGCCACAAATGAGAAGTAAAGCTACCAACAGCCAGCAAAGAAAGGAGAAAAACAAGCTACTGCTAAACTAAAGCAGCCACAGCAACAATAGAAGAAAAAACAAGCTACAGCAAAACAAACACAGATTTTGTTAGAGGCCAAACCTATTACACCTCCCAAATAGGGAGCGTGTCCGCCTCTAACAGCCAGTGCTCACATTGTAGGGGGACATGGGAGCCCATCAGCTTGCAACACAAAGACCAAAGAGGATGGGAGGCTGGCTTCCCAAACCTCATCACACATCCTCCTTTTAGCTTGAGAAGCTGCAGCATCTGCTGCTTTGTTTGCACCACGGGGCACCCAGTTCCAAGAGTACGATCTGAAACCACTGCAGGCTCTTCGAATTGCTGTTCTCGGATAGCACCCGCTCCAGTAGAAATTTCTCGATTTCGAAATGTATCGAAGCCTTGGGTAGTAAAAAAAAGTGGGATGCTGTATTTCCAGGATTGGATTTCATATTCGAATGAACCTCGTAATCGTAAGAAAGTAGGTTTTTTAGCTATGGGCCTAGCAAAAGAAAATGGGGAAGATAGTCCATCTACTCCTCAGAATATGGCCTTTGACAGATTGGACCAGCTCCTTTGAGTCAGATTCGAAAACCGCATGTGATATCCCCATTTGAGTAGCTAAATAAACTCCACTCAAAGCTGCGTGAGCCTCCGCCTCAATAGCCGATGCTGCTAGTCTAGTTTTACAGCTGCCGCCCAAACATACAGCATTTGAGTCCCGAACCACCACACCCAAACCTGCTACCTTCGAACCTTTCTCCCAAGAAGCATCAACATTTATTACAGTTTCTACTCCTTAAGTCCCAAAATTAAAACCTAGAAGTGCAAAAGATGATTTCGAGGTGGAAAATGTGAAGACTTGCGTATGCTTTTGCACCATTTGAACACAGGGCCGCTTGAGTGGATTTTGGTTTGTGCCTTGGCGCTCGAGGGGACATTGCGATTTTCAGTTTCTTTTTCCGTTTTGATGAGTTGTTAATGTTTATTTATTTATTTTTTTCTATTCTTTTTGGGATTCCTTCCTATAATAGGTTTAAGGTTCAGCTATGATGCAGGAGCATAAGGTTGAATCAAGAGAGATATTTATCATTTAATTAGTTATTTCTTTATTTAGGTAGTTTTATAATATCTTTTATTATTTATTTGTGATTTTTATAATTAGAAACAATTGGCTTGTAATTAATTTATTTTATAATTAATTAGTTTATTTTTAGACCAAGTAGTGTTGTAAAGCCTATAAATAAGGCATATGTAATAGTGTGTTTTTTTTTTTTTTTTTTTTTTTTTTTTTTATTCATAGGCGGCAACTCTTGACATCTAATTGGTGAGGTGTGCGGCAATTGATGATAAGCTGAACTCCAACCTTAGCTAATTGTCCCTTAGAATCAACAGCTCATACTTGGAAAGCCAGCTCAAGCTTGATTGCATGTAAAATGATGCCAACACCAACTTCTAAAGCCACCTCCTACTTAACCAACATCCACCTCATGCTTCTTATATAAAATCTATGCCATGGTGAAGTGTACTCGTGTAACTCCCAGGTAAAGCCAACATATAATACAATATAATTTATAATAAGATAGTTTTGTCCAATTCTATCACTCAACTTAAATATCTACTTTAAAAAGTTGGAATAAACAAGTTGGTGCTGCTAAAATTACAGCCAAAATTATATTTGGATGCCATTTACCTTTTTACCTTTTTAAGTTTTTGAAAAAAAAAAGTGTTGTTTGACATTGTAAACCGTGTATCCTTCTCGTATAATTAACTGGGGCTTTATCCGGGAGCTTGGACCCGTACTGGGCTTTCGAGTATGAACAGCCTCCGAAAGATGATCTGCGCACTTGAAACGATATCAGAATTAAGGGTAAACTGGGGTTGATTCCAGCCTAACCCTCTCCAATGGTTAAGTCAGAAACTAACTTGTGTTTGAAAGAAAATGGATACAAGGCTTTTACTACATGAAGAGTTATTACCTTTGTCTTGGTGTAGGTGAAGGGTATTTATAGGGAGAGGGGGATCAAGATATTTGTAGAGAAGATATTTATCTCATGTTCCCCTCACCTCAGTTGCATTGAATGTTCTGCTTCTGATAACCACAAAGCTAGTCAGAGGTCAGGTGGTGAAGTGACAAGCTATCAAGGATGGGAGATGCAATAAATGATCTCTTTCCATCACTTATATGTTCACTCTGAGATTTAATGGATATGGAGACATCTATTTGAGGATGGGAAGCGCATTTAACCAGCCTTCGTACTCAACTAGGCTTTTAATGCAACTCTTTAAGATATGGTGATACAATGGTCGGGTCGGTCTATGAACACCCGACCACTAGTCTCATTCTGATCTGTCACATTCTTCTCGAAGGGTTCTTTGTCGGTTACTCGGTACACAAGCTGTCTTTCGAGGGGCTCAGCTCACAGTGATAGTATGAGCTATCAACAGTAGCCCCTAACTCCTTAACTCAAGGAGCCGACCTTGGGTGGGGAGTTGTTTGATTTCCCTCTTTTTATCGTGAGCCGAGCCCTTCGTGATATTTTCAGCTAGGGTCAGTGGATGCAGCCCCCCAAATCCGCAGTCGAGTAGGCTCATTGGAATACCAATTTATGATGGCGCCAGTTTTTAAAATATGAGGCACTTGAGTAGATGTGATGTGGCCCAAGGGGGATGGCCGAACAGAGAAGCATTTAATGGTCCCTGACATCGAAGGGTCGCGTCGATACATTTTCGTCCCTCCAATTGATAGCCAGTGTGATGCGGCCACGTGTAAGCATCATAGCCGGGGTGAGCACAAGATGGACGGTGGAGATGATCGGGTGGTCGATATAAATGGAAGAGAAGGCAGTCGTGTGTTCCATTTGGTCTCCATTTCTGCCGGCGTGAGAGCTCGAAAAAATGCTCCGATCAATTGTATACCAGGACGCTTGTGTAGACGAAAGGCGGAGGAATCGTGCTGATAAGGTGTTTTATTCTGTTTTCTACTTTGTTTCCTGCATTTCCGTCCTCTTCCTTCTTTCTTTCCCAAAATCCCATGCATTATTTTTTGTTTTTCTGGGTTCGGTGTGTCTGGGTTCATCCATTTTGCTTGGTTTAGTATGATTTGATGCTTAGATTCCGTCCCTACCCATCTTTAGTTGTGTTTGAAGTGTGGGAAGCAGTAGAAAGGATGTCGAGCCGATCAGACCTATCTGACTCGCAAGAAATGCCGAGCAGCAAGTCGGCGTTTAGAGATGATATGAAAGATGAGGAAGTGGTAGAACAGATGTTTGAAGCAGCCGACCAGATAGGTGAGGATATGCCTATTAGGCTAGGTAGGAACTTTGAGTATCGAGAGGTTGTTGAAAAAGGGGGTGAGGAGGAGTCGAGAGAGGGAAGGGATGTGGCAAGAGCGGGCTCGGGTGAGTCAGAAGGAGGAGACATGAGCACAAACGAGGCTGAAGAAGGATGGTCAGCGGATAAGCATCTGAGCACAATGACTTAATAAAAATTGGAATGGTTGAGAGATGAGTATGCCATTCCGAGCAGTGTGAAGCTGAGAGCCCCCCACAGAGAACGAAAAGTCGAGCACACTACCTTAGGTTGGGTAACCCTATGTGCTGATATGCTCAAGCAAGGTGTACGGTTGCCGTTATCGTCGTTTCTCCAGAAGTGGATGGCTCGGCTCAGTGTGGCCCCGCATCAAATGAACCCCAATGTATATAGGACAACGATAAGTGTCCAAGCGCTGTGGCGGCGGGTGTATGGGTCAGAGCCGACCATAAACCAGATCCTACACTGTTTCTTACTAAAGAGGAGTTCGCATCAAATCGGCTTTTGCTACCTCCAGAGTGCAGTGGGGAAGATTATTGAAAGCAACCCATCATCCCAAAAGACGTGGAAACCACACTGGTTCTACGCATCAGAGGCAGAGTAGAGGCGATGAAAAATACATAGGCGGTTTAGAATGCCAGGTCCGATTATAGTGCCAAGTCCTATGAAGTCTTGTATTCCCTTGTTGTGTTTATGTTCGTCGGGTCCTGTGTCTCTGGAGTTTTTGTTTTTGTTTTTGTTTTTTTTTTGGGTGATGGGGGCCCTGTGGCAGATTGGAAAAGAGTTTAACATATGGTTTATCCATAGTGGAGTTGGAGCGAGCCGATTTGACAGCTGCCGAGCAGAAACAAGTGGACCAAGTGCTTGCATTACTGAGCACGGAGAGGGCAGCGAACATACTGCTGGCAAGTGAAGGTGTAAGCGGTTCAGTAGGTAGGTTCACTCGGCTCGCCTGTTAGGGTTTTTTTATTTTTTTATTTTTTATTTTTAATAAATGATTGTGATGCAATAACTGCCATAACACCACTGCTCCCGTAGTGATGAGGCCAAATCAGAACGACCCGAGCATGCATGCGAAATTGATGAAGATGGCCAAGAAGGGGCTATCGAGCGGGTCGGCTAGTAGGTCGCAACAGCCCCGTGGTTCACCCCACATGTCTGTGGCTCGGAGCTAGGTAACCGGCATAACTGGCGCAGTCGGGGGTGCTGCCCGGGTCGAGCATAAAAGGTGAGCCGATGAGCCACTAGTAAGGGATGTTGGGAAAAGACGAGTGGAAGAGGAGCCGAGGCGGGACGCAGGCAAGAGGCCGATAATCGCATTGGTCCTTGAGGCTAGGAGAGCAAGTGTAGACTTGGTAGCTGGCCAGCTGGAGCCCTGGGTAGATACGGAACTAGTGCTCAGCTCGTACCAAGAGGCCATCAAGAGAATGTTGAAGGTAGAGGTCGTGGAAGGCCTATTCACCGAGGAGATGGGATATAGCGGGATGACGATGGCAGCATTAGAGGACCAGATGAAGGTAATATGTTCTGACCAGGTTGTGTGTACGCTTCTTTGAATGTAGTCGTTTCTATTATGAGGAGGATTGTCGTTGTAGGCTACCTTGAAGCTCTTTATTGCTGCCCAGAACGTGGCTGCGCACAGCGAATTTGACCACGAGAAAAGGGATGAGCAAGCTGTCACTACTGCTGAGCTGAGCAGGACCATTGGCGAAAAAGCCAAGATGGAAGAGGAGTTGTTGCTCGTACAGAGTCGGCTAGAGGCAAAGATGAGGAAGAGTGCCGAGCTACGATCGGCAGTGAATAAAGTGGTCGAGGAGAAGCGAGTCGTGAGTGTGAACTTGTCGGCGGCAAAGGCCGAGCTGAGTGAATCGAAGTAGAAGGTCGAGACATTTGTAGCCGAACTGCAAACGTGCTATGACGATGCGGTGAATGACTACCTCAACTCGGCGGAGTACCAAGAGAAGCTGAACGGTCAGAGGGTCGAGGGATACTTCGATATGATTGAAAAAGTTGGGGACAAATATCCCTCCCTGGACTGGAGCTTCTTGGATGAGGAAGCAGAGGAGGTCGGCGTAGAGCAAGGTGAGCATGGAGAAATTAAAGTGGTGGTAGTGTTGGGTACCAAGGTGGCAAATCAGGGGGCTGAAACAGTAGCCCAATGAGGTGATACGGCTGCTGAACCAATAGAGTCTGTTGCCGAACCGACCCCATGGACCGAGGCGCCAGGGCATGAGGCGGCAGGAACTACATCGGAAGAAGCAAGAGAAGACTAGAGTAGATGCCCTATTTCTATTTTTGTAAGACTCGTAAAGTATTTTGGAACCACCGAGACAGGCCGCTAGTCAGCTCGATGAATGTGAACGTGCTTTGCGTTTTTGTATAATTAAGTCTTGATTTGGCACTGAATGTGATTGTGGTTGTGTTGTTTATTTGTTTGCAATTTGGATTTGGTGAACATGCAATGTGCAAAATTTGTGTGAGTAGAGCCGACCAAAGGCCTTTCCTAACAATATAACAAAGAACAACAATAACTGAAGGTGCAATGATTAAAGACTTAGAGACACGGACGAGAATAAACAAGGAAAAGAAAAGTTCATTAAGTACAAAAGGTGGAATTACACATGTGCGTAAGCCGAGTGTAGGGGGTTTTTTCTTCCGGCAGTTAAAACGGGCTGGGCTGCCATAAAGGGCAGATTGATGAAATTGTCCCCCTTTGTTTGAGTTCGAAAATCAAGCCCCAAAAATGCTTCGAAAGGGCAGTAGAGCCTTAGGAAGCATCTTGGTTACCTTCACCAACCAAAACAACAGCAGCTTACAAATGATTTCTTAATGCTTACAGATAAATTTTTTAGCTTGGCATGAGAGGCTTGTGGCATGGAAGCAAAATCAGCATGAGTTTAGCATTAAAGAGGAAAATATGGCTTCGTAGGGAGAAAGGGGAGTGTTTAAAGTGAGGAAGAAGAGGTTTGCAAGCTGATTTGGCTGAGAAGAGAAAAAGAAAGAACAATGTTCTTCCGGTAGCTTGACAAAGCTTCTGACAGATATGAAAGTGGTATGCCAGAAGAGGAAAATGGAGAAGGGTGAATAGTGCACAAAATTGCTAGGTTTTTTTGCAGGTAAGAGAGAAAGCTTGCTCTCTAAATCTGAGTTATGATGATGCGTAGGAAATGCCTTTTTTTATAGGCGCTGGAAGCTATCATTTTCCAAGAAAACCTAATGGTTTCTATTTGATTTGGCCAAGTCTTTCCCTTCCTTTCTCCCCTCATCTCTTCAATCATCATATTTTGGTGAAACCCACTCTGCCCATTTGCACAAAATCAGAGATTTTTGGGTGCTCAAGGCCCTTTCCCGCAGCTGTCTCAGTGGATAACTTATATTTTCAGCCATCTTTTTTCCTTCTTTTCTTCCTTCTTCCAAAGCTAGGTTTGATGAGGGAAAGAAATGGGTATGTACACTGGTTTAAAGGGTGTTTTGCTCAAGTATCCCTTGGTTTTTGGATTTTTTTACTTGAAACTTGTTCCCTCCCATGTGTTGAAGATTCCAGCAGCCTGCAGGTGTGAGTGGCCTTTGGCTTTTGTCATGGTTTTGTCTCCAACCATGTGCTGGAGATTTTCAGATATTTTGTTGGTCAATTGGACTATTTTTGTTGAGGTGTTGGGCTAATTTGGTTAAGCTAATGAGCTATTTCCTCTTTTGTGCTCACCCATATGTTTGGGCCGAAAAAATGGGCTTGAGTACCGAGGCTCCCAAGCAACCTAAGACTTCCATTTCTCGGCCCATTAATGGGCCTCATGTTGATTTGTTATCATCCATACTACAACCCACTCAAGCAAGCCCCGGGTATTTGAGTGACTTGGGGCCCACTTAAGCTTTTGGCGTGATTAGGTGCGGAATAATAATTCCATGCTTGGCGCGGCGTGGTGTGGCGTGCCGCTTGGCGTGGCATGTGTGCAAGCGCATATGATGAACTTTCGCGTGCCCAAATCGGGTTTCTTCTCGGTAAGGTATCGCATTGGGCCGAGAATTTATTTGGCCCGAAGCGTGGATTTTTTGGGCCTCAACATTAGCCCCCTTGATTATTGGGGCCATGAATATGTATTGAAATTGTCCAAATAATCAATTTCCAGCCCAAAATAAATTGCAATGGCATGGGTTTAGGAGCAACTCAAGGATGACCAGTTAAGGGTCTCTTAAAATTACAGCCAAGTCTTTTCCGGGAAGGTTGGAGGGGTAGCAATGGTCCCACTTAAAACCCAATCCTTCTTAAACACGGAGGGCGTTGCCTTGAAGAACTTTCCTAGACACTGTAATTTTGGAGGTCACTTACTAGAGTTACCAAGAGTTGACCTATTTGGTGGCATGATATATAAGAAAATGCTTGGTGAATTAGCTCAAGATAACTACTTAGCTTGCGTGATTTATTTGCTTGAGTGATTAGAGAGGCTTGATTTTGCATGATTGTGGTTTGCAAGAGTTGCATTGACTTGTGTATCTAATATTAGTTATGTATGCTTGATTTTGGCTTGCATGCTTGGCTTTGACTTGTATATTTGGTATTTGGCTTGATGCTTAGCATTGGTCTGTATACTTGATTTTGGCTTGATGCTTGGTATTGGCGTGTATGCTTGATTTTGGCTTGTATGCTTGGATGCTTGGCATTGGCGTGTACGCTTAATTTTGGCTTGTATGCTTGGATGTTTGGCATTGGCATGTACTGGAAGGATATTTGAAATAGAGCAGGTGCTGGCAAGGTGTTTGAAATAGGGCATGTGTTGGAAGGATGTTTGAAAACATGGCATGTGTTGGAAGGATATTTGAAACATGACAGGTGCTGGAAACTGTTTTGTTTGGCATGGAATATGTGCTAGAAAAAACGTGACTTGGCTTGGCATGATTAGCTTGGACTCGTTATGAGGATGTGGATAATCCAACGATTGAGTTGAATCAAGATATAGCTTGGCGTGATGAACTTGAGGTATCTTTTCGTTGCAATTGTGACAATTTGGCATTATATGGTGATAGCATGGCTTCTTCTCTGTGCTTTCAGCAGCTAGAACTGCCAAGTTCTAACATTGTCATTTTTATGATGACTGTCTTGCTTGAAAAGCTTGATATGTGATATCTAGTTTGGTTTGCTTGAAATGATTGCATCAAGTGAAATGCTTGAGTTGCATGGTTTGTGTGGATTGATTCACAAATGCTCGTATTGATGCATGGTGGGTTGAAGAAGAGATGCGGGCTTGAGAGCTCATAAGAGAGATGGGGCCGTTATCCCCTTGACTGGCTTGGCCTTCACGTGGGCAAAATTGTGTTGCCCCTTCCTTTTGAATTTTTTATTTACAAATTTATAAATAAACCCAATTCTAAACATGTATTTATAAAAAAACCCAAACACTATTTAAACATAGAAACACACCCAAAATCAACCCCAAAGTCAACAATTGTATATTTTTTGGGTGTGTTTATAAATGGGTTTTGAGTGTGTGTAATGATGGGTTTTGGGTGTGTTTATAAAGTGTTTTGAGTGTTGGGTTTTTTTATAATTTCAGCTCCCATTTTGGGTGTTTTAGTGAAACTCCCTTTTTTATTTGCAAGTAGCTGCTCTTTTTTCCTTTCATTTGGCATGGCATACTTTATTTTCTCATTCTCCTCCTTCTTCTTCAAGACCCAAACCCGTGGGTATTGTGCATCAGTACATAAGTCATATTTTGGAAACTCGGATTAGAAAACTCCCTTGATGAAAGTTGTTCATCTGCTCGAGTACTATAGCCTGTAAAATTTGTAGAATTTTTCGAATTTTTCTGATACCTTAAAGCTGGTTTGCAACTTCTGGATTCATCCATGGCTGGTGATTTTTTGCAGATTTTGCTTCTGCATGTGTCTTTAACTTATGATGCTCGGATGATGGCGCTTGCTTCACAAAACTTTCTCAAAATTATGTTGTTTATAACATATCCAAAATTGAGGATCATCCACCCATTCTAGTGCTCTCTGCCTCCATTTTTCTTAAGCATGTTCATGAGTTGATGTTGATGCCTTTGTTGCATGCTTGTCTTGAATGATTGAGTTCCTCTGTATTTCCCAACATTTGTGAACTATAAATTGAATTCTAAGGTTGAGCTTTTGGTTTAGGATTCTAGCTTAGTGATAAATAAGAGTCATGCAAGCTCACTTGGGTACGCATGCCAAGTGTTTGTCAAAATATCTCAAAGTAGCTTGCTGGCTGTTTTTTGAACTTTTGAAATGTTTCTTTTCCAATCTGAGTTGGAGCTTTTGAGACATAAAAATGGACTTCTCAATGGTTATGTTGGAATTGGTCTTGCGTCACTTGAAGAAAAAATGAATTTTCGGTGAAATTTCAAAGTAAGGGTTAAGCTGCTGGAGCTGTGCAGTTTCTGCTGCATGGGCTGTTTTAGGAATCTGTTTGACATGCTTCCCTAGCTCGAAATGCAACGAAATTTTGGGAAAATGAAGCTTGATATGTCTAGTTCTAATCTGGAAAGTCTGGGATTTGTTGGTTGTAAGCTTGATTTATAGTGATTTTCTAAATGTGGGATGTTCTAGCTAGGATGGTTGGAAAGCTTGTGTATAAGCTTTGCTTGGCATGTTGCTTTTGCTTGGGAATTTAGCATGTCCTTTCTGTTGGCCTTGAGTGCTGATATGAGTATTTCTAGAGCATGTTCTTGAGCAATATTGTCGTGAGAGCATGATGTTGAAAGGTATTGTCGTAAGAGCATGAGTTCTTCAATTTCCTTGAAATGCCCGAATTGCTTGGAATGCTTGAATGAAATGAAATTTCTTGGCATGTGGATTGGTATCACACTCTGTGAACTTTGTCAAATGCTTAATAGATGAGTTTGCTTGCACTTTGAGAAAATTTATGCTTCCGGTGCCTCCGTTTGTGTATGAGACCTTTCTGGCGTCTGATTTTGGCTAACGTATTCTCTTGTTTAGAAGCTCCAAAGCATGAAAAGGCATGAGAAGTCTAATTTTCTAGCATGAAAGTGAGTTTTGGTCTCTTGCAACTTGTCTTTGGAAAAAAATTATGCTTCCAGCACCCCCTTTTCGTTTACGAGTTCCCTTCCGGTACCTAATCTGGCCAATTTACTCCCTTGTTTCTTTTTCAGGCTTGATTGAGAGGTTCCAAAGCACGAGGAATGTCATCTTCTTACTGATTTGCTAGGAACTTGATAGAATAAAGGTGAGTTTTTCATCTTGACTTGCAATATGAAGGCTTATGAAAGATTTGAATTGCTTGACCGGAGGGACTTTGGGTGAGAAAGAGAACAAGCTAGTTGTTGAGGCTGTTTTGAGTTTTCTTCCAGAGATGTGATGAGTTTGTTGAACTGTTGCTGTGGGAGAATGGATGAATGTAGGAAAATATGCTTCCAGCACCTCTGTTTTATTTTCACGAGTACCTCTCCAATGTCTGTATCTTTTTTCCGACTTGATTTATAGGTTCCAAAGCATGAGAAAAACAAGCTAGTCGTTGAGGCTGCTTTGAGTGTTCTTTTAGAGGTGCAATGAGGTTGTTTAATTGTTGTAAGGATGGATTGAAATCGGGCAGGGGTTAAGAAGGTTTGAGAAAAAAAAATGCAAATGATGGAAACAATGATGAATGAATGTATATAGCTTGGACTTGGTTGAAGATGTGAATAATGTTGAATCGCACATCTCTTGGAACTGAGGTATAGCTTAGTTTAGCATGAGAAACTTTGAAGTGCTTGTGCTTGACCTTTTTTTTCTTCAATTGGCAGGAAGCCCCCAGTCAGTCATTTTTTTTGTTTTATTAGCTTACGGAAGCCCCCAAGTATTATTTGGAGTTTGCATGTGTAGTTCGCTTTAATGGCATGAATGATGGATTTGCTTAAGCCCCCCGCCCTTGTACAAGACTTGGTTTTGCTTGAGAATGGAGATCTAAGACACAAGCAAAAGGCACATGTCAGTAACTCTTATTATGCTTGTTTTTGCAAAGTAGATAGCCAACAAAAGAAAAGAAAAAAAACACAAGAAAGACGAAATGTTCTTATCTCTTTATTTTCTCTGGTTTATTGATTTTGTCTGAGTTCGAAAATCAAGCCCCAAAAATGCTTCGAAAGGGCAGTAGAGCCTTAGAAAGCATCTTGGTTACCTTCACCAACCAAAACAACAGCAGCTTATAGATGATTTCTTGATGCTTACAGATAAATTTTCTCGCTTGGCATGAGAGGCTTGTGGCATGAAAGCAAAATCAGCATGAGTTTAGCACCAAAGAGGAAAATATGGCTTCCTAGGGAGAAAGGGGAGTGTTTAAGGTGAGGAAGAAGAGGTTTGCAGGCTGATTTGGCTGAGAAGAGAGAAAGAAACAACAATGTTCTTCCGGCAGCTTGACAAAGCTTCTGACAGATATGAAAGTGGTCTGCCAGAAGAGGAAAATGGAGTATAAGGGTGAATAGTGCACGGAATTACTGGGTTTTTTTGCAGGTAAGAGAGAAAGCTTGCTATCTAAATTTGAGTTCTGATGATGGGTAGGAAATGCCTTTTTTTATAGGCGCTGGAAGCTATCATTTTCCAAGAAAACCTAATGGTTTCTATTTGATTTGGCCAAGTCTTTCCCTTACTTTCTCCCCTCATCTCTTCAATCATCATATTTTGGTGAAACCCACTCTGCCCATTTGCACAAAATCAGAGATTTTTGGGTGCTCAAGGCCCTTTCCTGCAGCTGTCTCAGTGGATAACTTATATTTTCAGCCATCTTTTTTCCTTCTTTTCTTCCTTCTTCCAAAGCTAGGTTTGATGAGGGAAAGAAATGGGTATGTTCACCGGTTTGAAGGGTGTTTTGCTCAAGTATCCCTTGGTTTTTGGATGTTTTTTGCTTGAAACTTGTTCCCTCCCATGTGCTGAAGATTCCAGCAGCCTGCAGATGTAAGTGGCCTTTGGCTTTTGTCATGGTTTTGTCTCCAACCATGTGCTGGAGATTTTCAGATATTTTGTTGGTCAATTGGACTATTTTTGTTGAGGTGTTGGGCTAATTTGGTTAAGTTAATGGGCTATTTCCTCTTTTTGTGCTCACCCATATGTTTGGGCCTAAGAAATGGGCTTGAGTCCCGAGGCTCCCGAGCAACCTAAGACTTCAATTTCTCGGCTCATCAATGGGCCTCATGCTGATTTATTACCATCCATACCACAACCCACTCAAGCAAGCCCCGGGTATTTGAGTGGCTTGGGTCCTACTTAAGCTTGTGGCGTGATTAGGTGCGGAATAATAATTCCTTGCTTGGCGTGGCGTGGCGTGGCGTGTCGCTTGGCGTGGCATGTGTGTAAGCGCATATGATGAACTTTTGCCTGCCCAAATCGGGTTTCTTCTCAGTAAGGTATCACATTGGACCGAAAATTTATTTGGGCCGAAGCGTGGATTTTTTGGGCCTCAACACCGAGCAAATGACTAGCTTGGGTAGCCCAATGTTGTGCTCGGGCTTGGAGAAGAACATAGTATTTGGAGAGACAAAAATAGTTTGTCTAGGGGAGATTACACCGGGCGAACTAAGGATAATACTTCCTTAGGTGTTCGGCGTTCTGCTTGAAGACGGTGTTCCTCGAGCAAATCCATGCTGAGGCAGAGCTGTTCTGTATTTTTCTCTGGTGTGTAGTGGGCGACCCGGTGTGTGGGAATGCCGACCTCAATAGGAATCACTACTTTGGTACCGAAGGCTAGGGAATACGGAGTCTCTCCTGTAAAAGTGCGTTCGGTGCAATGGTAAGCCCAGAGAACCTCTGGTAGGAGTTTCGACTAGGCAACCTTCTTAGCCCCCAAATTTTTCTTGAGCGTTCGTTTGAGGAGTTTGTTCATGGCTTCAACCTGGCCGTTTGCTTGTGGGTGCATTGGGGAGGAGAAACGAAGATTGATTTTGAGATCAGAGCAGAAATCGTGGATTTTTTTGCAGTCGAATTGCTTGCCATTATCCGTGATGAGAGTGTGAGGGATACCGAAATGGCAGACGATATTTTTCCAGATGAAGCTCTGCACCTTTACGGCCGTAATGGTGGCCAATTGTTCTGCCTCTGCCCATTTAGTGAAGTAATCAACAGCAACGACTGCATGAGTAGTTTGCCATTTCCCTTTAGGCATAGGCCCGATCAAATCCAGTCCCCATTGTGCGAATGGCCAAGGGCTGGTCATGGTAGTGAGGTGCTCAGGTGGTTGATGAGGTATGTTTGCGAATATTTGGCAAGGGCGGCAAGATGTGGCAAGGCGTTTGGCATCCGCGTTTATGGTCGGCCAAAAATACCCTCGGCGAATCACCTTGTGTGCCATGGACTAGGCTGCGGCATGGTCACCACAAATGTCTTCGTGGATTTCCTGGAGAGCCTCAATGCCCTTCTCGGGAGTAACGCAAAGTATGAGGGGCAATGAGTGACCCCGTTTGTATAACTTATGGTTGATAATAGTATAGCGTAACTCGGGTTTGAGGAAGGCCCAGATCGGGGCCATCCAGGTGGGTGCCTCGTCGATGACCATGCTGGTGTAAGCTGGTAAGTTAATGCTCATTTGAGCGAGATATTCAATGGGGATGTCTTTGGTGAGCGTAGTATCGATAGCCGAGGCGAGACGAGCTAGTGAGTCGGCTCGGGTGTTCTTAGCGCTCGGGATTTGGGTAATGGAGTGCGAGCGGAAGTGAGAGAGGAGTTCCTTGACCTTCTGAACATAGGCGGTGAGATGCGGCTCTCGAGCCTGATACTCATTGGTGACTTGATTAACCACGAGTTGGGAGTCACTATGAACGTGAATAGAGGCAGCCCCCAATTCCTTTGCTAGGTGCAGGCTGGCAATGAGTGCCTCGTACTCGGCCTCATTGTTTGACGCCTGGAAGCGAAATCGCATAGCATATTCCACCGGGATGCCAGTAGGGGATATGAGAACCAGGCTAGCGCCACAACCCTGTAAATTGGAAACACCGTCGACAAACAAGGTCCATTGTGGCCCGGTCGGGTCGGTGGTCTGGTCGCTGTCCGTGCCAGGTTATGCCGAGGTCGGAGCTAGCTCTAATGGCCCTGGCATGTTGGTGTTGTGGGCTGGTGTGGTGAATTCCGAAATGAAGTCGGTGATGGCCTACGCCTTCATGGCTGTGCGCGGCTGGTAAGTAATATCAAATTCTCCTAGTTCTACCGGCCACTTGATAAGGCATCCTGAGGTCTCGGGTTTTCTCAGGACCAAGTTGAGTGGCTGATCAGTAAGGGCGAGGATGGAATGGGCTTGAAAATAGGGGCATAGCCTCCGAGCCATGGTGATCAGGGCGAGGGCTAACTTCTCGATCGGCGGATACCGTGTTTCTGTATCAATCAACGCCTTGCTCACATAGTAGACTGGGTGCTGGGTTTTGTTTAGGTCTCGAGTGAGCACCGAGTTGACAGCCGAGGAGGAGACGGAGAGATACAAAGACAAGACGTCCCCAACTCCGGGTTTGGATAGCATAGGGGCTTGGCCCATGTGTATCTTTAAATTTTCGAACGCCAAAGCACAATCGGGTGTCTAATCGACAAATTTCTTATTGCCTTTAAGTGATTTGAAGAAGGGGAGGCATCAGTCAGTTGCCTTGGAGATGAACCGGTTTAACGCTGTTACTCGTCTAGTTAGGCTTTGGACCTCTTTCCGAGTCTTGGGCTAAGACATTCAAATGAGGGCCTGGATCTTCTCTGGGTTCGTTTCGATATCTCCATGGCTGACTAAAAACCCTAGAAATTTCCCCGAGTCGACCCCAAACACACATTTGGCAAGATTCAACTTCATGTCATAGCTCCGTAAGATTGCGAAAGTGACCGCGAGGTCAGCGATGTACTGGTCAGCGTGGACATTTTTAACCAACATATTGTCCACGTAGACTTCCATGCTCTTGCCAATCTGGTCGGCAAACATGTGATTAACCAATTGTTGATAAGTAGCCCCCGCATTCTTGAGGCTAAATGGCATGACCTGATAGCAGTATGTGCCACGATCGGTGATAAATGAAGTGCTTTCCTGGTCGGCTGGGTACATGCGGATCTGGTTATATCCCGAGTAGGCATCCATAAAGCTTAGGAGCTTGTGCCCCACGGTGGCATCAACTAGTTGGTCAATTCTTGGTCAGGGGAAGCTATCTTTGGGACACGCCTTGTTGAGATTGGTGAAATCAACACACATCCGCCACTTGTCCTCTGTTTTCCGGACCATGACCACATTGGACAACCAACTAGGGTAATCCACCGGTCGAATGAAGTTGTTTTTCTATAACTTGTCTACTTCTGTTTTCATGGTGGCGTACCGGACAACGTCGTATGCCCGACGCTTCTGGCAGACGGGCCGGGACTGCGGATCGATGTTGAGGCGGTGGGTGATTATGTCGAGACTGATTTCGTGCATATCCTCATGGGACCAGGCAAAGATGTCAGTGTTCTTTGTCAGGAATCTAACTAGTTGCTGCCGAACAGTTGGCGTGAGCTGGGAACCAATCTAGAGGAGCAGATCCAGGTGGTTGAGAAAAGGTGCTATGAGCTCGAGGTCTTCGACAGATTGTGGGTTGATGGGACTGATCTCCCCTCTTGGGTCAACAACAGCCGAAGAGGGGGCCAAGGTATCAGCTACACAAGTTTCTACACCAAATGCCTCGTAGGTCAGCTTGGTTTTGAATTTGACCGAGGAGGCGTAGCATGTCCGAGCCGACTCTTAGTCACCCTTGACGTTACCGACCCTACGAGGTGTAGGAAACTTGATTAGTAATGCCCTCATGTTGATTGACAAATTTAAGTCACCGATGGCGGGGTAACTGAGAATAACGTTGTATGAAGAAAGGCACTCGACGATGATGAAATCCATTGTAATGCTGGTGCGCTGCAGGTACGTCCCCATATACAAGGTTAGAGGCATGTGGCCAAGGGGTTGCACATGCCCCCCGCCGAAGGCAATGAGTATAAGGCAACATCGGTCGAGGAGATTCTCACTGACCCCCAGTTGTCTAAAAATGCCGAAAAAAATGATGTTGACAGAACTGCCCTCGTCCACAAATACCCAAGCCACCTCATAATGGGCGATCTTTGCGGTGATGACCAGGGGGTCGTGGTGGGGGAAAGTGACACCCGTAGTATCGCTGTGAGAGAATGTGATTGGTTCGAGTTCCAACGCGGGTCGGGTGGGCGGGTTTTCAGTTGTATCCATTGCCATGATCTTGGCAGGCTCGTGCTGGTAAGCCCTTGCGTATCTTTTTATGGCTCTGTTGGAGTTGCCAGTTATCGTAGGTCCCCCCGATATGGTGGATATGTACACTCGGGATACTCCCTATTTGTCGTCGATCTTGGTTCGCGCATGTGTGTCCATGGGTGTTGCGTTTCCCGTAACATATTCTTTTAATTTTCCCTGCCTTATTAGCGCTTCTATCTCTTCCTTCAACTGGTAGCAGTCATCTGTGTGGTGACCGTAGTCGCGGTGGTACTTGCAATACTTGCCTTCATCCCTCCTTCCTCGGTAAGGGAATCTTGCCCTTTTCGTGTTAGGGAGCTCACTGGCTATTAATGCAAATATTTCATCCTTTGATTTATTCAAGGGGGTATAGTTTGTGTATTGATTATGCTTCTCAGGTCTGGTATCGCCCTTCCGAGTCGAGGACCCCAACTCTCCCTTCCTTCTTTTCACTGACCGATCATAGGCATAGTCGTTGGGCCTCTTATCCCTGGGCTGGTATGCCGCGTTGGTCTCTGGGACCGACCCTGTTGTGGCCTTTCTAGCCAGGTTCAATTGCTTGGCTTGGGAATAGCTCGTAGCCTTGCGGAGGAGGTCTTTATATGTCTCCGGTGGGTTCCTAGTGACGGAAAAATAGAAATCTCCTCCTTGGAGCCCTCTCATCAGTGCGTTGTGTGCTGTGGCCTCATCTCACCCTTCGCAACGTGCGTATTCGTTATTGAATCGAGTGATGTAGTCTTTAAGCTTTTCATCGAGTCGTTGTCTGACCGTCGATAAGTCATTTGCGGTGTAGAGCCGATCTGAAATGATCATATATCTTTCCAAGAAGACTTTCCTAAGCTCGGCGAAAGAGCTAATGGACTCTGGGGTGAGCCTTTTGAACCAACTCGTGGCCGGGCCCTTGAGAGTTGTCGGGAACATGTGGCACTTGGTTGCTTTGTTTGCCCCACGTCCCTCCATAGCGTAGCGGAAATTATCCAGATGATCGTATGGGTTGGTCATCCCGTCGTACAAAGGAATTTTTGGAGCTTTCGAATCTCCTACCACCCTTGCCTTGAGCAGGTCCTGGGTGTATGGTAAGGGAATTTCCTCCTCAGTAAACTCGGGTCCCCTGGGCATTTTGGATTTCTCGACCTGCCCGAGTCGATCCCACACACTTCTCAGCTTGCCCGTGACCAAGTTCCTGAGTTTGGAGGTGAGGCCGTCAACTTCTTCCTCGACCTCATCTGAGCCAACCTGATTTTTCCCTTTGTGAAGGTTCTCCACTAGGCATTCACGGCGTCCTCGCCATGCTTTCTTTTCTTTTTGGATGTTTCTAGCGTTGGCCACGTTCCGCCCTGGTGTTTCAGCCGCTGTTGACGAGGATGAGTCTCCGTCGGTGTCCCTAGTGCCAGTTGGTTCGGGCACCTATTGCGCGCGTACCTGATCTGCTAGCTCAATGTGATTCTCCTGCAGTATCTCATTTTGTGCACGGAGGTTGTTGCTAAGGTTATGTACGTCTTTTACACCTTTCAGAATCCGACTCATCCTTTCCTCCAGGCCTCTTAGACGACTGATCTTAGCTTCTCTCTTCGTCTCTGGGCATTTCTCCCAGCCGTGCTAGTGGAGGCCTTCTTTCCGAGATGCTGGTTTCTTAACATAGTTTGGTTTCGTTTGTGTTAGTGCTCAGATGGGTGAGGGGATGTAGCTTCTGTTCGCAAATAAAGTCTAATTCCCACAGACGACGCCAAATGTAAACCGCGTATCCTTCTCGTATAAGTAACTGGGGCTCTATCCAGGAGCTTGGACCCGTACTGGGCTTTCGAGTATGAACAGACTCTAAAGGATGATCTGCGCACTTGAAACGATATCAGAATTAAGGGTAAACTGGGGTTGATTCCAGCCTAACCCTCTCCGATGGTTAAGTCAGAAACTAACTTGTGTTTGAGAGAAAACGGATACAAGGCTTTTACTACATGAATAGGTATTACCTTTGTCTTGGTGTAGGTGAAGGATATTTATAGGGAGAGGGGAATCAAGATATTTGTAGAGAATATATTTATCTCATGTTCCCCTCACCTCAGTTGCATTGAATGTTCTGCTTCTGATCACCACAAAGCTGGTCAGAGGTCAGGTGGTGAAATGACAAGCTATCAAGGATGTGAGATGCAATATATGATCTTTTTCCATCACTTATATGTTCACTCTGAGATTTAATGGATATGGCGACATCTGTTTGAGGATGGGACGCGCATTTAACCAGCCTTCGTACTCAACCAGGCTTTTAATGCATCTTTTTAATATATGGTGATACAGTGGTCGAGGCGGTCTGTGAACACCCGACCACTAGTCTCATTCTAATCTATCACATTCTTCTCGAGGTTCTTTGTTTGTTACTCGGTACACAAGTTGTCTTTCGAGGGGCTCGGCTCACAGTGATAGTATGAGCTATCAACATACATAGTTATTATGACTTATTCATTTTTCATAAACCTTACTAGATATGCTTAAAAACCTAACAAAAAGAGCAATAAAATTATAAAAGTGTCTTTGCATTTTTCCCTTCGCTGCCCCGCGCTGAGATTCCGGTTCTTCTTCTTACAAAAGTGTTGTCATCTATATACATATATAGCAAAAAACAGAGAATGGTGAAACATTCAAAATACCAGAAAATGTCATTGGTTAATGCAAACATTAAGAATTGAAATTATTAATTAAATGAGGATAATATAATAAATTCACACTTTTTCATATTTAAAAAATTAAAATTAAAAGAAAATTCATATAATGAATCATATTTTTATAGAATATAACTATCCATTATCTTTTTTAATTCTAAAATAAATTTATATTATATAAAAAAATATAAAAAAACTCCGAGCCTACGGAGAGGCTAGTCTTTATTTACTGATGTAATTCAATCACAAATTAACATTTAAAAAAAAATTCTCTAAAGTGGTATTTATCTTTCAAAAATGCTAGGCTTACCACATTTTTCATACCACAATTGTACCACATCTCTAATAGAGGTGGGTCCCATTGTATTGGTGGGCTCCACCTCTATTAGAGAGGTGGTACAATTGTGGTATGAAAATGTGGTAAGCCTAGCATTACTCTTTATCTTTCACTTTAAATTTTTTTTAACAACAGAGATACGTGTTACATTGTGACTGAGCCACATTGGTAGACAGAGGGAAGCATTATTCAGTGCAATGAGGGTGAAAGCATATTCTTTCTGTGATTACTCGTCAAGTTGTTCATAATTAGCCTCAAAAGTGCAAAGATTGTACCTAATTTCCCCAAAACCGCCAGAACCCCGAAATTGAAACTTAATTTGTACCCCAAAAAAGTGAAACTTCACGACTTCTCCATTAAAGCCAAGCCCATCTCCATTTTTGTTTTCAAGTTGAACCCATTTGTCATTTACTAACGGTGAAGTAAAAGCTCTTCCAATTGCACCGGTTTAGGGCTCACACAAAACAGAAACGCCATTTGCGTGCAGCGTGTTGGAGAAGAAAAAGTTTCTTGGGTAAGTTTTTATACGAAGAATTACTTGATGTGTTTTTTACATTCTTAGTTTGTTCAGGGTTTTACTTGTGTTTTTGGTTCGCATGTTAAACCCATTGACAGGAGTCGAGAGAATTTCTTATAAATCAGAGACAGAGAGCTCGTAGAAGCTAATAGGATTTGCTTCGCTGTTAAGGCTTGTGGTCACCCAAACAGCAAGGTAACATATATATCCTTAATATTTTGATGAAGTTAAAATCTAAGCTCAAGGGAATTTATGTGTTTTTGTTTTTGTTTTTACTTTTTGATGAAGTTAATATATCCTTAAGTTTCATGCTCACCCAGTTTTCAAAATAGGTTTGTTTAGCCTTTTGTGTATTCTTGGTTGAGTCTCATATTGATTGTTATGCACAAGGGAGAGTAAGAACCAAAACTTTAACTAGAATTAAGGATTTTTCTTTTGCACATTTTAACAATAAAAATCGAATTTTACAGGATTTAATTGTTTTGATCTTAAATTGAACCACAAGTTGTACACTTTATTATTTTTGTTATAACTGATAGTAAACACTATTTAAATGGAAAGTCACTGATTATGTGGCTATGGAATATAAGATTCTGTTCCCATTACAAAGAAAAAGATGATTTGTATGACTTCTGCCTTAAGTTTAAAACCAAAACAATTAAAACCTGTAAAATTCAAATTTGATTGTTAAAATAAAATCTAGGTGCAATAGAAAAAGCCTTGAGCACGCAGAAAGGGCATGCCAAGAGGCTAGTATGCAAGAATGGTATAAATGAATTTAGTTGGCTCTTAATTTGATATCTTCAATAGTTACGCTCAGTAAGGTCTGTTTTAACATAGAGGATTGACAAATGGAGTTGTGTGTGTTTGGTTAAGGTATGGTGGGAAAAAAGGTCAATTATTGTTTTGAATAGTTCGTTGATAAATTTCTGTTTGACTTTGAGATTTGGGTAAATTGATTAGTACCAGTTATTAAATTTCAGTCATTGGATTGAAAACCCTGTCTTTGTTTCAGATACATTTTATCCGTGGGAGTGTAATTCTCAATTGTGAGATTTATGCATGATTAGGAAGATGTCAACTGCACAGCCTTTAAAGAAATTAGTGTCCTGTGTTATCCTTGATTTGGATGGTACACTACTTAACACAGGTTCGCACTCTGAGTAGCATTTTCAATTTTACATTTAACTAGATGTTATTTGATCTATGATAATGGGCTGATGCTTCCTTTGGTCTTCCTGTGTTGGAACTTGGATGTGAATTTTATTCTTAGTAGTTGCTGTTTGCTTTCTACTGGTGTTAGTAACTCCTTTTCTTCATTATTTTAATTAATCACAGATGGAATTGTAAGTGATGTTTTAAGAGTTTATTTGGGCAAGTATGGAAAGCAGTGGGATGGACGGGAAATTAAAAAAATAGTTGGAAAGACACCATTTGAAGCTGCAAGTGCTGTTGTTGAAGATTATGAGCTATCTTGTACAACGAGTGAATTGCTTTCAGAGATTACCCCCATGTTCTCCAATCAGTAATTAACTTATCTACTTGCTTTTATGTCTGTTGAAAAGTCATTTTGACGCCTCTGCCAAATGTTTGTTTTGGCTGTTTTTTACTATTGGATTTTAGGTGAGGAATATATAATAGGTGTTATGGTCAATATAATGTTACATGTGTTTCTTTTGTACTTTTTCTATAGGTAGTCATTTTGGATGTTGGATAATTTTCTTTTTGGACTAAACGGAGCTTGTTTTTGATCATATGTTTTAAGGATGCTTCCATATGATAATAATGAGGACAACTCACTCACTCACTGTTATGTGTTCAGGCAGTACTTTAGTGGAAAACTGTTAATTGGCTATTGACAATTGTCATTCTAGGTGGTGCAACATCAAAGCACTTCCAGGTGCCAATCGGTTAATTAAACATTTGAGTGGTCATAGAGTGCCAATGGCATTGGCTTCAAACTCTCCAAGGGAAAACATAGAAACCAAAATTTCTTACCATCAGGGTATACTTCTTCAGAAGCATATTTGCTTACATCTTACATGGAAAATTTTAAGTACCACATGCATTCAGGATATTATGATTCGTTCTTATCATACAAACAAGCACTATTTGCTTATTGTATTTCATATGCAGGCTGGAAGGAATCCTTTTCTGTCATCATTGGTGGTGATGAAGTAAGATTGGGGAAGCCTTCTCCGGAAATGTGAGATGCATAAATGTGTTGTTTTGGGCTTGAATTTGAGTGTGTTTTTTTATTTATTTAAATTTTTTATATCAAGGATTAGATTATATGGTATTCTGAAACTAGAAATCTTTGATTTTGCATTGTAGATTCCTTGAAGTTGCTAAAAGGCTTAATGTCGACCCTTCCAGCTGCCTTGTGATTGAAGATTCTCTGTAAGTATCCCTACTCTGATTCTTTACAGGTTTGAATTTGTTTTTCTATTAAAGTATGCAGAGCAAAAACTGTTGCAGGGAACATTCTCCTTTTAGTGCTATGGTTTTCATTTATGTTCTCTTCAACTACCCTTGTTTACATTACATCTAAAACGTCTTCAATAGAAGAATGAACCTAATTGAAGACCTTCATTTTTGCTACAGATACTTTCCTCGAACCAGACTAACTTTGATAAGGCTGGGACATGCTGTATTGGAATATAAGTCATATTACATTTTTGGCCAATAATAAAAAAATGTCAATTATGACTCTTTCATACTGAACAAGTTTGGTATTAATTTTAAAAACTAAAGCTAATAAATCAATTAAACCCACTATATACCCACTATTTACTCTCCCAAGTTCTAAATTTTCTTTCCTTAATGTACCTTCTATCACAATACACACATGCATTGCATGTGATGCATGTGTGCATTGCATGTGATGCATGTGCCTTGCATCACATCATTAGGCAAATGAATAATTGATGTGCTCTTCTTCACGCACATTCTTCCTTTGATAAGTAGATGCTATGTTTCTGCCTAATGGTGTGATGCAGGGCATTAGCAGCAAGCTGCTGTCCAGCGACCCAAACATTCCCAAAATACAGAGAATAGAAGGATAAAGCAATAGAATAGAAGTTGGAAGGAAGATAATTGAGTTCTAGGGCAAAGAACAAATAAAACAATTACTTATTAATTTAAAATAGCCAAAATTTAGCCTTATTGGCTAACGAACAGATGTTCCTGCATCATGATGTGTATATGGTTTAAGAAGTCGTGTCACTTTTCTTTGCATTTCTTTATTGGAACATTTATGCATTGGTTTTGTCAGACCAGGTGTTACAGCTGGAAAGGCTGCTGGTATGGAGGTGGTTGCTGTACCCTCCATCCCAAAGCAGGCCCACCTTTATACTTCAGCGGATGAGGTGATCAACTCTCTACTTGATTTGCGACCTGAAAAGTGGGGCCTACCTCCTTTCCAAGATTGTAAACCTCAATACCTGTGTCTGTGTTTCAACTATGTTTGAATAGTTTCTTCTGCACAAGCCCTTTTCATTAGCACCATTGATCTGTTGTTGCAGGGATAAAAGATACTTTACCACTAGAACCTTGGCACATTGGTGGTCCTGTCGTTAAGGGATTCGGTCGGGGCTCAAAAGTACTTGGGATCCCTACAGGTGTGTTGCTGTTGGCCTATCCAGTTAGAATCTTCATTCAACTGTACATGTCTTCTGATGAAACAATGGTTGACTGCTGTTCTTAGTTTGAGATGATATATACAAGTTAGTTTTATTTCATGGTAGGCAATTTTTTAATGCACCTGATATTGGTTATATACAAATTGCATTCCTTAGATCCTACTTTGCTTGAATGAGCTTGAAATTATTGGTTTGTTGCTTGTGATTTGTTGTTTCTCTCCCTGTTATGCTCAATTAAATTGTTTCATTTCCTCATTTCTTTATCCTTATAAGTGCACTACATCTTTTCTACAGCTAATTTATCCACAGAAGGTTATGGATCTCTTCTTTCAGAACATCCCTCAGGAGTATATTTTGGTTGGGCTGGATTATCTAAACGAGGTGTCTTTAAAATGGTTATGAGTATTGGTTGGAATCCTTATTTCAACAACACTGAAAAGACTATAGTGAGTCTTTCAAGCCACATAAGGTAGCATTTGCAAGTATTTTTCTTCTTTTTGTTGAATTTAGTTTGTAATGCAGGAGCCATGGTTGCTTCATAACTTTGATGAGGATTTCTATGGGGAGGAACTGCGTCTTATTATAGTTGGCTACATACGGCCGGAGGTATTAGTCAAAACTGATCAATCTTTTCTGGAAAATGCCAATTGCTCCTCTCTGTGCTTCTATCTATTTGTTCCTAATGTTCGTTTATGAAATAAACAGGCCAATTTCTCATCCCTCCAGAGCTTGATAGAGAAGATTCATCACGACAGAAAAGTTGCAGAGGAAGCTCTTGATCTTCCATTGTTCTCCAAATACAAGGACGACCCATATCTTAAAAGTTCTACATAAGGGTGTCCCAGGAATTTCTTGAAGGCTAGTTTTCCTACGTCGTCTGCAAAACAATAAATCAAATTGTACACTCATTATTTTGACATTCATTCATTTTGAAGAGATTCTATGTCACTCTCCGGAATGTAACATATATAAAGTGCCTTAAATCACAAATCAAATTAATTGTTTTATAAATTACGGGTCATATCATAATGAAGTTGTGGTTATACACAGACATCAGTTACAGTTTATAAATCAGATTTTGCTTAGGTCAGAAAATCTCCAGGCCTTGGCACTAGTATAGCTGTGCCAGCTCTTTTCAGATGATATGTTTTAGATTGCATGTTATTGGGGAAAGCTGCTCCTCTCATAACTATGTCGCTTCTGTCTCCAGGTCCCCAACCCGGGAGGTGCCTACACCATAAGTAAACCCCTCAACAACCTCAATCTCAGACAGAATAACCAATGCAAGAATATCTGCAACAAAGTTGGGTTTGTTTTCCTTAGAACATGATGAAACCCGACTTCTTCAAAGAGATTAGCAAAAATGAATGTCTCAAAGGATCGACCGGATGTGAAGTATCATTCAGCAGACAACCAATATCAATAACGAGAGTAACCCCCAACCAAGATTTTGGTCAATAAACTATTTCCTTCCACGTTCATAATACAGCAGAATATAGAGTTTTCATTAAAAAATAACTAAGGAGTTCCATGCATATTAGAAAGATAGATTCGTCATGACTTTTATGCAGAAAAAACAGATATTCAGCAACGTACTTGTATCAGAATACCGAGTTTAATACAGACTAGGCTTAGAGTCATTACCTTATGCAAGTTTCATGTATTATATTTGTAACAGCAAACATTGAAGCTATAGCCTGCACCATATGATTTAGTTTGTAAAGTTTGGAAGTAATTAAATGTGATTCTTTATTTATGTGGAAGGCTTTTCTATAAAAAGCATGCTTTCTGCACAGAGTTTTAGCCACGATTTCTTTTAATGACCGCATTTTTTATACATAAAAAATACCATCAGCTGGTGGGTTTTCTTTTGGCAAATAATCCGTAGCAAAAAAGCACAATTCTCTCCGTTGGCTTCCTTGCAATCGCTTAAAAAAAGATGGAATAAAAAAGTTGGTGCCGCTAAAATTTTATATTTGGATGCCTTTACCTTTTTACCTTCTTATTTTTTGAAACAAACAAATACAATTATACAAGTGCCTTTGCCTTTTTCCCTTCGCTGCCCCGCGCTGAGCTTCTGGTTCTTCTCTCACAGGGAAAGAGGAAGAGAAAGACGGAGTGAAAAAGGGCTCAAAGGGATTAAGGTTTTTCAAGAATTCAGTGCCAGAATGGTGAAAACCATATTCTTTCTGTGGTTAAAGCCAATCCCATCTCCATTTTTGTTTTCAAGTTGAACCCACTTTTCATTTACTACCCGAGAAGTAAAAGCTCTTCCAATTGCGTCAGTTTAGGGCTCACACAAAACAGAAAGCCGTTTGCGTGTTGGAGAAGAAAAAGTTTCTTGGGTAAGTTTTTCTTAACAAAATTACTTCATGTGTTCTTTACATTCTTAGTTTGTTCAGGGTTTTACTAAACCTTATGTGTTTTTGGTTCGCATGTTAAATCCATTGACAGGAGCCGAGAGAATTTCTTTTAAATCAGAGACTGAGAGCTCGTAAAAGCTAGTAGGATTTGCTTCGCTGTTAAGGCATGTGGTCACCCGAACAGCAAGGTAACATAAATATCCTTAATATTTTTATGAAGTTAAAATCTGATATTATGGTGTACTTACTGTTTGATTAGTTTGAGCTCAAGGGAATTTGTGTTTTTTGTACTTCAATTTAGTTCTGTTGGATTCTAAGAGATTTAAAGTAAGGAGAAAGCTTATTGACACTTAAAAGCTTAGATGAGGGCTAGATAGAAGCTTCGTAATATTGGATAAGGTGTTTGGTAATTGGGTTGTACAGATGAGTTGAGTTGAGTCGGTTCGTGTTATAAAAGTGTTCGTGTTATAAAAGCATGAGATAAACAATGTTGGGTTGTTGGGACTGTGGAGGCCTGTTGTTTGTTGATAGCAACATGTCTAATGGTTGTGCTGGTGAGAATTCATTTTGATTTGAGGATAATCTTATTAAGAACAGGAACAACTTGATGCTATGTAGTAATTTTGAGGATCTGAAGGTGTTAAGAGACTTGAGTGTGTCTGTTCATCAAATGAATTTTTATCAAGCAAACTGGCCTTTTTACATGTTGAACCAGGCTTAATAAGAGTAACATCCAAACTAAACTTCGTACAAAATGGATTTAAGATGAAATTATGTTAAGTTTCATGCTCACCCAGTTTTCAAAATAGGTTTGTTTAGCTTTTTGTGTTTTCTTGGTTGAGTCTCATATTGATTGTTATGCACAAGGGAGAGTAAGAACCAAAACATTAACTAGAATTACGACTTTTGGGGGGCAGCTTTGGGTCGTCAGATATCACAATAATAATTAATAAACAACCAAAGGAGAAAAAGATAAAGTGGCATATATGCATCCTCCGCAAAGTCAAAGTCTTCGTGAAAATGGTCATTCATACAATTGTATAGAAGCTGAGCAAAAAGTTGAAACCTCAGCCTGTTGATGGACTATGTAGTTCCATGAATTTTCAACTTTCCATCTTCCCATCATTAAGTTAATGATGTGACACTCTTAGCATGTATATTTCAAATAAAAACTAGCTGTTATCCCTTGAGTCTTGCTTGACTTACTAGAGCGACCTCCACAAAGTCGCTGCCCCCATCATAAAAGAGAAATTGTACCAGTCGCTCGCAGTGGCAAACCTAGCTTGCATTTTTTTTGTTTTGTTTTTAATAGTTGCAACCCCTTGCAATTCGAAACTCCCTCGTATCCTAGGGTTTTGTAATTATCTCATGCTACACCTCTGCCTTTTTCTCTCTCCCTCATACTCCTTCTCACACCCCTTTCTAGCTCTCTTAATTTTAAATTAATTTCTGCAATATTAGATCTTGCAATTGTCTCAAACCATAAAACAAAAGAAGGGAGGTAGAAAGATAAATGGTTGCAAATTTGGGTTAGCTCCATCTCTGGCTCGCCACTTGCCAATCAATAATCATGCCTCATGGAGCCAATTACTTTCCACTCTTGTTTGTGTATTTCTCTAATTACGTTCTTAAGCTTTCCATTGTTATCTGGATACGAGTTTAATATACTTGATGTATGTATATTTAATAGGTTTTATATGAAGATATATGTGAATTTTGTGTGTCCTACTGTTTGAATTATTGCTTCTGAGTATGAGTTTGTTTGGAATGAGCAATTAAATTTTAGTAATTTACTACTTGTTACTTCAGAATTGATGGTTTATCTTATCATCCCTTTAAGTTTTCTCCCAGAAAGATAAAATCCTGGGAAATCTGCCAAAGGCTCAAAGGCTTTGACATATATCTCATAATGGATCCATCCATTGTGAAGAAGCTACTTGAAGACGACGAGGTTCTCTCTGTCTCTGTCTCTGTCTCTGTCTCTGTCTCTGTCTCTGTCTCTCTCTGACGTATCTCAAGCTAATATTACATTCTCATTCTTAATAAAATGTCCGAAGGATGAAACCATGCATTCCGGGGCGGATTTGTTAGCCTTCCAGGCTGCCCTGAATAAGGACATAGAAGGAGATGTGTCTGCTTCCCAGCCGTCTGATTCAGACACAGGTATCCTTCTTAACCTTCTTTTTTTGATTCACATAACTAAGTTGACATTAATCATAGACCCATTGCAGATTACTCTGTGGAACTTGGTTAGAACTATTAATTTTGAGAATTACATAACTTTGGTGTTTTTTATTTGTTTAATTTGGGAAAGCACAAGTCCTCTGGATGCAATAACTTAATGTGATTTTGATGTATATTTTTTAGAACATATAGGTGAGGCGTTGCTTTGGTTGGTTGGTGTTTATATGTATATAGTTTATCATAATCACGCTGAGCATATTTTCACTAAAAATTTGGTTAATATTCACTTCCACGATTTCTTTTGAAAAGATTCCAAAATTTGGAGACCAGTTAATTCTGTATGCAAGTAGTCACAACTTGCCATCTTTACTTTGCTGATTATTTTTCTATTTTTTTATTATTTTTTTTTCTTCCTCTCTTAGTGATTTTTAATTGAAATGGATCATTTTCATCTTTCATAACTTTGTCTAGTTGGGTTGATCACTTGAGTACTTATCTTCGATTCTTTTCTATTATGATAAATATCTCCAATCCCCCCTGAATTTTAGTTCGTGTCCCATATTAGTCCCCAACTTATCTTAACATCCTAAATTATCAATCACGTGTTTAGTTTGTGCAACTCATAGATTCTGCCAATATTTTAACAGAAGTGGCCATTTGAGTATCATAAACCACTTAGTCAAGGACAAATTTGTCAGTCTAACTAAATTTGTACTCAAGACTACTCGTAGCTCTTCTTCAACTTATCTGCCTTCTCTTCCACCATTACTGATCCTACAATATCACAAGTGATCATCATCATCTATTTTTCGTCAATTTTGCATTATTGATTCTAAAATACCAGAAGTGTTTTGAAATGAACGTATCTTTGATTCATTGTTTGTCAAAGGATCTATTTTTCATTTCAGCTATAAAGAGTGACATTCCAACAATGTATGAAAGCTGGTAAAGTGTGAAGCCCATAAACATGTATTTTTTACTTCATTTTGCATTATCTGCTATCAGAAGAGGTTTGAAATGAACGTATCTTTTATTTATTCATTGTCAGAGGCTATATTCAATTACCTTCAAAAAGTAACTTCCCACCAATGTATGAAAGTTTGTTAAGTGTCAAGCCCTTAATCCCTAGTTGTCTTTGGGTTCGTAACTAGAAATCCTCGATTATACATGATGTGTGCAACTATGTGATGCAGCAGTTTTGTCTCAAGGAAGCAATAATACTTCTAGTCAGTCATTACTGCAGTTGAGTACTGCTAGCCAGGATGAAAATACAGCTGGTCAAATTCAACAAGACCAAAAAATTGCACAACATCGAGAACTGCATTTGTATGAAATGGAACCAAAGCAACAAGGATCCATTGCTGAGAATATGCAACAAAAAAATGATGCCTCAAAGGTACTTAATCACTTTCCTTTAACCCAGAAGCGACCGCTTGGTGATCTTCAAGGACAGGCAGAACAGAAGCCACTCCAGATTCCTGAAACAACTGGAATGCCGATTTCTGAAAAACACCCAAGCTCAACAGAGGAGCACGGCATAGCACCTAATCTCAAAAGCGAATCTCAGTACTTAAAGCTTCAGAAGATGAGCAGTCAACAATCAATGATCACAGAGCAACCAAGAAACCCTTCGAATCAAAGCAGACAAGTAGTATTTTACCAGTTATATCCCCTCTTATTGCCCCAACTAAATAAAGACAGAGGAAGGCAACTTACTACTCTATTTGGTAGACTCAAGGTGAATCCTACACGCATTTTATATCAAGATGTTGTGGGTTTTGTTAATTATTCTAATCTGCGCACTTTTTTTGCTATTCTAGAGCCGTCAAATCCGCAAAGATGCTTTTGTCTGGGAACTTAAAAGTATTGTTGGGGATGAGATGCTCAGAATGGCAGTAAAGGAAGTGCCACTAATGGTAAGAATATAATGAATTCAATACTCTTTTAAATTAATAACGTGCTGATGTCTGGACCAAGCTGAAAACCTGCTTGTTAAAATCTTGCAGCCTAGTCCTAACCATCGGTTACTGCCTAAGGCCTCGGTCCAGCAACAACCTCCAAGGATGCTATCTATTAGTGCAGGTGCCGCACAGTTGACTAACCCTCGTTCATCTGCACTTCATCTGAGAGGTCCCAATTCTGCCACTGACCCATCACAC